AACATCTCCCCATCTTGTCCCTCTCAAACCCCAGTCTTTGATACTAACAACTTCTAGTCTCAACCTCCAGTGTGAACCAGAGTTTGGCTCATATGTGGTTGGATGTCAGACATCCTGCATGAAGTCCACATAATGTTACCAAACCTCTGGAGTGTGGAAGAGTGCAAGAGAGAAAGAGATACAATCTTTGCCATCATCACAGGGTTCCCACTAGCACAGACTTGCCTTACTTATTCTCCACGAGTCTCAAGAAGCTAGAGAAAGAGAAATAGGGCATGAGCTTCAGTTGTCACCCTAAGCTTTCCAGGAATTTTCACTTTCCATAGAGTCCAATGTAGTGCAACACGTCTAAGTTAGACTCAGCTATAAACTAAAAGGCCCTTTACCTACATTGAACCAGTCTCAACACTAACCAATTCATGATCTACACTGAACCTGCCCAGACACAAAACAACTCAACACTGAACCAATCTCAGGATAAAATGCATTAATAAACAATTCTGACATGGATTAACTCCACAACTGCCCTGAACCAACCTCAACAGACACTGACTCCACACCTTGTCACAGTATCTTATCTCTGGGTGAGAATTACACAATGTTTAAGTGCACTCTGAAAGAGCGATCCTTCTCTTCACAATTTTGCAGGTTGTGAGGCAGTAACCAATAGAGTAACATTATCCCAAACCTCTTACAAGTTCCTGAAATTTAGAGTTTGCATAATTAGTAATGTTAGAGTCAAGTGTCAGTGAAAACTCCAAACCTCAACAATTCTGGTTCATCTCCACCTCCTCCCTTTTATACCTCAAATGTGCCAAAGACACTTTTTTACCCAATCAATCCTGAGCACCTGGGACCCCTCTCTATGATCACAAACATTCACCTTATTTTGATTAGCCCTTTACTACCTCACAACCTGCACTGAACCAACTTGGACACAAACTAATGATCGACAAGTGCTCCAAACCATCTGTCGCATAAACTGATGCTCAACCAGTAAACTGAACCTACCTGGACAGACACTGGCTCTGGGCAAACAAAACCAACCTTCACACAGCTATTCGAGATTACCCAAAACCAAGCAAATTCACTGTCTAATCCGAAGATTAAACAGGTACCATCTAACAAAAGTATGTATCTTCAATCTCTGATATTCCTACAATCTGTGTTGATGAATTAAACCCTCAACCCAAACTGTGAGCTTAACACATTAATCCAGCAAGATCTCCTCCATCCTGTCCCTCTCAAACCCCAGTCTCTTTTATTAACGACTTCTAATCTCAACCTCCAGTGCGAACCAGAGTTAAGACTCATATGTTTGGATGTCAGACATCCTGCATGAAGTCCACACAGTGTTGCCAAACCTCTGGAGTGTAGAATGGTGCAGGAAAGAACAATATACAACCTTTGCTGTCATTACAGGGTTCCCACTAGCACAGACTTAACTTACTTACCCTCCTTGAATCCCAAGGTGCTAGAGAGAGAAACAGGGCGTTGGTTTCAGTCGACAGTTTTTGGTTCTCATTAGTACAGACTTGGCTTCTGGTGACAATAATAATAACCTTGTATTTGATATAGCACTTGTCATGTCTGATGTCTCAAAGCACTTCACAGAACGGACCATAAAGCAAATGGACTATTTATTTGTGGGCGAAACGCAGCAGCCAATTGCACACAGCAGCATCCCACAATCAGTCGTGGATTGAAAATAACCAATTTATTATTGTTTTGTTTTTTGGAGCAATTATTATTAGGCTTGTGGAGTACGGAAACTTATCCAAGATTTCACCCTGCCTAGAATTGAACCCAGGTGTCTCACTTGCAAGGCGAGCGCTCTAACCAGTGAACTACAGGATTCCACCGAGCAACTGAGCTCAGCCCATTAATCACTTACATCTCCCATGGTTTTCAGCTGCATCTCATCTCCAAACGATTCCTAGTTGGACATCTTTGACCAAAATCTAGATGATGATTTAAAGACTAACACTGCAAAATAATAATTCTACATAACAATTCTGTCATCGCCATCTCTGAGACGAGTTAGACAATAAAAAGAAAAGCCGGACTGCTCAAGAGTTGTTTACAATCTCCATTAAATAGATGGATGGCAACAAGGTCTTTAAAGTTCAAAGGTTAGAAAACAAAAAGTGATAAATAACTGAGTTTCTCCAGAAAGATAAACAGTTTAAGAAAATAAACAAAAATGTGAACAAAAACACCATTGGGCACATTGGCAAGTGAGGAGAGTTACCCCAATAAGTGTCTGTGACAAATACACATAGTATAAAAATAAAACAAGTTAAAAACACAAATTCAGCTTAAAGCATATGATGTAGTAGCCATTATAGAGACCTGGCTACAAGCCAGAAATTACTGGAAGCTAAATATTCCAGGCTGTAAGATCTTCAGAAAGGATAAGGAAATTGGGAAAAGCAATATGGATAATACTGAAGTACACTAGTAGATAGAAAAGACTTTAGTAAAGGTGATCAGGCTGTAGAAACACTATGGGTAGAATTAAAGAACAGCAAAGGAGGGAAGACTCTGATGGGAGTTGTCTACAGACTCTAGAGAGAAACATAACCAATTGTTTTTGAGACAAATTACACAATAAAAGGAGAAGCCAAACTGGCCAAGAGTTGCTTACAATTTATATGAAGAGCAGGTGGACAGTAATAATGTCTCTGAAGCTCACAGGACTGACAACACCCAAGGTTTGGATAATTTCCCTTCACAAACATTACTGATAATTTACAGCCCACCAGCAGGTTCTCACAAATACAGACTTACCTGATATAGTCCATAGAAAGACCAGCCTGGGCCAAGCTCCACCACAAGCAAACTGAGCATTTCGCTGCTCTGAACCACAAGCCTCCAGCAACTCATTTGCTCTCTCTATGCTGATGAGATGATTCCTTCTTCCAATAGTTTGATTGAGCTCAGCTCTGGGTTAAATACCCAAAGGCTCACTTTGACAAGTGGCCAATGAGCGAATCACATTCCTCACAAGGTCCAGTTGAAGGTCCTCCCTTCACAGCTGGAAACAGTCAGTATCATCACATGGGCTATTGGCTATTGGATGGTTCAGAGAATTCACAGGGTTTATATTCATTACTTTTAGAGCATTTACACTTTCCTAGAATTTCCTATTGAATGCTTCAGACACCATCAAACACACCATCAAATCAGATCACAAACACTAACAGGTGTGAGCGAGAAGGAGAAAGATTGCAATAGAGAGAAGGTGTGATAGACAGAAGGAGAAAGGTTGTGATAGAGAGAAAATATGTTAGAAAGATAGGAATAGAGAGAGACAAAGTATGATAGAGAGGAGAAAGAATGCAATAGAGAACAAGTGATAGAAAGATTCTGATAAAGAGAACGTGTGATAGGGAGGAGAGAGGTTGCAGTAGAGAGAAAGTGTGATAGAGAGAAAATGTGATAGAGAGGAGAAAGATTCTGATAGAGAAACAGTGTGATAGAAAGAAAGAGAAGGATTGTGATAGAGGGAGAGAAAGTGTGAAAGAGAAAAGGAGAAAAGTTGCAACAGATAGAGAGCAACTGTGACAGAGAAGGAAAAAGGTTGCAAAAGAGGAAATGTGAAAGAGAGGAGGAAAATTGGGATAGAGAAGGAGAAAGATTGCGATAGAGAGAAAACGTGTGTTAGAAAGATTGGAATAGAGAGAGACAAAGTATGACAGAGAGGAGAAAGATTACCATATAGAGAGAAAGTGTGTTAGAAAAAAAGAGAAAGATTAGAATGGAGAGAGAAAGTGTGACGGAGAGAGAGAAAGTGTGACGAAGAGGAGAAAGATTGCAATAGAGAGAGAGTGATAGAGAGGAGAAAGATTGCAATAGAGACAAAGTGTGATAGAGAAGAAAGATTGCAATAGAGAGAAAGTGTGATAGAGAGGAGAAAGATTGTAATAGAGAGAGAAAGTGTGTTAGAAAGAAGGCAAAAGATTGGAATACAGAGAGAGAAAGTGTGATTGAGAGAAGGAGAAAGATTGTGATAGAGAGGGAAAAGGTTGTAACAGAGGAGAAAGATTCTGATGGAAAGAGTGATAGAGAGGGAAAAGTTTGTAATAGAGAGCAAGTGTGATAGAGAGAAAGTGTGTTAGAAAGGAGAAAGATTGTAATAGAGAGAAAGTATAATAGAGAGGGAAAAGGTTGTAATAGAGAGGAAAGAGTGATAGAGAGGGAAAAGATTGTAATAGAGAGAGACAAAGTATGATAGAGAGGAGAAGGTGCGATGGAGAGAAAGTGGCAGAGAGGGAAAAGGTTGTAATAAAGAGAGCAAGTGTGATAGAGAGGAGAAATATTGTAATAGAGAGAGACAAAGTACAATAGAGAGAAGGAGAACGATTGCAACACCGAACCACCCCAGCAATCCCGACCCGGTCCCCAGCAACCCCGAACCAGCCCCAACAAACTCAAACCAGCCCCAGCAAAATCCAACAGACCCCAGCAACCCCGGGCCAGCGCCAGCAAACTGGAGGCAGCCCCAGGAAAGCCGAACTAGCCACAGCAACCCCAAATGAGTCCCAGCAAACCCGAGCCAGACCCAGCAACATCGAACAAATCCCAGCAACCCCGAACCAGCCTCAGCAACACTGATCAAGACCCGGCAATCCCGAACTAGTCCCAGCAATACCAAAGAAACCCCAGCGAACCAGCACCAGCAACCCCGAACAAGCCCCAGAAAACCGGAGGCAGCCCCAGGAAAGCCGAAATAGCCACAGCAAAAATTGCTCACTCAATCCACGACTGATTGTGGCAGACTGCTGTGCGCAATTGGCTACTGTGTTTCGGCCACAAAATACAGTCAATCCACAGTACAACATACTATGTGAAGAGCTTTGAAACGTCTCGACAATATGATAAGGTATTATATTGTTACACCTGTTTTTGTCTGATATTGACAACTCTTCAAAGCCTAATATTCAGTGACACCTCTAGCTAGTCTGATATTAAAAGAGGACATTTGAGTCCGGATGTGCGTTGGGTTTTTATTTGCATATAATTCTTCATGAATTGAGAAACATTCACAAGACTCTTGTACACATGTGAAAGATATTTCTGAAAACTTTTATGATAGGTCATCACATTACAAAATATATTTGCACAGTAGTTATATTAATAAAAATACATTTAATGGAGGTAAAAGTAGTGCTTCTAATACTGCGAAAAAGTGTATCCTACAGGGAATAGTTTTGGACTTTGAAAGTGAAACTTTATTTTTGTCAGCACTCACTCCCGTAATGTGTCCCATACAAAAACAACAAATTATACACAATAACATTCAGAATGCAAAGCAGAACTTTGTAGTTATCACCAAACGTCCATTTCCCTCTTTCTCGTCAGCATCAAGTCTCCCTTATTTATAGTTTCAGAAATTGTATTTCAAATGAAACATCCGTGCACCGATGGCGGTGCCAGTAAAGTACAAGAAAACAAATCAAGGCTCTCAGAGGAAGCCCTTCAGTCAAGGTTTGCCATAAAATGATGGGTCTGGTTTAAAGCCTAGGACACATAGGAGGCAAGTACTTTACCATCACTTCATGTTCCCCTTTTAACTACATATTATTCAGCACTTGCATCTGGTGATATGTTTTATCTGAGAAGAGGAAAGATGCAATTATAACAGTATCTAAAGTATAAAGTGAAATAGCTGCTTTCTGGCAACAACATCAATCTAAAACAAACCATTTCCTTTTTTAAAAAATAAATGCAGATTCTTTGTCACTGCTGTTGAATGGGTGTAAAACTGCTGCTGTCCAGCTTTGAAGCCTTGAGGATCCAGAGACTTCGGAAGTGTTTGGAATAATTTTTTAATAAATATAAAAAGTACGAAGAATGAGATTTACCAAGAAGCACATTTTCAAGCAAAGTATCTGGATGACCAGATCAGACATTCATTTACAACATGGAAGCTAGTCTGCTGGAATTTTTTGGAAACTGCAAATCTTTGATTTTGTTTTTAAAAATAATTCATCCCCACAAACCCTTATCTGCACAGCACCATCGGAACAAGCGGATATTCAGCACCAAGGAAAAGAACATGTTTTACCTGTTTACACCTCCACCTATTCTGATAGTTTTCCCCTGGAGAGAAATTCTACCTGTATTTAGAGTTACTCAATTTATGTTGCTTGTCAGAACGTCAGGAATTTAGGAAAATGTTGAATACAGTCAGTTTTCTGTAGTTCCTTTATTTATGGAAAATTGGTATAAAAACTAAGGCTGCGTTTAAGAAACTTGTCAAATTCTGGATCCTATAAAGTGTGGCAAATGGACTTAGACCCGTTTGGAATTTATTCCTACGACTCGTGTCGATCACTGCATTATTTTAAACTTTGAGCCCTGATGTTTCTCAAAGTATTTAAATATTCCAAGTCTTCAAAGTCGTGCTCTTTAAAATTACTGAACGGCATTGAATCATACAACTTTTTTTGTTAAACAAAAAGTCCATGTTTAAATAGTTTTTTTACAATCTTTTTTAGGGAAAATGCTACTATAGTTAAAGGTCAAGGAAGAAGATATGAGCTATGTCAAAGGAAATCTATATTCCCCCAATGACCTAGGTTATTGTTGTTCTAGGGGAAAAGGGTACTGTGTGTTGTAGCATTAAACCATATCCACAGCCTGTAAGGCCATTGGTTCAAGGGAGTCTTGACATTAAATACAAATGATTTTACTGTGATGTGTTTGGAGGAATTAGCTGATCTTGACCATCTCTTAGCGAGATCTCCAGTCTGTGAGTAAATTCATACAACTATTGTTGCAGACGTGATGGGAATGACTGTGAGAATTGGATTTATATATTTATATCCATATATAAAAAAAATTTAAACACGGAGATTAGGAGGTACGTGTCAGAGGGAGAAGCTTCTACTGCTTCAACAACAGTTAACCAGCCTGAATCCTCCCGCTAAACTGCAGCCAAAAGGGGCTGAATTATTATTCATCAGGAATCCTGTCAATGGAGCTGAAGGTTCCCGATGTGCACACTGTGTTTGTGAGGTACCCCTCGCCGTTGTGTGATGACAAAGTTGATAAAGGTTTGCAGTGCGATTGCTAGCAGGACGATGCACTGATCTTCTCGGTGATGAGGAAGTCTGACTTGGCAACGAGGAAGCGCGGTCTCTCTCCTGCCATTCTGATCAGGTTGACTGCACTGCAACGGGAAGCAAAGGAATCAGCACAGCGTGCACGTCGGGAACCTTCAGCTCTTCAAACACATGCATAATGCACAAGTCAAGACGGCCACCTTAGCCTTTAGCGCCTTTTGTTGAGGTGGAGGATCTGATTTAAGCCTCAGCAGTTTGTTACCTGTCATAGTCTGCTCCAATCAGACTGGTTCCATTCACCGCCAAGATCCTGTCCCCAATACTCAATCTGCCATAGTAGGCTGCAGGGCTGTCTGGCAGGAGAGTTCTGATATAGATCCCAGGGGAATTCAAGGTCGTATGCTGTAAAGAGCCGAGAATACAAATGTATAGTTCCAGTATCAGTGGCCAGAATTTCAGCCACTATGCCCCGAAACTCTAGGACACTCTTCCTCTATTCCTCCATCGTGCCCCCTCCCTCCCCATTTTCGACCGTGCCTAAGGCCACCTCCCCCCGGCTCGGCGTCGGGCTCCACCACTGTCAATCTCTCTGGGAAGCTACCCTGCATGAGGGCGCTATATAATTGCAAATTGTTGTTGATAGGCAATATAAGCGGCCACATTAGATGGTGATTCCAGCCCAGAGACTCAAACCCAGAATCAAAATTATGCAAAGCAAGTGAAAAATAAGCTATTGGAAAAGAGACAGAGTTTCTCCCAGTATCTTAGCCAAAAATCCCCCAGATAAAAATTGGTCATTCACTTTATACATTTCTTGTATAAATCATCCAAATAATGTACCAGTCTCCATAATTCGGCAGACACAAGGTGCAACTCTTGCCAAAAATAAATCCATAAACTTTACTAATTGCGATGGCATTACAAGCAATAAATAAATGGTTTATGTATAGGTTTAGTTTTAAAATAATCATTGTTGCCTCATTTTAGGACAAAATATTGTGACATTCTGAATGCAAGTAGCATGGATCCCAAGAATCATTGTGGAATTTACTTACCATCCCATCAATCAGCCCCATTCCCAAACCAATGGGTCCTCTCTCCAGCTCCACCACAAACACGTGGCACGAATCGTTCTCTGCGGAACGGCGACTGGAAGACTTTGGGGTCAGCAAGTCAAAGGCTGCAGACATCCTTCCTGGTCAAGAGAAATGCAAGCGTTCATCCTGGTGGTCACGGACTATGTCTGAGGTTAACTTTCCATTCTACTCCACAGAGAATCTCAACTGGATTCAATACTGAAAGTGCCTTCGGCAAAAAACAATAATAATGTCTCAAGTGATATTTCTGTCTGTGTAACAAAGAGAGACTCCAAATGAGCGGGAGGTGAACCAACAACAGAGTGATGTGGACTCAGTACAATGACTATTCTTGTTCCTCATTTTACATGCTTAAATCTCTCCAAAAAAAGAGTTGGACTAGTGACAGTGTCTCCAAACATGCTGAAAGGAACCTTGCAGATTAGGATGAGAGGCCAGTGATTCCCTCAGGGCTGAGTGTTTGCGGGGTACGTTAATTTGCTTAATGTACACATATCAGGATCCTTCCTCCACTCCAGATATCACTCCCCCTCCCACCCATCCCAGAAATTAATCGCGTATTGTGTTAGGCTTCAAAAGAATTGTGGGGTGGTCTGAAGATTAGATTTTGTGGTATTTGCATTGAAGGCAGAAACCAAAGGCCCACTGTTCTGTTGTGGGCACTCTGGGTCGCTACCCTGCGTGAGGGGTGCTATATAAATGCAAGTTGCTGTTATTGTTGGTCAAGTGATGGCCTCACATTCATTTGCTGTGGAATGCGCCTGACCATGGGCTCTCAATGCATCGGTGCTTTTGCACAAAAGGATCAAAGGCACGTTAATGCTTTTTGATCATTGATACAGCTTTGCTGCCTGAACTTTCCTCTGACCTTGAGGCTGGCTGGCGGAGAGAGAGAGAGAGTGGTGGGGGGGGAGGAGGACAGTACCTGACTAATATTCTATCTCTCACTATATTTACTTAGGTAATAGCTGTTAAACACCTTACAGCAGAGCAGGTGGTACAACCCCGTCCGTGTCAGCAAGTTTAGTGTTTCCAGAAACTTAACATCTATGGGTTATGGAGGAAGCAGATGGCCCAGATGAAATTGGAGGGTGGGTGCGGTGGGGAGGGCATTTGAAATTGGCTGGTGGGCTCCCGTTGGATCACCCTGCCTTACAGAATCTCGATCGCAGGCAGTTACTTACCTTCTCTCTCATTGGCTCCATTTCTGCACAAACCGTCCCTCCTGGTGTTTGATAACCGATCCCCCTCACCATTGGTCTGCATAAAGTCGTTGTGCCCAAGATCACAGTTCAAGGGCGTGTTTGGAGGGGTCAGAAGACAGGAGGGGTCTAATGGTTGCATGCTTTGACCTGGGAGTCTGTGCCTTCCGAGTGAGTTTTGGAGCTGAAGGTTGTGCAGTTTTTCCTTCAGTTCTTGGCAGGGGTTAAACTGTCTGTGGGACCCGCTCAGCCAGGAAGTGCTGGAATCTCTACCATCCATCTCCGCCTCAAGACCACTGCTGCTGCGATGATTGATTTGGCTGGAGTGATGATCCTGAACCTTGTGGCCAGAGAGTGCGGCCGGACTGTCTGACCGGAGCTGGTGAGGACTATGGGAAAGCGGGAATTCAGTCTGTAAGAGAAAAGGAAATAACGGACATTGTACACGGTGTCCGCAAAGTCCTGTTACCCTGATGTGTGTTTTTCAACAACTGAATCATGTGGAAGAATGACGATAATTGTATTTGAAAGTACTTAATTGTATTCAATTCAGGTGTTAACTGCATTTAGACGTCCAGAGGATCGGTGTGAGTGAGCGAGCGAATGAGTGAGGTCATCAATTTCATGGCATATAATGATCCGTCGCCATGTTCAGTGTCACATCTTCCATAACATGGATGGAGTGAGAAGGCCAAATGCATTTCTGACAACTTGTTTCAGCTCCTCCATCGTCTCACAAGAGGGCTTTGTGGACACCCTGTAGAGAACAAGTCACGGCTGCTCTGGCACTTTTCAACAACATTTTATTTTAATTTGTGCCACAAGTGTCGTGACACTGGTCTGCCTGATCAAATAAAAGTTTCCTTATATTGAACAAAAGCATCAGCAAAAATCTTCTCCAAAAAATATAATATAGTGAAAGTAAGAAAATAGCCATTGTCTGAGACTTTGTCTTTCCCAGTTTCTTATAGAGGAGGAATGTCCAACTCAGAATTCAATGTTCCCGATCCCTTTATTTCACCCCGAGTCCACATTAAGCTCAGTAACTCTAATCACTATCTCACACGATATTAAAAGACATTTGTAGACCAATTAGCTAGGCTTTGAAGCTTTTAAGTACGTACTGGATTACACGCCACTTTTTAAACCCACTTGTCTGCTTGAACTCAGACAGTTCAGATAATCTGTGAATTTCTTCCCATTTAATAGCATCTACAGTTGCTTCCTTCTTTGTGTTGACCAAGGAAACCTGCCCATCCCAGCCTCGGCTCTGACACTGGGTTAGTCATTTTCCAAAGAAAAAGTAATGATTGATTTGCAGTCTGTATTCCAGGCTTACAGTCCTGAGAAGGTCGGATGTTACTAGCTTCAGTTGTTATTACTTTTGTTCAGTGCGGTACTGTTGTCAGGTTAGACACCAAAGGGTCTTCACCAAAATTCCTTACAGTGAATGCCCACAGCACTCACTGCTTAATAACAATATTAATAATACACCATTTGATAAAGCGCCTGTAACGTTGATATCTTGGGACGTCCTCCTGACGTGAAAGGCGCTCTATAAATGGAATCTTGTTGTTGTTGTTGTTGTTGATGTTGCAAACAACTTCCTGCCTAACTTGCTGTGAAGTGACTGTGTATTTTGTAGGCAAACATGGCGTTTGATTTTGCAGTGCTTTCAATGGCAAGCTCGGGGTTTGTAGCTACACTATGAGGTTCCCACCTTATACTCTGTGCAATTAGGTGATCGTCCCTCCAGGAGAGTGGTTGAGCTCGCATTCCATTCCAGAAACGTGGACATTTCTACGGGTAGGCGGTTTATATTCGAGCGCCCCGGGACCCTACCCCGCGTGGAGGGAGCTACATAAATGCAAGTTGTTGCATGTGTGGAACACTCACTCTGAAGTGCGTGTGTCAAGACACCTGACTGACCAACACACAAACCTCCTGTACTGGTACCTCCAAAATAGATTGGCCATGTGTTGTCTGAAATCTGGTGCGTAGACTCCAGAGGAAATGGCGTATGTACAGCAGGTGCCTGTACACGTTGTCATCTATCGTATCCGCCTCCAAATCCACCTTAAAATTGCTGGTTGGTAGTACTATTGGAGGGTACTTGTCAAAGCTCAACATAATGTCCTCTGTGGAGCACAAAACAGCACAGGAGCTATGGGTTACACAGAGGAACTGTTTTCTGATATATGATTTGCTGGATATCTATTATAATAATAATCCTTACATTTAATATAGGTCCTTTCATGTCGGGAGGCTGACTCAAAGCCCTTCATGCAATAAACTGTAAAGTGTAGTGACTTAGAGTTTCATAAGCGAAATGCAGCAGCACAACAACATTCCACATCAGCTGTGAATGATTGATTTTTATCCACAGAAATGCGAGTGATATACATATGTTCCAGGACATTTAATTCATTCAACCTGATCTTCCTCACACAGGCCTTCAGCCAAATGGTGGCCTTAAATTCCACCTAGTCTTCATCTGCATGACTATTTTTTCCTGAAAATTAAAGATCATGTGCGAAAATTGTGCGAAATCCTTATCTTCTGTTTTAATTGGATGCCCATTTTAATTGCTGTACTTAAACAAAAAAAGGCTTTCAAATTGAAACTTTCCACAAGTCTGCACAGCCTTGAATTTTTTAGCAAACCAGCATAACTTGCGGAATTTCAGGCATAACTCGTTGGTTGCTAATCTCTAGAGTAACAATGACTTTAAATGCTACAACAACAACAACCTGCAACTATATAGAGCCCCTCACACAGGGCAACGTCCCAGAGCGCTGACACATAATGCACATTTGCATTAAGCATTCCTGCTCCTTGCGGACTTGTCACCCAGTCCTCACCTGTTTGGTATATCGCTGCCCTCTCCTTAGCCTTGGGCTGCCAGGATTCATTGGGCACCACTCCAGGTGCCAGCTGATAATGAGTAAGGATGTGAAGCATCTGAGAAGGGTTCAGAGGCTGGAATTCTCTTTTGAGGCGATGCCAACTGGTCTGTGGCAGAAGAGAAAATACAAAACAACCAAGGTCAGTGTTTATGGACAATACCTTATTGTGCAACTCTTGGATCTGGTAAAGGGTGTTATGGAATACTTTCACGGATCCATCCCATCAACTCCTCGGCTTGTGATCGTATCTTGCAAAACTGGAGATATCTGAAAACAACTTGTGCTTCAAGTTTACAATTCATTTTTATTTGATATATGCTTTTGCTCACTAAGCCACTGGGTTAATAATAATAAAAATAATCCTTGCATTTAATAAAGCACCTTATCAGGCCGTTGAGACATATCAAAGCGCTTCACAAAATATACTGTAAAGTGAATTTACTGTATATATTGTGGGTAAAACAAGGCAGCAAATTGCGCACAGCAGTGTGTCTGTGTGTGTAGAATGCTGTAATACCTGTATGAGGCAAGATGTAGGCACTGCCAGGAGTCTTACTGCACTGGAGAATTTGGAAAAGAATTCTTCGGCGATGTTGCCCATTCCCACGTTACGTATCCACTCGAGCAGCAGCCGGAGACTCGCCTGCATCTGTTCCCCTCTTGTCCAATGAAAGAATCCTTGCCTTGAGCCTGTACATTGCAAAATAATAGCAATTGTAATCATATCCCTTGCTTTTGTAACTCTGTCAAGATGTCCCAATTCTCGGCTGATATTTCAATGCAGTGCTGGGGGTGGGGTGGGGGAGAGGGGCTGAGTTGTCAGAGGCGCCATCCTTCTGCTGACATGTTGAACCGAGGTCCACCTGTCTGTGCTTTGTTTAGGTGGATGTCAAGGATCCAAAGGCTCTATTATAAAAGAGAAGGTAGTTTCTCCCAAATATAATCGGTCATTCACAACTGTGATTGTTTGTGGGACATTCTGCTGTGCACAAATATTTACACTTGCTGCACTTGACAGTAAATCCTGTGAAGGGCTTTGAGATGTTCTCCCAATGTGAAAGGCGCAATACTAAATGCAAGGATTATAATGAATATTTATTATGCAGACTGGGAGATATCCTGGAGTGCCTTGTGGGATTTCCGGTGAAGTGGATCTTGTGCTTTTTGGGGGTGAAACCCTTTTTTTACTGGACAAAAGCAGACAATGTATTTCATGAGCTGAACAATGTAAGGCTGACCTCAGTTTCCATTGGTTAAGGTGACAGATGGCATTTGCTGGGAAACTGAATCATTCTTCCACTTTGTCTGTCCCAGTGACAACATCAAGCAAGGTATGAAATTGGGATTGTAGAATTCACTGCAGAATTCTGGCTACATTACCCTGATTGTCTCTACTTCAACTCCACTTTCAAAAGATAGCTCTCTTGCGCAATGAGACTTTTCTGTTTTTCCACACAATTGATTTTAGACCTGGTGTGAACATCGCAGGTTAGTTCATAATCTGAAAGCCTGTTTCAGTCCTGGAAACACCCACATGAAAGTCATTGTAACCCTTAATGGCTAACTGAGCATGAACACACTCTGTTGGTTGTCTTTAATTTGTCTACTGTGGTGTTAACTGCGTCCTCATTTGATGTGTCAGAGGCGCTGTTTTTCTGATGAAACATTAACCGAGGTCCCTAACAGATCCCGCGTCACTACTCGAAATAAGAAGGGATTCTGTTCCAGTTCCTGCCCTAACACTCCTCCAGATAAAATTGGTCATTCACTTTCTGGCTGTTTGTGAGAAGTTTAAGATGTGTGCAAATCGGCTGCCCCGATCACCTGCAAAATACACAGTCACTACACTCTGCAGTAAAATCTTGGGAAGCACTCTGAGACTTTCATCAACATGATATATTAAATGCAAGGATTATGATTATTATTTAAAACATGTTTGCCCAGCGCTTTGGGATGTCCTCCCGACATGAAAGCCGCCATACAATTTGTTGTTGTTAAGGCCGTGCTGTGATGTGCTATTTAGCAGTTTTGGGGAATCACTTGCAATATATTCTCAAACTAGAACTAAAATGGGGGAAAGAGGATTCAGAAAAGTGCAATTGTTTACATTTCACAAGTGAAGAAAATATGTAAGAAATTGTGATTGACGTCAGATCTGCTCTCAGCTACTCTTCCCCGAGAGCAACAGGGAACAACAACAACAACTTGCACTTATATAACACCCTCTCAGAGCGATTAAATGGGGAAATGAGAAGCTGCTGAACCGTGGCTCCAAAAGTGATACATAATTTACAAGTATTGTTTTTTATTACAGAGTTCAACAGAGGGACTGAGAGTGAACAGCTCAGCCTTTCTGACCTGCAAATATCCATTTTTGTACCTGTCTCAGCATTCTTTTGACTGGTGTGTGCTGTTCCACAGAATAGTTGGGAAGCAAGGGGGGCCTTTTTTCAGCTTGGGTTTAAGAAAAAAAACACCTTGTGCTTAAAAAAAGACTTAGATGTGAAGGGTGCTATACATTATTTACATTTACAAATTTTCAAAATTTATAAATTTGCAGTTATATACAGTAAAACTTGCATCTGTCGGTGACTGACTGACTGTGTGACTGACTGACTGTGTGACTGACTGAAGTTCACGGCTTTCTTCAGCCGGTTGCTTGTGCCGTTTGCGGAATGTCCTGAGATCAAGAGACAAACTTCTCCAAAGCTCAAAGGCACATGTCATTCTATTGCTTAACTACTGACCTCAAGGGCCGCCCAGTATCTGAGAAGTGGAGTGAGTTACAAAGTCCAAATCTGATCGAGGAGGGCTTCAGAGCACCTTGTAAACCATGGGAACAGTTTGTGAGCACCATTTGATCCACTTTGGTTCACTTATGCTCTTGAAGTTGCTCCTCACAGTTTGTTTGATATACGTGAAAAGCTCTATATAAAATGCAAGGATTATTATTATTACTACTATTATGAAGAGGTTTCTGCGCGCTAACAGAAAGCTTCTGCATGCTAACAGAAAGCTCCTCGCTGCTTTCAATGCCTTGATGACATGTGCTCTGATGTATGCTTTCCTCCATCTCTGCAATATTGGCCACATTTGCCATGATCTCACCCCAAACCCTCATCCTCACTTTAGTTTACCTCCATACTATCTGTGGTTACTGTACTAATAATCCTTGCATTTGATGCAGAGTCATCTCAAAGTGCTTCACCGAATATACTACAAAGTGGATCGATCATGCATCTTGTGGGTGAAATGCAGCAGCGAATTGCGCACAGTAGGGTCCCACAAATGGCCGTGGATTGAGTGACCAAATTATTATTTACCCCCAAATTCACCCAAACCAATCTCACTCACCTCCGTACTCGACCTTTATGCTTTACGCCGTACATCTTTCTATGGCAGCCAGATCTGATCTGGTGTGACCCAGGGACACAGTAACCACACTGGGAGATGGATGAACTGCTCACCAATGAGTCAGTCCCACTGGGGAGCTCCTTTTCCAAAGAATGACCTAATGGTGAGAATTAAGGGCACAGGGTCCGTGTGCAAACACTAAATCGAGGCTGGATGGGAGCCATGATTCTGAGGCTAGCAATTACCAGGGCTACATAAACTGCCAGTTTACCAATACATCACACTGATGACCTAACCTGACCATGGTTGTATTGAACAGTTAATAATAGTTCAAGATTCTACATCTAACTGGTGCATTGTTTAAACATTACTGCACTTTTGGGAATCTTTCCCCACCACCCTTTCAGCTCAACATTCCTGAGCTCTGGTGCCCAGCCAGCTATGTAAATCTTTGAGATATCCTTCCGTTGTATATGAAATGCATTGCGTGAGTCCAAATTGTATTTTACTGTACTGCATTAGAGTTCTTTGTGCTGTCTTTATACCCCACCACAACCTTGCTCTTCCCTTAATTTATGCCCTGCTAACTCCATATACACCTGTCCGCTTCCTCCGCTCAGCGGACTCCTGCCTGCTCCATGTCCTCCCACTGCCTGCCCCACTATCGGCGGTCGGGCCTTCAGCCTCTCTGTCTCCACCCTTTGGAACTCCATCCCATAGTCCCTTCGCCTCGCTTCCTTCAAGGCCAATCTCAAGACCCTCTTCTTTGACTGCACCTTCGGTCACCCTCCTACCCCTACCCTCCCTATCCTGCAGCCCTCCTGATGCCAACAACCAGCTTGGGTCCAAATCCCAGACTTACCAGCACCTTGGAACATCCTCCAGACATGAAAGATGTAATTTGTTGTTGTTGTTAAACTCACCCCTGTCCATGAGCTGATTGAAGAGGGAAGCATTGGAGAAGAAGAAGAGGTAAGCAAACATCTGGGCAGCGATCTCTGGGTGCACCTCGTACTGATGGAGAAGGTCCAAGGTGGTCTGGTAGATCTGCATCACATTCCGAACCGGCTCGGGGAGGGAGGAGGAGCTCTCCCAGGAACCCCCAATCTCCGTCTGGAAGGGATTGCAGTCCAGGAAGGCAGGCAGTGCGACATAGAGAGCCTGAGAGAAAGAAAATGGAATACCTTTTTATTAAAAAAGACATACCGGGTCTGGCTGTTTGCGGGACATTGCAAATTGCCTGCCGCATTTGCCTACAACATATGATCGCTCCTCAGCCTTTTGACGAAGATCAAGTGTAGTTTCTGTTCGCATCAGTTACTTCTTTAGCTAAAGCAAAGCTGGAGTTGTTGACATTGACTTGTGTTGTTACCATGACCCAATCTCACCCAGACCTGGACATGGGAAGGATTAAGCTCCTGGCTAAAGCTATGCTGTTCACCCTCTGTTGGTTGGGGTAGGTATTGCAGCATTATTTGGGGACAGCAGGATTGATGGGAATTGGCAGCTACCCCAGACTTTCCAATAATGTGAGCTGCTTTTACATTCCCACACTCCCCTCCAACCCCAACCCAGCCCTCTCCTTTGACCTTTATCATCACAATATGTAGCAAGATGCCTAGAGTGGTAAACGAAGCAGAGCAGAATCACAGCAATGGCATGTTCTGTTTGTTTTCTCTTGCGTGTCCCAACCTAAATTTTTCTGCTGTGCCAGATGTGGCTTCCTCTCCAGTCCATCAGCAGCATCTTTGTGCCTTTCAATCCCAGAGCTGCTAACGTGCGCACAGCATGAGACTCTTCCCCTCCCGTGAACTCAGAAACCATTGTGATGTGGACGGAGGAGACTTAGCCTCACTGACGCCCACTGGAGGGTGAATCCTGGCCAAGAAACGGAAGCAGATTCCCATTATTTTTACGCTATAATTTTCTCTTCCAATTTATGAGACTTTGTCGTAAATCTGATGCAGCAAGCGTAGAATAACGAGGACATAAAACACTGTGAAACCAGCAATCAGATTTTCATCTCTGTAGTTCACGTATACTTCCTGTCACTCTCGAAATCCTCTTGTGCACCACCTTACAACAGCTTCATTCATAATTCCGTTCCTTCTAGTTTAAACTTTCTCACACTTCATTAGTGACTGCTGGTACAAGAAACAGCTTATTCAACCAATTAGTTCTGCCACTCCCCACACCCAATAAAATATTCCATCCTCAAAAAAAAAAGGGATATCACTCCCACCTTTTCAACTGTGTCTGTCGTTACCTTCTTCTCATAATACCCCCACCCCCATAGGGCTCTTTGGCTTGCAGGGTTAACAGGAGCTAAGTGGGAAGTGAGTCACCATTTATGTCCAAACTTCCTATAACTTGCAATCCTGCTCTTAACTGATATTAATCCAGATCCCTTGTTAAAGACATTTCAGTGCAGCATTTGTAAAAGTCCTACCCCCATCCTCCCTGCCCTCTAACCCTTCTGATCCCTACCCCCAATCCGGGTGCAAATCCTTGACTGTCCAGCATCTTCGGACATCCTTCCAGCGTGAAAGCTGCTATATAAATATAATTTGTAAGTTGTTGTAAACTCAACTAACCTTTGTGATGTAGTAGACACACTGCTGGAATGTGTGCATGATCACCTCTTCCAGAATAGTCATGACTTCTTCATTGGCTGAAATTGAGCATGAAAGTAATGATTCTTTGGATCCTAAAATGGACAAAAATAACACACCTTTGTCAACATTATTGCAAACCCTGGACAACCTTTAATTCTTGTTTTTCTTCTCACAAGGGAGATTTGGATGAAAACCCTTTGGTCCATTTGGTCCTCCCGATGTGGAAGGTGCTCTATACGTATAAATTGCTCTTTTTCTCACCTTTTTACCCTGCCATCCTTCCATCAAAGTATCAAGTTCTTTTTAAAAATAAGTCAGTCTCAACAACACGTAATCCTGCCGCAGTCGTTAATTATCCTCTGAGTAAAGAAATACTTCCTGGTGTCTATCCTGAAATTGCCCTTTGCAATTCTACACCTCTGTCCTCTTGCTCTTCTATACCTGAATAAGATTCCCTCTTTTTAAGACTGAAGATCGTCAATCTTTGCTTAATCTTTGCTTGTAGCTCATTTGCCATTAAAAGCGCTGGGGGGGGGGGGGGGGGTTGCAAGTCAATGAATGTGCCTCTCTCTCCAGACCATGTATGTATAATTATCTTAAAAACTTGACTAAGTTCATCTTGAGTCTAGCAAATGTTTTTCTTTCCCCTTTTCAGAAGATTATCCTGGAAAGAAAATGTGCAGTCAGTGGTTGTGCAGATGGATTAGTTACACACTCACTCTATATATCCTAATGAGATCCCCAGGGCCAGGTTCCCACACAGACAGCATTGCCAACATTATAATCCTCCATATAAAATCACGATCCTGAAGGTTGCTAACATTCAACGACTAACTATCAACAACAACTTGACTTATATAGCGCCCTCCACTCAGGGCAACATCTCAGAGCGCTCAGACTGCCGTTCTAACTGTTGGATTAGAGCTAAGAGTAATGAGGAGATTCAGTACATTTCATAACATTTTAGGGAAAAAACCCAGAACCTGACCATTGAACGGTTTGCGTTCTTTTTCTGGTTTTAAACAATTGCGTCTCGACCGTTCAACACCAGTGAGATATGGAATTCCACCTAGTCCCAGTCTGCGAGGCCATCCTGTCTGAAATTTAAGATAATGCAGAATTCTGGAACATTCTTGAATTCAATCTTAACAGAAACACATACTGACACACAAAAACACACACAACAAATAAACAAAACAAACACAACAAATAAACAAAATAAAGGACATTTATTTCTGTCAGCAAAGTTTTCTTGTAAAGGAACTAACCACTGGTTTAGGTTTTTATAACAGCAACAACTGGGATTTACATAGCGCCCTCCACGCCGAACGGTGTCTCAGAGCTTCACAGTAACGGATTCCGGGACCGAGCCAGGGGGAGGGGGAGGAAGGTGACCAAAGGCGCGGTCAAAAAGAAAGGTCTTCAGCAGGGATTATAATCCAATTTAAATGTTTTAATAATATAAAACAACAGGAACTCGGTCGTTTGGGCTTATCAGGATTAGTTTTTAGGATTTGGGTTTACTTTAGGGTTTTTTTTTTAAAAAAAAACAGTTTGGGGATCAGGGATCGGGAGGGGCTGCAGGGTTGGGATGAGGGAGGGCAAAGGGGGTAGGAGGGCGGCTGAAGCCACGGTCGAAAAGGAGGGCTTCGAATTGTGCCTTGAAGGAGGCAAGAGAGGGAGCGAGGCGAAGAGATTGTGGGATGGAGTTCCAAATGGTGAGGCTGAAAGCCTGGCCATCAATGCTAGGGCGGGTCGGTCGGGAGAACCGGAGCAGGCCAGAGCCTGCTGAGTGGAGGGAATGGGCAGGTTGATAGGGGGACAGCAGGTCAGAGAAGTTGGAGGTGGCAAGGCCGTGGAGGGCCTTGAAAGTGAGGACAAGGATTTTGAATTCTATCCTCTGAGGAATGGGGAGCCAGTGGAGCCAGGCGAGGGTGGGGGTGATGGGGTCACAGAGCCTGTGAGGGAGAGAACACGAGCTGCAGTTCTGGGTGATCTGCAGCTTGTGGAGGGAAGAGTTGGGGAGCCTGACAAGGAGGGAGTTTCCGTAATCGAGCCTTGAGGTAACGAATGAGTGTATGAGAGTTTCGGTGGCCTGAGGGGTGAGGCAGTGGCGGAATTGGGCAATGTTGCGGAGGTGGGGGAAGGCAGAGCAGAACATGGCACGATATGGGGGAGAAAGGACAGTTGAGGGTCGAACAAGATGCCCAGTTTCCTGACTGGCTTGGTGAGGTGGAGTGGGCATCCGTGGATATTGATGCTGCCTGAGGTGCAGAGGCGCTGGAGCGAGCCAATCAGGATTGTGAAGAACTGCAACAGTTCAGTTTAAGTAAGCACTTACCTTCCCAAAATGACATGCTGCGGAACCCGAATTGCACAAACAATAGGGTGGTCACTTGCACTTGAGCAATTAATAACATAATGACCACTACCTACACTGCACCACCGGTGGTTTACGACACTGAATCACTTTGTACTGTTCAGCAATCGTCCATTCCACCTGAGAAATGTAACCCTACATTATTGTTAATAAACTCAGTGTGAATCCTCTGCCAGATAAATGAACTGCTCCAAATGTTCATTTAACAGACTCTAACTACAGATTTCCACATGAATGTTTCCTAATACATCTTGGTTTATCTCAGACAGCAGGAATAATACAAGGGATTGCGGACTACTTGTTTAATTCTGCATAATCATTCTGTTAACTGCACGTCACACTAATATCACTGATAGCCTTCTGACGAAGGGTTGTGGACCCGAAACGTTGACTCACTTTCCTTTCTCCATAGATGCTGCCTGACCTGCTGAGTGTTCCCAGCTCTCTCTGTTTTTGTGGTCGTTGATAGCCTTTGCTGGCCACTCCTTATCCCGGCTGGCTTCCTAGTTAAATGCTGATAAGTCTGTTCTTCAGGTTAGCATTTCATCACTGAGATGATGTGAGCAATTTCAAGCCAATTTCAAAGTTGATGGGTTGAAATTTGAGACTTTACTGCTACAGTGGAGATGGCAAGCGGGCAAGTGGGGGAGGCGGGAGGAGGGAGGGCGGAGGAGAGAGGGCAGCTCGGGCAGGAAGGGAGTTGTAGGTAAGAGTGATTGTTAGTGGAATACAAGATTTTTCTTTATTAACTAATGGTGTGGAGTCCTGTAGCTCAGTGGTTAGAGCACTTGCCTCGCAAGCAAGAGGTCCTGGTTTTGTTTCCTGGTTAGGGGGAACCCTTAGGCAAGTTTTGTTACTCTGTTTACCTAACAAAAAGTAGGAACCCGGTTGTTAAGTCGATTAGCGGATTGCTTTTTGGGTGGTAATAATCCCTTAAAAAGATAATAATTTGGTCACTCAATCCACGACTGTTTGTGGGACGCTGCTGTGCACAATTGGCTACTGTGTTTGGCCTACAAAATATACAGTCAATTCACTTTGAGGTATATTCTGTGAAGCGCTTTGAGATGCTTCAATGAGTGATAAGGCCCTACATCAAATGCAAGGATTATTATGATACTAAAGAGATTATTTCGACAACTAACAATGGAAGCAGGTAATCTAAACCTTAATCCAATACCACAATGAAAATGGTATTGGGATGGGATGGATGGGAGCGGGGCCACTGAATGCGTTAAATATTGAATGTCCCATTAAATGGACCCTGATTTTGTCCAGAAAAAAAACATAATACTGATTTTCATTTTTGAGATACTAAACAAACATCTATTTAAAAACCTTTTCCTCCTCATCAAGAAAAAACTATTGTGATTATTCTCGGTAGTTACAATCTTCTAAATTGTTCGCAATCAACCTTTCGGGAAAGTAATAAATGTGTTCAAGCTACCACACACGGCAGGAAACCTTCAAATGTGCATAATGGTTTCATTGACCAATACATCACTCAGACAACCACAGCTAAAGCTCTTGAGGAGATAAAATTACCGTGGTTTCGCAATGGTTCAGAGTAACCTGAAAATCCCAGATCTATACAGTGTCTGATTCAATCAATTTTGTTTTATTATCTATGGTTGCCTAGTTACGTGAATGCTGTACGTGTGTGTGTGTGTATGTGTGTGTTTGCGAGTGTGTGCGAGTGAGGGGAATCATGTGCACATTAGGACAGGGATTACTTTTTAGGGCTGTGTTTATAGAAGTCAATAAAACATTTCAGTATTAGTGTTAGTTTAATGTTTAGGGAGGGACAGATAGGACACGAATCCTCATTGCCTGTTATTTCTCCCTCGTTCATATTCAAATTCTTGTACTGTATTAGCGTGTGCAGTGGATGTAAAGCTCCCCCTAGCATCAGACTACAACCTCCTCACGAGGAAGAGTAAATGGCTCTCGAATACATAAAGTACAATGGGTTGTTGGTTTGACAAAATTTACAATGTCACCTCAAGAACGTTTCTTTCAATGACCATTTCCCCCCTGCTCGGGTCCTGACCCAACTGTACAGCGCCTTGGGACGTCCTCCCGACGTGAAAGGCGCTCTATAAATGGAATCTTATTGTTGTTGTTTTTCTAAACTGAACGCAAATCAAGATCAGTACTGAGCGTGACAGGGGCAAGCGTAATCAGGTGGCGATGGGGGATGGGGGGGAAGTGTCCAGAATGCTACTTTGCCAAGGATAAAGGAAGTTAATTTTATTGGCAGCCGAGGACAACAACAACTTGCATTTATAGCACACCCTCCATGCCGGACGGCGTCTCAGAGCCCTTGAGGACCTTTCACGTTGGGAGAAAGTCTCAAAGTGTTTCATAAGATACACTGTAAAGTGGAGTGACTGTGTGTTTGTTGGAGACCATATGCAAATACTCAGTCACTACACCTGACAGCAATTCCCCGTGAAGCACTTTGAGATGTTTCAATGTTTCAGGCATTATATAAAATGTAAAATGAATATTGTGATGATCAATCATTTTGAGCTTTTGTGTATATTTTATGGCATGAAAATAAAAGCAGCCAATTTGGTTGCAGCAACATCCCACAAACAGCTATAGAATGAGTGAACAATTTTAAGTGTTCGCCAGGACAAACGGGAGAAACCCAACTTCCTCAAAGATGCCTTGTTGTTGGTTAAAGTAAAGATAGTTAAACAGCTTCAATAACAATAATCCTTGCATTTGGTATAGCGCTTTATCAACTTGGAAGGATCTCTCTTTCACATTAACAAAAAGAAGATCGGTCAGGATGAATATAGGGAGCAATTTACACGCGCTAAGTCTCAAGGCAGATTTCAAATTGCGGCTGAAATTTTAAGTGTTTAAGTTGTGAAATAGGCCTTTATTGTCTCTGAACTGAGCAGTTGGCTGCAAGGACATGCAGATGGCAAGCTCTCGCTAATCTAAGGTATTTAAAGTGGCTTTGTCTGACATCTATCACAGCTGATTTGTTTTCTGAAATCCTCAGAAAGTCATGCAGCATGTCATCGCGGCCAGTGCCACTGTCGCTCAGTTAAAAAAGTGTCCTGACAGTGTAGAACAGGTACTACGCTTCCTGCGTGGGAGAGAATGCATCTCACTTGTATCCTGCAGATCGAGGGAGGGAGGGAAAGTTGACTGGCATTGACTAGGCAGGTTAACTACCACTTAGTATTCCATATCTGCTCCTGTGAGCCCATATGTGTTTCTATATGTCACATTTACACTAAGGTGGAGATGGTAACTTGTTCCTAACACAGCCTCACGTTGCAGTCTGTGAACCAATTCCCTAAGTTAAGTTCAATGCTATATCGTTCCTGGTGAGGGGCTTGGGGGGGCTGCCAGTTACACCACAGGCTTGGACTAACTCTGTAATCTCAGATCACATAATAATCATTGCATTTAATACAGCGCTTTGTTTCAAAGTGTTTCACAGGATATATTGTAAGTGAATTGACTGTCAATCGTGGCAGCCAAGGAAGGTTATTACACCCAGAAAGCGATCCGCCAATCGACTAACAACCAGTTTCCTACTTACTAAGTAAACAGAGGTGTGTGGAATAAGGAAACTTGCCGAAGGTTTCGCCCTGTCTCACCTGGGAATTGAACCCGAGTCCTCTCGCTCGCTAAAAACTACCCTGCGGGACTCCATAATAATAATCCCTCCAAAACCAAAAACAATAATAAATTGGTCATTTTCAATCTACGACTGTTTGTGGGACATTGCTGTGCGCAATTGGCTGCCGTGTTCGCCCACAAATATACAATCAATTCACTTTACAGTGTGTTCTGTGAAGCGCTTTGGGACGTCCTCCCGACGTGAAAAGCGCTACATCAAATGCAAGGATTATTATTATTATTATGGAAGTAATACACTGGTAACAATGAAGTTTCTGAGATCCGAGACTGCAATCCGACTGAAATTCTCTGCCTCTGCTATGTTTTCTGCAATGTGTTTGATTCCTCTCTTGACACCTACACTCTCTCCTGCCTTTGGCCCTTTGCTGAACATAAGTGAGGAGGTTAAACCTTACTTTAGATTATTTAAACGCACAAAGATCACAAAGTACTAGACAATGCTAACATTGATCAGGAGATTAGTTTTACACTGTGGCTGTCTTAAAACATGTGTTATTCTGATCAGAATGAACAACACTTAGTGTTGAACTGATTTTTATCTTGAGTTAGGAACAATCGAACGGAATGCAATTGTCCTAGAATTTTTGATGTTATAGACGCTGTATTAAATTCAAGGATTGTTTCTATCATTACAATGTAAATTATGCCTAATTGGAAGCATCTACTCTAATCCCATTCCCCTGGCCTTTGCACCATCACCTCTTATGTCTTAATCCTCTAAATGTTATCCATTTCCCCTTTGTGTACTTCCATACTGATCTGTCCGCTTCCTCGTCTCAGCAGCTCAGGCCTGTTCCATGTTCCCGACCTGCCTGTCCCACCATCAGCAGTCAAGCCTTCAGCCTCTCTGCCCACACCCTTTGAAACTCCATCCCACAGTCCTTTCATCTCACTCCCTCTCTTGCCTCTTCAAGGCTTTCAAGACCTTCTTCTTCGACCGCGCCTTTGGTCAGCCTGCTACCTCCACCCCCTGCCCTCCACCTCTCCTGATCCCAACTTCCAGCTCGGGTCCAAATCCCTGACTGTCCAGCACCTTGGGATGTCCTTCCAATGTAATTTGTTGTATGTTTTCAGTTCTCAGTACCTGCTAAATGCACAACTATGTCTCGTGAGTGATCCAGGTCCTCAATGCCCTGGATGTAGTCTGGGACCTTCTGCTGGATGAAGTAAAGCAGCTCAATGGAGTTGGACATCCAGAAAAAAATGTGCTGCAAGTCTGGCACCAGGTCTGCGATGCTGAGTAGAGGCAGAGTCGTTGTATCCTGGCTGGGTGATGAAGGCAGTGAAGGATTTGGTGGGAGGAAAAGACAACACAATTACTCCATTCGTAACACATAGAAGGTGAAAAACACATCACTGTTAAAAAATGTCTTCACATCACATTTGTTCAGAACTCATTTGCATGCAGCTCAATGCTAATGCTATATCACTTGGCAACTTAGATGGGACCCATGGAACCACACACACAATCTGGAACTCTCTCTCACTCTTTCCTCCTCGTTCCCTTTCCTCTGCTTTCAAAGCTCATATGTAAACCCTCTGTGCCTTCCACCAACTCACCACCCCCCACCCCACCCTCCCACCTCCCCAATCTCCTGCGCTGCTCAGTGCGTAATATCATTAAGCACTGCTCTGCTGCTCTACTCCTTACTTTAGTCAGTTACGTGGAAACCAACATACCAGGAGAGCAGCCAAATCTTGATAGTGTTCACTGACCATAGCAGGGCTCAGTGAAAAGAGCTAAAGAGACTTTGGAACCAAATCACTGGTTATGAGAACTGGAGGACTTACTGTTCGGATTGTTTCTCTGCCAACTCTCTGGTCTTCTCCTGTGGAAAAACACACCCGTTCGAGTAAGAACATAGTAATCTGGATGTCACATCCCCAAATCCCTCCGCCTCCCTCCCTTCCTGTTTTCAATCCTTTTTCACCTCCTCTCGTCTAACAGGGACTTGCCCCAATCAGTGGCTAAGCCTTCAGAACCTCCGCCCATAACCTCTGCCTCTCTGTCTCCCCTCCTCCAAGTCTATCCGTGCTTTTGCCCTCTGTAAAAACCTACCTCTTCGTTTGTGCCTTTGGATAGAGTTTATAGTTTGGGACATGACAGGTGCATACAACTGCTAGAATTGTGGAAGGTGAACTGGATGGATCTTGGTCTTCTTTTGTCTAGCAATTCTTACGTTCTCCCTCTCTCATTATCCTGTCCTTGTAAAGACCTTACCCCTCCCCCTTTTCTTTGCAATGAGTGTTGCAGGATCTCTAATGTTCACCTGAGCAGACAGACAGGATGTCGGTTTGACATCTCAAACGACAATATAGCGCTCCATCCCGAACATTGCATCAGAGAGTCAGCCTGGACTGAGCTAGAGCCCCTACGTGAGGCTTGAACACACAACCTTCTGACCTCGAGGTGTGTCAGTTAATAAGCTAGGCTGATGGGTACAATTGCCATGAGCTGGAGCAACTTTATAAGAGACATCTGTCGACCAGTGCATGTGCTTGCTGATGATTTACCGTTGTGTTTTTTGATAATTTTAAATTGACCTGATTTTAACTGATTTTCTGAAACCCGAGAAACCAAATTGTGAAAGTTACAGCTTTACGACATCTGACTTCACTTGACGACGAGATGGGATTTCTGCACTTTGGTTTCAATAACCGTTGCTAAGTTTGCTGCACAGCATCAGAGACAAACAACTCCTTGTCCTGCACAACAAAATATTACATTTACACAGTGCCTTTCATGTCAGGAGGATGTCCCAAGCTGCTGGACAGTCAGGGATTTGGACTTGAACTGGAGGTTGGGATCAGGAGGGGTGAAGGGCAAGGGAGGGTGGGGGTAGGAGGGTAAACAGAGGTGCAGTCGCAGAGGAGGGTTTGAGATGGGCCTTGAAGGAGCCAAGGGAGTGATGTGGGGAATGGGTAAGGGGGAGGGGTGGTAAAAAGGGTTAAACCCACAACCTTCTGACTCAGAAGCGAGAGAATGACCAGCATAACTGAGCCAGGAACAAGTGACCACTAGCCCAACAATCTGGATTAAAAAGTGAGAAAACCCCCCCCAAAAATCAAGTTTAAAATGTAGGTCAACAATCTATACTAGTAAAATGACAATGTCTGTCTGCGCTTCAAAAAGGATCTCAATAACTGTTGACATAGTGACATGATTTATACCTTATCGGAAAGGTCTTGCAACTGGGAGTAGCATGGGCATATTTGTTTAAAATGTATTTCAGTTTTGCGTTCTTCGCTGCAGTTACACCTGGTGGCCGCCCGGCTGACCGTGGTGCTGTGGCATCGTGCGTCACAGAGCACCCACATAGCCAAGCAGAGGCGGGAACAAAATAAAGAACCCAGACGAAGCTAAGTCATAGCAACAACAACAAAATTACATTTTTAAAGGGACTTCCATGTCGGGAAGACGTCCCAGTGATTATAAGTGATACATTTATATTGGTCATTATAAAGATGCCTAAGTGAAAATCAAACTTTTCAAGGATAAGTAAAAATGCTAGACGAAGAGAGAAGGCATTTCTCAGTTTGCTTTTATATAGCCCCCTCCACGCCGGACGTCTTGGAGCTTGACAATAGTGGAGCCTGAGGCCGAGCCAGGGGCAGGGAGAAAGTAACCGTAGGCACAGTCGAAGAGGAAGGTCTTCGGGCGCAACCTGAAGATGGGGAAGGAGGGGGCGAAGCCAAGGGGTTGAGGGAGAGAGTTCCAAAGTTTCGGGGTTTAGTGGCTGAAGGCATGGACGCTAATAGTGGAGCAGAGGATTCGGGAGACACGGGGGAGACACAGCCGAACTTCTGTGCGGAGAACAGCAAACTAAAGAACAAAGAACAGTGCGACTGCACTTCAATGCTGAAAGGACTGCAACAATGCGCCAAAATGAGTTGCCCACTCAAAGAGCAGCATGGGCAAAATGAGTACTCACACAGAAGTCCTCCCAGATGAGTATAGATAAAGATAAAATGTTTGTCTGTCTGTATGTCAATCTACATTCCATATTGGATCTTTTGGTTGCAAGTGAAGCTGCAATGGGTACAGCTGGTATTAATTAAAAGTCTAAATTCCCTGCTCCCCAAAAAATGGAAAACCACCAACTCTAGGTACATAGATGAGTAAAGCATGGCAGCCATGTATATGGTGGAACCTCAATACACAGCAGTGAGTGTGTGTGCAAGGCTTTAACACAGCCCTGAGCCACAACAGAAAGGTTCCTCACTGACAGCAATGGGCAAAAGGCGACTGGACAAAGCTGACATCTGCGTGACTCGCCCCTCAAGCTCCCTCGACTGAGAAGGACATGCAGCTCTGTAGTGTATTCTGTAGCCCTGTGGTGTACAGGGAGGCTTGTGGTGTATTGTGGAGGCCTGTGGTGTATTGGTTAGAGCACTCATCTCACAAGTGAGAGGGCCTGGGTTTGATGCCCGAGCAGGGTAAAACCTTAGGCAAGTTCCCTTACTCCACATACCTCTGCTTACCTAGCAGTAAGTAGGAACCCGGTTGTTAGTCGATTGGTGAATGACTAATCGGCGGTAATAATCCCTTCAAAAAATAATAATAACCCATGACTGTCTGTGGGACACTGCTGCACGCAATTGTTTGCCGCATTTTGCCCACAAAATACACAGTCACTACACTTTACAGTGTATTCCGTGATGAGCTTCGATTAGATGCTACACCAAGCACAAAGATTATTATGATAAGGTTGAATAATGTAACGTGGCACTGACCCATGCGACAGCTTGGATCTTGTCCGCAATCCTCAGCAGCAGCTTCATAACCTGACCGGGCTGGAAGCTGCTGGCTGAATGTTGGACACACAGACACAGCAGACAGGCGGGGGTCAGCTTGTGATCGTCAGCACAGGGTTCGATGAGCGTCAGGATCTTGTCCACCAGTAGCTCCTCAAAGGCCTGATGATACTCCAGCTGTAGCCTCTTCCTCTGGGTCCCACCGCCATCACCACAATTGGCGCTGCTTTCCCCGATGGCAGAAACAGGCAGCAGCTCCCCGCCGGCAGACGGACTGTCCCACAACACGGAGCCACACACCTGGCAGGTGGTCCTGCTGTGTGGAGCCCTGGGCTGTGCCGGGCGGTGCAGGTTCCTCAGTAGGGAGTGGGTGTGGGCTGGTAGCTCCATGGTTCGCTGAGGGTCTCGGAAGAGGAAGAGGTAGCAACGACCGAACCCCACCAGATCGCCGTGTCGGAGCGCCGTCGCCTGTTCCACCTGCGAGAGGCTGACAGACACACGGGCATCGGGGAAGGGCTCGAGCTCGAGTACCCTCTGCTCCCCCGCCTTGGCCCCCCGGACCCTCCTCACCCGGCAGTGCAGCGGCAGGATGTCAGGGGCTAGAAGACAGATGTTGGGCTTGGCCGAGGCAGTCTCCCGCCCCACGATGTGGCTCTCGCCATCCAGAGGGTAAACCAGGCCATCCTGCCATCACACGCACACAGTCACACCGTGCCACACAGTCACACCACACACCGTCACACAGTCACACACCGTCACACACCGTCACACAGTCACACCGCGCCACACACAGTCACACAGTCACACCGCGCCACACACCGTCACACAGTCACACCGCGCCACAACCATCAGAGAGGGCTGGCTCCATTCCCACATTCCGTTGCTAAACATATCACCTTGGAGCCAGTTCAGCTTACCTCCAACTCAATATCATTGGGAGAAAATGCTTCTTATCCTCAAAGCGTGTTTAATGGTAATTAGATGTGGTTAACGTCCTTTTAGACCTTGGTTATAATTCATTTTTTTTTAAAAATTCATCTTTTTAACTACTTTTACTCAATCATGGTTTAGCATTGTTATGTAAAATGTGTTTTATATACTTATTATTATATTGTGTTATTGTATTATTAAGTCAAGCTATTGACGGGTCAATATAAGCCAAGCACTTTGATGTGATGGCAGATGCGATACTGTGTAACTATGCGGTAATTAACTTTTGTTTAGTGCTAATTAATTATGGTTGTATCACCTGCCTCTGAATTTGCTTCACTCTTAACTTTACAATTCAATATTGGCCTCATAATGTTACATTTTGGATTATTCATAAAGTCTGACATTCGTTGTTCATTTCTGCTGTACATTCTACATTCGCTGCAGACGGCAATGAGTGTGTTTGTGCTCCCAACACTAACCAGTTCTGGATTTGTGTCTTACAATCCCCAAGTAAACTTGGTCACTTACTCCACTTTACAGTATTTCCTGTGAAACACTTTGAGATGTGATAAGGCGCTATATCAATATTATTATTACACTAACCCTGTCCTGAAGGAATATCACAGAGTTTGTGTATCGCACTTACATTCGGATGGTTGTATCCTTGCAGAAGCAGCAGGTGAGGGAGCTGGCCAACAGAGACCAAGGGATCTTGAACGTTGCCCTTCTGCTCCTTTTTACTGCTTGCCGTGTGGAGTCTCTCCTTCTTGCTCCTCCTCACCGGCAACCCGGGCAGCGTGGAGTACAGCCGTTGTTGTTGTTCCTCCGCCTGATTCCCAGCCAGAGTCAGACTTGTCTCACTGACACTGCGTCTGAGAGGCAGCAGCTCATATGTGCAGCCTGACATTGCTGGGTTGTTGCCTTTTGCACGATTCCTCTGTAGTTTCCGTGCTTGAGCATTAATATCTGGAAAGAATTAAGAATCAAATCTCTCAGGGCAGCCTAGCCTTTTAAAGCAAGCTTTGGCCTCTTCCAACTGTTTGTACTTTTGTTCAGAACATAAAATTATAACCACTTATTTTTTATAACTGTATGATACGACTGTTTGTGGGACACTTGTGCGAAATTGGCTGCTGTGTTTTGCCCATAAAATATACAAGTGCTTTAAGATGTCTCAACAATGCTATATCTACACGTGAGGATTATTATTATTATACTATTAGGATTTATTACTGTAGGGTTCATTATAATACAATTCCCTTTGAACAGAAAATACTCTATTTATAATTACAATAATATCTAACATTTTCACATATTATGTGAAGAAATATTGTCACAAGTCTGACAGATTTTGAGTCATCCAATTGTAATAACCTCTATATAACATGCACCTCATCCTCATATGTTCACCCACAAAATATACAGTCAATTCACTTTAGTTTGAAGCGCTTTGAGACAGCTCAATGATGTGATAAGGCGCTATAACAAATGCAAGAATTATTTATTATTAGATAACTTTCTCTTTACCTGTAACAGAATCTCGCCCAGAAGGTCGCACCTTGTTCACCTAATGCTCCTCCAAGTCCTGCTGCTGAGGCAGGCTGTCTGGTCTATCATCAACAGTGCCTTGGAGCTCACCTGGCTCAGGAACCTGAGTTGGCCACAGAGACCTGACTCAATTCTGATATTCCATTCCCAGGATATCACCTTGGAACCAGCTCAGCCAATAGGAGAAACTCAGTTGACCTCTTTCTTCCCCCAGGTTAGATAGCCACTAGTTGGTCATTAGACATCTGACAATCTGCAGGTTTGAGCCCTCACTAGCTGGATTTGCCACTATAAAGTTAAGAGGTTAAAATGGCCATAAGTATGAAAAACACAGCCATGCACACCTTGTCTCTGAAAACTGAAGAAAAGCCAATTGCCTTTAGGATTTCATTTTGACCTGATACATATTGCACATATTCATTAAATTCAAATTGCTCCACTTCTTCTAACGCTTTTGCTGTAGTAACTGTCACGATGATTGATCGCTGCAGGCAGTTGGCTCAGGTTCCCTATTTGCCGTGTTCCACCAAGTCTCACTCAATCTGCAATCTGTCCCTGGTCCCATCCACAAACCATCGTTCGCCTTTGCCTTCAATCCTCACAGTGTCAGCATGTCGAGAGTAGGCTTCACTGAACATTTAATTTATATTCAGACTCTGGCCGTTTGGGTCCATAATATGAGACCCTGTGTTAGAAAGGGTCACATTATAAAAGTGGTCAGCATTTCCGGGTCGCCAGATTACCGCTGACATCACTGAACCATGTGCGCAGGAAGCCTAGTCTGGAGAGCATTTCCAGTGATCACCTAAACAAACATTGCCCAGTATACGGCATGATATCCATCCAGTGTTATACCCAAGTGTGGTGTAACAGGGTCTGACTGGATATATGCACCAATGGGAGGTTTAACGAAAAGTAAAATGATAATTTTTTTCGTATTCTTCCTTCTGCATTTAAACTTTGTGGTATTTCCTGTGCTTTTTCATTAAGAAATAGCATTTGAACTGTTAAATTACAGCTTTATTCACATAACTTCATATATTAGGTCTTTGGAGGTCGAGAAACTTCTGACATGCATTAAATCTCGTAACGATTAATTACATTTGCTAATTGAATTCTTCAATGTTAAATTCTTGGTCAGCGAATGTTCCTTTGACCAAACACAATATTCATTCTATTTATAGACGTAATTTCACACTTCATTCGACTGGTTTTACTATTCCCTCCAAAACATGGGAAGGAAAGTAAGTAAAAAATAGATCAAATCTACCTGTCCCCTCAGTGACATTTTATCATGACTGCACCCAGCCTGCCAACATAGTAAAGCTCCCAGTGTTACACTTATACTTACACTTACTGCCGTTCATCGTCTACAGTCAAACTCTCCGATGCATTATCTTAATCGCCGTGGCTGACTGGTGCTTACCCAGGTTTACTGCAGGGAAGCGAGATGTGGGAAATCTGATTCCTTTTTATATAAAAATAAATAACCCCTCCCCAACCACTCACCCACAATGTCTAGAAATTGGCATCGTTTACCAATTTGTTTTTCTAAGAATTTGCTGTTCATCCCAACTCCCAATAAGGGGAAAAAATAAACGCAGCAAATTTACTAACTTGAGAGTTCCAACATCTTTCAATATATTTAGAACCTTAAAAAAATGAAATATGTTGTTCAGGAGCTAAATTTACTTTTAGTTTGTTCCTCGTCCATCACAGTGTGTGTGTTCGAGCTATTTACAACAACAGCACATGTTGTTATGTATCCTTTATGTAATCTTGTTTCAGAACATTTCTAAGAATATTTCTGCACAAGGTCCACAGTGATATCAAAGTCAATGTCAGTGGAATAATGTTCTTGTGGCACTAGCATTGCCAAGAGCGTGGGAATCCCCCACACAGCAATGTTTCATTCGTACCCATTGTCCTTGGGGAATGCACTGAGTAGAAGCGGCACTTTTTCACAGAGAAAAAGGCAGAGTCAACGCTGGCTGTTCTTGTGTGGCATGGAATATGACCGAATTAGGTTAGGGTTAGAGTCAATTCTGAGAGCACGCTTTTTGGCTCTTTATATTGCTCTCTGGAGAACAGAACAAGGTCAGGGGAACTGACAAGAGTATAATGGATGGCGTTCTGTATGAACAAGACGATAAACTGAGTTCTTCAACAAAACTACGTGTCTTCAGCTGTGCCCTGTTGGTCGGTCACTTTTGTCTCTCAGTCAGAAGGTTCTGGGTTCACACAGGGATTTGATCTAGAGCCTGAGGCTCCAGAGCAATACTCAGCGAGTACTACACTATTGGAGATCCTGTTCTTGATATTCTGGTCAATAGTTCTTTCCGCCATGTTGAAATAGGCTAAGAGTATTACCACACCCCCACTGCCACTATTTCTGGGAGAACTGACAAGTGACTGATAGTTTATGCAAAGCATACAAGACAGGCCGTATCATTAAAAGACTAGGTTTGTTCAACTACTAGACACACATCTGTGCTGTGCATAAATACGCAGCTCAAAGCATCCGTTTAAACATTGACTGTGATGGATGAGGAATAAATCAAACCATTCTTAGGCATCTGGGAGACTTGTCTGAGAAATGCCTGATTTTAGGTGTAATTATATCAGCTTGGGCTCTTCAGCCAAAAATCCCTAACAGTTAGGGTGGTCCTAGTAGGACACAAGCAGCAGGGACAACAATAATGTCCATTTATCTGACTTCCTTCACATAGAGCAAAGTCTTGGGGCCCTTTCCAGAGATGGTGCAGGAGAGGGCTGGAGAGAAGTGACCACAGGTGTGGTCAGACAGGAAAATCTTTAAGCAGTTTTTGAAGTGGGAGGGGCTTCACAAGGGATTTGAGCCTCTTGTTGAAACTTTGAGCTTGTATTCTAGGCTGACACTTCAGCACTGTATTGTGGGGAGCGCTACATTGTCACAGGTCCCAGTCCTTCACATCAGACCAATAAACCTGTCCCCGTCTGCCTGTTCAGGCAGATATTAAACATCACACGCTGTTTGAAAAGAGAAGGGAATTTCTCTCTCCCAGTGTCCTAGCCAACAATTCCCCAATAAAATTGGTCATTCATTTCATGGCTGTTCATTGAACATTGCTGGGTTGACAAACCGGCTATCATATTTGTATCTACAAACACATGGCCACTAAATTTTTTTTTAGACATCTCAACGACATGATAAGGCGCTATACCAAATGCAAAGATTATTCGCATTATAATATAACATTTGAACTCTGAAATACAATAAAAGCTTGGAAGGTAAGCAGCTGAAAAAAGTGTACATCACCTCATGAAGAATTCAAGCATCTGAAAAATGTCTCTTTCCCCTCCAACCCTCCGTCCACGGCCTCCCTGCATTTTGTGTCTCGATCGTTTTCTGAGGCAACCGTTACTAACTGAATGTCCAAGGAATACTAGGCCAGTTTGTCTGTCTCCAGGATCCCAGTAAATGGGAAAAACCGTGCTCGGTTGCTTTTTGTACCAATTGATACTAAAATCAGGGGTTATACAATAACATCTCACTGTCTCCTGGAAGATGGTTGATTTGTGTGTGCGTATCTGTTTGTGTGTGTGTGTGTATGTGTATGTGTGTGTGCCTGTGTATGTGACTGTGTGTCTGATTGTGTGAGTGTATTGTGTCAGAGTGGTGGAGCCAGGCAATGTTGCGGACGTGAGGGAAGGCAGAGCGGGTCATGGCACAGATGTGGGGTAGAAAGGATAGTTGAGGGTCAAGCAAGACACCAAGGTTCCAGACTGGCTCAGTGAGGTGGACTGTGCAACCATGGACGTTAATGCTCTCAGCACCTGAGGTTAGGAGGTGCTGATGATAGCCAATCAGGAGCCTCGGTCTTGTTGATGTTCAACTGAAGAAAGTTAGCTCTCATCCAGGACGTGGTGTCTGACAGACATTCTGTCAGGCCAGCAGTGGGTCCTGGAGTCAAGGGTGGAGGCAGAGAGGTACAGTGGGAGTCATCCACATATATGTGAGAAGTTGACCCCATGTCCGGATTATGTCACCAAGAGGGAGCATATAGATATACAAACCAGTAGCTGTCGGAGACCGTCTGCACTATATTTGCTATGTCATTGAAACTACAAGGGAAGGTTGAAAAATTCCTATATTGCAACATCCTCAAATAACAGATCTTATTTGCCCACAAAAACACACAGTCCCTCCACTTTACATTACTGTGTATTCTGTGAAGCTCTTTGAGACATCCTCCTAACGTGCAAGACATTTGTATCAAATGTAAGAATTATTATTATTATTTAGCATCGGTTGGTGAGTTTAAAGTCAACAGCAAAACAACAACTTGCACTTATACAGGACCCTCCACGCAGGGTAGCGTCTCAGAGGCTTAAAGTCTTTCTACCCTGCTCTCTGGAACTCTTCCTGGAGTCCCTGCACCTCGCCACCATCCCAAAGTGAAGTGCTTTGCGACATCTCAACGACTTGAAAGGATTATTATTATAATGCTCTGAGACGCTACCCTACGTGGAGGGCGCTATATAAGTGCCAGTGGTTGTTGTATATTAATATTATTATGTACCTGATCAATGCTGTAAGCATATTCATATGTACCTGCAGTTGTTGTGTCTTTCTCCCTGGCGGCAATCTCCTCCACCTCAGCCCGGTGTCGCAGCTCGAATCTTCTGGCAAAACCTTCCTTGGGTTTCCACAGATCCTGGAGCAAAAGAGGCTTCTCGTTGTCCCCAAGAGCTCGGAGACATTCTGTCCGCCAGCGTTTGTTGGCCCCGTCCAACCTCCCAATGGCATCGCAGAGCACGTACTGCCTGGCACATCTCTTACTCACAGAGTAACGCTCCAGAGCTTCTTTCACCAGCTCCTGGGCACTGGACATCGGTGTGGCCAAAACACTTTTGTAATTTGCTCCGGTGCAGATTTCATTGCCGAAGATCTTCAGTATGCCGGGGGCCGACAGCTGAATGGAGAGCTCTGCGGGGTCGTCCATTAGATCTGCTGGGAGATCAGTCACACAGCGGCGCTCACGATAGCTCAGCTTCCGATAGAGAACCTGAGTGAACGTCCGGCTCTGCCTCTTGAGCTTGTTCTTAGACATGTTTAAATGGGACGTGTTTGTCGATGATCCATAGAACATGATGTTTTTATCATCAATAGTTGAATGGAATCTGAAACGCAGTAAATAATAATGATAATTCTTGCATTTGATATAGCGCCTTATCAATTCGTGGAGACGTCTCAAAGCTCTTCACAGAATATATGGCAACGTGGAGTGACCGTATTTTGTGGGCGAAATATAAAAGACTTTTATATATAAAAGACAATTCAAAGCCCTTGCACAGAAGATAAAAGATAATTTATCTTTGACACTGGCGATGGAGGACAGTCTCTCCACCCTTCGGCTTCAATGCTTGTCTTTCTTTCAGCCATCATTAAACACTTGGGTGATAAGCTGTTCCACAGGGCCAAGGACTGCTCTATGATGGATCGTTCACAAGCCTGGATTCCTGAAGATTAAATCTGTGAGTCCTTGGTGGTGCTGAGCTAATCTTAGCAAAAAGACGTGCAAATTCATCCAGTGGCCATGATTGTTGCTACTTTAATTTAAACAGTGTGATGGATTCAAGAGAGAGAGAAAAATATTACAACCAATCATTGAAAGTGCTATATAAAAACTCCATTTTGAAAACTCTGCATTGTTGCAACAAAGCACAGATTTTATTTGTGTAACAATATCAATGATTGTTTCCAATTGCTTTTACAAAAGAAATCCCTTCATCCCACTTAACCTGAAGCAGTCCAAGATGCTACCCCACGTGAAGGGAGCTATATAACTGCAAGTCGTGGATCATGTTTAATATGAGATCAGCTGGGAGATCTTATTTCACTTTTGAGGCGGGTGTAACGCATGGCTGGAGCAGTGCCAGTGAAGCAGGTAAATGATAGTATAAACGACAACAACACAATTACATTGACACAGGACGCTTCACTTTGAGAGGACGTCCCAAAGTGCTGGACAGTCCAGGGTTTGCACCCGTGCTGGGGCTGGGAGCCTAGGGGGCTGGCTGTAAAGAGGTGTTAAATTCAGGAAAAGATTTACATGATTGTATTATTTGAACAAATAGCGAGGGTATGGTTTCTCACTCACCTGGCCTGTCCACAAAACTCATTCTCTGTCACCTAGAGCACTGAGTATGGTGCGCACCACAGAAATAATGCGCAAATGCACGGCAACATGGTGCAACAGGAGAACAATTACAATAAAGAGTACATTTTAAAAAAAAACTAAACGCTGGAGACTTTGCAGAAGACTATAAACAATAACAACTTGCATTTATATAGTGGTCTTCACAGGGAGAACACTTAACAAGATTAAAGAATAACTGTAAACACAAAATAATTATAATAATCCTTGCATTTGATATTGCACCTTATCACGTCGTTGAGACATATCAAAGCGCTTCACTGTAAAGTGGTTTGACTGTGTATTTTGTGGGCTGAACGCGGCAGCCAATTGTGCAGAGCAGTGTCCAACAAACAGTCGTGGATTGAGTGACCAAATTATTTTTTGGAGAGATTATTATCCCCAGAGAACGATCCTCCAATTGCCTAACAACCGGGTTCCTACTTACTGCTAGGTAAACAGAGGAGCGTGTGTGGAGTAAGGAAACTTGCCCAACATTTCACCCTGCCCGAGAATCAAACCCAGGTCTCCAGCTTGCGAGGTGAGGGCTCTAGCCACTGAGCTACAGGATGCAAGTCTACCATAAGCAAGGTAAACTTGGTTATGGTAGACTTGATTATGAAACCAAAATGTGATGTGAGAGGATTGTAGCTTGATATTAAGATTCACAAGAGGATCTGTAAATAGGGAATGTTGCCCAATCCCAGGATTGTCTCTATGGATCCTGACTGAGATGTCAATCTTAATTTGAGTATCTGGATTAGAGCCCCAGCAATCACCAGGAATTCTGCCATTTACTCTGAAGTTGGTGAAATCCATTTTTTTTTGCTGAATAACAGCACCGAGGTGTGGCGTCTGGTGTATTTCAGGCTTATTAAACGCATGGCTTATTATTATTATTATTACCAACCCGTCACTCCGGGCGTGATGTCAGAAGGTGAAGGGTGAAAATCTCAGCAGCATCCAAAATCCAATGTAAACAAATTCCAAAATCCAATGAGTTGCAAATGTGATCGGCATGAGACACTGGCTTCAGATGGCTTCAAAGTGGCTATTAGTGCAATCCAATCACAGCCAGACAGCTTTAGCTCTTCAGGCACATGTGGTAAGGATTATTATTATTATAATGTTAAAGACCTTCCTTCCCAACTGGGCTTAAACTGTTCAGATCATAGTACTGTAATGTTAAATATATCATTTCTTTTGACTTCCTAAAATGTAACAGTTCTTGGTTATCCTGTAATGACCAGGTTAGGTTGCAGATTTCCTTGGCACAGTTCTTGCACAGTTCTTTATCTCGATCTCTGGGATTTCCATGTGTGATTGGGATGCAGGGAATTCTCAGTTGAGTTTGGATACTTTTCAGCATGGTGATGGATTTCCACATGTCAGACACCCCCCAAAAAAGTATGTTTCCTCCATTATCTCAATGACAGGACATTGCATATTGAGTACTGAATAGAGCATGGCACTGGTTGCTAGGAGAGAATTTGGTCTTGAAAAAGTGATGGAAGTAACCGTTGCAAGTGTTCCCCCTTTGGACCATTTCAACTCCTGCTGGGGTCTCGAGCAAAGAGAATGGTGGGTCATGAATGAATGCCTTGGGACGTCCTCCTGACGTGAAAGGTGCTACACATGTCATTTGTTGTTGATGAATAACGGTAACAAGATCGCTTATCGCACCGTAGCTCTATCACGCTCTCTTTGTTTTTTTTGGGTTAGTCGAGTGTCTGACACATGGGAAACTCATCACCATTGCTTGAGAGTCTTCAAACCAAACAGAGTTCCATGCATCCCACCTACACATGGAAATTCCAGAGATTGTAATCCTATTAATGATATGGAAATATTGCAATTTTGGCTTTGGCTAGACTGGGATCCAATTACAAGTTTTAAATTATGACTGTTTGTCAGACTGACTATAAACAGTGTAAACAGTGTTATCTCTCTCCCTTACTTATTGTTTCTCGGGGTCTAGTGGGGGCGATAGGAGGAGAGGACACACTACCAAGTCAACTCAAGGGGTTAAATGTTTGCCAGAGTTAAATGTTGTGCAAAAGTCATTTTGCAGACGTGAATGATGTCTGTTTGAATGGCGCTGGGACGGTTTCCCATAGCAACAGCCCAAGCCATCCTGGCCAATGTCTCTCTCTCTCTTTATTTCTCACCATCTATCCATCTTTCCCTCCCTCTTCCTCTCCATTTCCCCCTTTTCCCCCCCTTACTCTCCTTTCCTCCTGACACTTATATTCTCCCTCCATCCCATTCACTTTCCTCTTCTCTCTTTCTTTCCCTCATTCAGTCCCAGTTTTGTATCATTGCTAGTTTTTGTAACTCACTCACTTCTGTATTTTTTATTTGAAAATCTCTCCTTTCATCCCCTCCCCTCCCCCCTCTCTCTCCCAAATCCAGAGGTTACTCTTTCTGCTTCAACTCATTCCCTTTCTCTTATTTCCTCTTTTTTCTTCTCTCTCTCTCTCTCTCTCTCTCTCTCCCAGCTCTTGTCCTTGGCTCTCTCTCTCTCTCTCTGCTCACACACTGAAGAACATACATTTCCCCCCAATTGTTTTATTACTCACCACATTTCCTGCCTTTTATTCTTTGCTTTTTTTTGCACATTTTTTTTGCTCGTTTTGCTTGTTTTCCATCAGCTTTTGTTGCTGCTGAAGCTCCATCACACCACCAGCTCTTGTTGTCTGCTCTGCTCCAGGGGGTGAGTGACTGAGAGCAACAGCCGAGCGCTCACGGAAAGACCCGAAGCCGAGTCGAGTGCGTTCGGCTCCGACCCTCAAAGCCACGGAAGCAGCCGAACCTGGAGGGTGAGGAACATCCAGGAATCTGGGTCAACACCGCCGCCTAGTGGGAGAATTGGTTGTTCAGGCAGACATTAAAGATCCCAGGCCACTGTTTGGGAATTTCTCCTTCCTGGTGACCTGGCCAACGATTCCCAAAATAAAATTGGTGATTAATTTCATGGCTGTTTATGGGACATTGCTGTGCACAATTTTGCTGCTGCGTTTACCTACAAATACACAGTCATTCCACTTCACTACAATTACTGTGAAGTGCTTTGAGACATCCTTCCAATGTGATAAGAGACTATATCAAATGCAAGGATTATTTCATTTATTTTATGTCAATATGAATCAAAGTGCCCTCCTGACAACAAAGGCACTATATTAATTCAATTTGTTTGTAGTAGGAGTACTGTATTGTGTTATTGTAATGTATTACACTGTCATTCATAATTTGCTGACAAAATACGGTCACTACGATTTACAGTAAATCTTGTGAAGCACCTTGAGACCTCCTCCCAATGTGAAAGGCACTATATTAAATGCAAGCATTATTGGGATATGTAGAAATATTATTATTGTAAATGATCACTTCATTGGCTGAATGGGAGACATTGCAATGCACAAATTGGCTGCTGTGTTTTTCCTACAAAGTGCACAATCACTACACTTCACTGTGATGCAATTTGAGATGTTTCATCATTGTCAATATGTCTTGGAACAGGAGAACAGGAGGGAATCCAGCCTCATGTTCCCTCACTGTTAATGATGTCAGTCCAGGAATCTACACTTTTCTGCACATGTCTGTGCGCTGAATCCTACCAATGAGGCTCATTAAGCTCCTGATCATGCAAGGCTTCCACAGGGAGAACCCAGAGATTGGTTTCAGAAAATTTGTTCCGCTAACTAAATAGTGGATATAACTGCAGAACATAGCATCAAGATAATAACCTCCAAGAAAAATAATAACACCACCATGTGCCAATATCAGGTGTAATGTCTTCCTTAACCGAAACCCTGCAAAGCAATGGGGAAGCTGACAGTGTTTGGGCTCCTGCCAACCGTTCAACGTAGCAGAGCAAAAGATGACCTGACCTACTTTTAGGCTCTATCTATGAATCAAAGTGCTATTCTCACACAGACTGTGCAGAGAGGAGGTCTGAATAAATTGAGCTGGTGTCTACATTGAGCTTGAAGTGAAACATCGCAGTTGGATGTGGGTATGATTGGGCCAAGTTATATTCTTGTTCCATCCCATCAGCAGAAACGCAGTTCTCTGGCACCAAGACTGAACCCTTTACAACATGTGATGCACTCAATGAGATCGGAATGTAAGAAACCTTGCATTTGATATACTGTCGCAGCTTATATCAAAATATCTTAAAGAGCTTCATGGGTAATGTCAAGTGTATTAAGTAGATAAACGCAGCAAGGTCTCACATACAGCCATGAAGTGAATGATCGATTTATCTGGAGATTGCTGACCAGGACACTGTGAGAAACTCCATCCTCTTTTATAAGTTTAAACATCTACCTGAACAAGTCGACAGGACATCAATCACATGAGCAAAGTACAGTGCAGCAACAACAGCAACAAATTACATTTGTGTGGTATCTTTCACATCAGAAGGATGTCCCAAAACGATGGGTAAATCAAGATTAGGAAAGATTTCAGTTTTATCTCCTTCCTCCATCATGCTCCAAGTATCAACTCCAAAGCCTGAATTCTTGAGGTATCAAAGTTTAATCTCCATCCATTAGGAACAACCATCACAAGAGCCATAAATTACAATTGGAAAAAAAATACAGGAGTCACTAAACCATGTACTTATCAAAAAGTACAGAAAACTTGTACATCTTTCATTTTTTAGGCCATTTCTAAAGTGGGTATCAAAGTTTTTTGAATTTATATTCAGATCACACAAAGTTAAAATTCAGCAATAAATCCAGAAATAGTACAAAGTGGTTAAAAAGTCTGAGTTTCTAGGCAGCACGGTTACAAGTTCCTGAAGAGGTTGAAAGAGTCTCTTGTCATTCATTGCTTTTTGGACTGGTGGTGGGGGGGTGGGTGGGTGGTGGAAATACTTCCCGGTTTCTGCTGAGTGCTCCTTTCACCAGAAACCGATTGGTCCGAGAGAAGAGGTTCTCTTCTCTCGGACCAATCGGTTTCTGGTGAAAGGAGATTCCTACAATGCACCACACCAGCTGAGCATGCTCACTTCATTTACATGGGAGGCTACATACTGCTCCATTTACTTGGTAAAACACCACAAGTGTTAGCAACAACAAAATTACTTTTATAGAGCACCTTTCACGTCGGGAGGTTGTGCCAAAGTGCTGGAACATTTGCTTGAACTATTATTCAGATACTTTTGTTCAGACATTCCCTGCTGTTTGTATAAATATAAATTCTGCTCTGTCTCCACAAAGCACTTTTGATGCAGAATAAAAGTTTCCCATTCCATCTAGTAAGAGCCTACAAAACCAGTTTGCCTTAAAATTTATAATGGTGCAGAATTGTGGAAATGTTTTTATTCAATTTTAATTTGGAAGCTGTTTTAAAAGAACTGCCTTCCAAGTTAATATAATATAGCCTTCCATCTTAATATATTATATTATGTTAACTTTTATTATATTATATAAACATGGAAGGTTATTATATTATTATTATATATTATATTAACTTGGAAGGCTATATTAGATTGGAAAGTAGTTCTTTTAAAACAGCTTCCAAAGTAAGAGCAAATTTTAAAAAATTCCACAATTCTGCACCATTGTAAATTTTAAGACAAACTGGTTTTGCAGGCTCTTACTAAGTGGGATGGAAGTCCCAACAGATATTTTTCATTTTTTTTAAACAAACAACAAATGAATTGAATTGAATAGTGCTATCCAGTAGATAATACACCCTCTCCCCACACAAAGGGGTTTAACAGTGTGAAATTTTTATTTCTGGAGAACACACAATGTTTTGATGGAGCAAATACTGTGTGACTGATAGTTTGGCAATATCTGTGTCAGAGTTAAAACACTGTCTGAAAACTGATCACCTGCTGTTTGAATGTTTAATTCTAATAGTGTGTGTGTTTCCATGCATATGGGGAAGGGGAGACAGGGTGAGCGAAGGGAAGGAAAGAGAGGTAAGGGAGAGAGGGAGGGCAAGAGGAGAGAAAGAACACCAAATGTTGTTAAGGAATCCCATTGAGAAACATTGCAAATTAGACACTCCCCTCATCCACTTAATGTTCTTTCAAACTGTGCTGATTGTCAGGTTTGTGGTCCCGAGTGGGGATCTGCTGCCCTCAGCCCAATGGATACACTGAGAAGCTACCTTCACACCTGTGTCTGTGTGTGTACACATATGTGTGAGGAAAGGAGGGAGAAAGGTTGGGGGGAACAAAAGTGGCTCCATGACATTTCGTCCACAAAATACCCAATCAATCTTTACAATATATCCTGTGAAGAGCTTTGAGACGTCTCAACCATGTGATAAGGTATTATATTAAATGCAAGGATTATTATTATTAGGACAAACTTTGGTATCACTGTGGGCATAGCCCAAGTGGATTCCTCTGATCACCAGCAAGTCCAGGTCTGAGGATTGTGTCTGAAGATCACGTTGTTGAGATGTCCGAAGCGCTACACAGGATATATTGTATTGTTGAGTGACTGTGTATTTTGACATGGTTCAGGTTACATTGTCATTTGACAATTTGGGGCTGAGAGAGTTTGGGGGAAGGGGCTTGTTTGCAGGCACAGCTCTGATTCCCAAAGTGGGATGTTTGGGTCTGATTGAGTTAATGGGGGTGATTGGGTTAACAACAACAACAACAAAATTACATTTATTAGAGCGCCTTTCACGTCAGGAGGATGTCCCAAAGCGCTGAACAGTCAGGTGTTTGCGGGACACTGCTGTGCACAATTGGTTGACACATTCCGCCCACAAAATACACAGTCTCTACACTTTATAACATGTAATGTGAAGCGCTTTGAGATGTCGCAACTACATGATAAGGCGCAATATCAAATGCAACAATTATTATTAATAGTGACCTGCAAACCCTGGTATAAGTAAGTGCGGAAGTGCAGCTGAGTGTGAGAGAGTTCACAAGGAAGGCTGTCCATTGCTAGCTCCTCAGCTCCTAGCTCCTTGATAAATTAACTGCACCCGAAAATGTTAAACCAATACTTGATACAGTATTTTCCTTCAAAGTGGCATCCGTGGCATTACGTATTTATATATAATATATATCTATATATATTCGCTCAAGGTGCATCCCAAATATCAAGCTCTATTCAGAAAGTAGTTTTCCACAGGTTTCATACGAATGGCTAGAAGTTTTAAAATAGTCTCTAGCTCTTTGTTTAAGTCACTCTTGGGAGGAGTTGGTATGTAAAAAAATACTGGAAAATACACTAACACCCAAGAGCAGGTTAAACAGCCCGTTTTTTTTCCAAACTAACACAAAGCATGTAGACGTTTGCTGATCTAAACCCATGCTAATGGCTGAAAACAGCAATTTTTACATCAAAAAAACTTAATAAATGGGAAATCTGATTGTACAAAGATCTAGTGAATAAAATCACTCAACAGGAAGTCAGGCTGTCTGGGATAAACATGGTTTCTTGCAAATTTGTCCCTGTGACTTTCTAAGCAAATGTAACTATTATAACTTAATTGAACCTTTTAAATAACGCGGCACAATTGATGTGGCGTTGAATGACGCTTTGTGATTTTACTCCAATAAGTGGAATTTTGTGTGCGTCTGTGTGTGTGCACGCGTCTGTGTGTGCGCGTGCGCTTGTGTGTGTGTATGCGGTTTGTGTGCGTGTATGTGCGTCTGTGTGTGTGCGTCTGTGTGTGTGTGTCACAGCCAAGACACCATCATTTGGAAGTCCTGATTGCCAGCATCGCTGGGTGGTACAAATATTTCCAGATGGCGTAGTAATGGACACCAGCTCCAATAGATACGAAAAGGTGCCAAATGGCGTGGGCAAAGGGAATGCGTCCATCGCTCTTGAAGAAAACCATCCCCAAGCAGTAGAAGAGGCCACCCATGAGCATTTCAAACAGCCCCTCAGTGTTAGTCTAGGAGAGAGAATAACACGGCATTAGCTGGTAGGACATCACAAGGGGTTTCAGGCAGAGAAGACCCTCAGCCAATTTAATTTCACTTTCCAGAATCCCCATTCTATTATCTTCCCATGTCAGCTGGGTTGGACAACCTTTTTGGTTGGGCACCACTGAAACAAAATGAATGTTTCTTATTGAATATTCTTGATTTATATGACATCTATTTTGTTTGTTATTTTGGTGGCCACCCAAAATGGTTGCCTCCCCTTCCCCTCCACTGTATTACAGCATCGAGCTGCTGCTTATATGTCTCCAGTGTCCTGGCCTCAGCCACTCTCCATTGCAACTGCTGATCACTCACTCTGTGTGTGTACATGCGCGAGTTTGTAAATAAAGTATAACAGTACTTCCTGTTGTGGCATCTATCTATCCTAAACATGCCCCTTCACAGCCCTAAATCTGTCCCATTGCCTGTGCCTGACAGTGATTGATCCTGGTTCACGCTCTCTATGCTATTTAACATCTCCTGAAACTCTTAAGATTGCTGAGCAGGAAGTGCCGCCATTTTATTAATGCACCAGGAGGAATCGATAGCTCACTGGGAGTCTATTTGTGGCTGCAAAATACCTACACTTCAGTTAAGTCCTGTAGCTCAGTGGTTAGAGCACTCGCTTTGCAAGCGAGAGACCTGAGTTCAATTCCAGTCAGAGGGCGAAACCTCGAGCAAGTTTCCTTACTCCACACAGTGCCTAATAATAATCCCTCCAAAACCAAAAACAATAATAAATTGGTCATTTTCAATCTACGACTGTTTGTGGGACATTGCTGTGCGCAATTGGCTGCCGCGTTCGCCCACAAATATACAGTCAATTCACTTTACAGTATATTCTGTGAAGCGCTTTGGGACGTCTAGAAGACGTGAAAAGTGCTATATCAAATGCAAGGATTATTATTATTATTATTATTATTATTATTATTAAATCCCACCCAACGCAGCTTGAAAAGGTGATCAGACAATTAATATTAGTCACACTCGTCTACATTTTGGTTTTAATGTTTAGGCTTTAATGTATTTTGGCCCTAAACTAGTGACAATAAGCCCCCGGATGAGTTACTGTGTCCCTGGTCACAGTTGCACTGTCTTGAGTTCAACAACAAACTAACCCACAGCAAAAAAATTCTAAAACTGATGCACTCATGAGAGAAATACAGCCATTAATCCACCAAGCTTCTCTAGTACTTTAGCAGCAGAAATGGTGGAGAGTTCAATTTTCTTTTATACCTATCTCTGGATTTGGTTTACAAAATGTGGTCACCCTACGCTAAGCTGGCCTCAGACAGAGGCACTGACAAAGCAGGAAGGCACATGGCACAATTCTCTTACCATTGACAGAACCACTAGGGCTGGGAAGGTACACATAACTGAGTAACAGATCAACTCCACAATTTTGTACCTAAAATAAGAAGGGAGTGGGTTACAAAACTAGAAGAATAGGAAAAATGGAACAAAGATCTCAAAATGTGACCTTGACAATCAGCCCATGAATCGCTGATCACAAGTAAAATGACGTTTTAATTAGTGTTAGTGGTCTTAAACCGAGAGGTAATAATGAGAAGATAGTGAGGAGTATGTACCAAATCCTCCTCACAATGTTCTTCATTCATGTTTCACTCTCAGACAGTCTAGGTAACTCACCTTTCATGAAACAGAAACACATAGATGGTCCCTACACAGGCCATTATCCATATGATCCATCGCATGTGGGATGTCCAGGGTCCCAGCTCCCGTAGCATCAGCCTAGGCAACGGGAAGAGAGCACAGTGACATTAGCTTCCCTTAGCGTGACGGAAGCAAAGGCAGGAGCGCATCACCGAGTGAGGCCGAGAACCGGGATAGACTCGGTGGGTATGATGGGGAGGGGAAAGGAATCCTAGAGGGTGGGGTCACAGTGGCTGAAACCTCAGTTGCTGTAGACTACAGGAGGAATCGATAGCTCACTGGGAGTCTATTCGCTTCCTGATTTCTCCCAATGGATCTCTGCCGAGCTGATGATAATGTACACCACACATCCGTGTCAATGATCAAATTAAGATTCGCTCTTCTGAACAGCACAGTGCCTGAAGACAAGGTAATGCATATAATTTTAGAGTAGATCTCTACTCTCTGCGCATTTCCCCAATGAATAGCCAATGCCAGCAGTCCCCTATTGTACCAATGCTCTGGGAAACAGACAGGATGGAACAGTAAAACACCACACACCAACACTTGCTGTCAGTTCTGGTAAGGGCAGAGTGGAATCCCTAAGTGTTTGCTATCAGCCTCTAATCCAGATTCTGAGCAACTCATTCAGCTGAAGGGCCAGGCAGCATTTTAACATTGCTGGGAGTTGGTCATCAATGAAGAATTTACATGATTAATAAGCTTTCAGTCAATCAGTCAGTCAGTCACGTCATTCTCTTCAACAAACTGATACATTTAGCTTTTTAATTATCTGTCCTAAATTGGTTTGAAGCTTACTTAGCTATTCCAAAACGGGTTGTCAGGTTAATGGATGCTGATTCAGTCCCAGGTGAGGGGTGGCAGAGTGGAGGGTGTGTTGGCGTCATTGTCTTCTTATGCTCAAATCGTGGCCCACTTTTCTTTGACGTTCTATAAATAACCACATTGCTCACGTATAACAATGCAACTAGTTCATTCATTAACTTTTCCTTACATTTGAAATAGCACCTTATCACAATGTTGAAATGCCTCAAAGCGCTTCACAGAATATATTGTAAAGTGGAGTGACTGAGGGAAACGTGGCAGCCAATTTGTGCACAGCAATGTCCCCATAAATGGCCATGATGTGATTGACTAATTTTACTGGGGGTATTGTTGGTCAGAACGACAGGAGAAACTGTCTTCTCTTTTTGAGTAGTGTCCTGGGATCTTTAACATTCACCTGAATACCTAGATGGAACTTTGGCTTAATGTCTCATCCTAAGGATAGCACCTTCAACAATGCAACACATCCCCAGCACAGCCCGTGGCTTTTTGCAGAGCAATTTGTTTTTTTGTTCCTTTGAAGTGCTTACTTGTAGTTGCTAGTGGACTCACCAAGGGGAGTAGGAAGCAGCGATGAAGAAATAGATGACAATTCTGTCAAACATGTGGAAGCAATGCTCCATTGTTCTGGGCAAAGGAAAGGTAGAGAAGACAAGTTGGATAGAATTGCAGGATACAATGCTCACAGTTACACAAAGCCATGTCCTGATATATCATCACTTCCTCCCCACCTACATCAAAGTAACTCTAGCTTTTAAAGTAGCGTTTTGAATGGCAATGGGTAACCTCGATTTCCTTGTGACGGCTGAGGTCTGTCTGTGGGAGAGACAGGACCTTTTGTTCATGGTTCAGTAGCTAATGTACCTCAGGGAAATAGGACTGACAGGACTGCTCTTCATAGCGCCGGCAGACTCGATGGGTCGAATGGCCTCCTTCTATCCTGTAACATTTCTATGGTTCCAATTGAACATCCTCATTCAGTCACACTACAAATTTACGTATTTTAATAAATGCCTTTCACGTCGGGAGGAAGTCCCAAGACTCTTAAACAGATGCGTAAGTGCACGCTTCAAGTTGCACCATTAAACAGTGTTAAACAGTTTGCTAGGAAGCGTGCTTTAAAACCTCCCCTCCCCACCCCATGATTGTATGTTTATAACGAGCTGAGCTGTCTGGTTTATAAATACAGTGTTCATATATGTTCATATGTGCCAGTTTCCTCCAGCGAAGCAGATGGTTGTTGGATCTTTGGGCTGACAATCCAGCGTAGTGTTGGGAAAGTGCTGCATTGTCAGAGATGCCAAAGGAGTGACTAACACTGATCACTGGGAAGCAGTCTCAGGCAGTTGGTTAGGATAGGAGCAGTGTCAACCACAGAGGATTGTTATTATGGGGGCCAAGGATTGTGTGAGCGAACTGCACTCACCGTAAGTGTCTCTTCTTCCAGGAGATGGTGTGAAAGACAGTGGAAACAATGAAAAGGCCACAGAGTCCAAAGCCGTAGATCCAGGCAGAGATCATCTCCCACTGATCGTCCGAAAGGCAGCAGAGGATGAAGCTACCGAGAATACTGGGGACGATCCACAACTAAAAGCAAAAGGCTCACAATAAGAATAGCTTTCTCGCTGGGTTTGCGTTTTGGGACGTCCTCCTGACTTGAAAGGTGCTCTATAAATGTAATTTTGTTGTTGTTGTTGTTGTCATCATTGTGTTCCTCATACATGCCTGCCCTCACTGCCCACCTGCTGCAGAAACAAACATCGGGGGGGATTGGGGTATGTGATGTGATAAGGGCTCAGCCTGGCTCAGTCAGCAGCACTCTTGTCTCTGAGTCAGAAGGTTGGGACTTTGAGCTCCTAGTCCAGCATGACACTCCAGGGCAGTGCTGGGGGGCGGGTTACTTCCTGGAGGTGCCGTCCTTGGGATGAGACATTAAACTGAGGACCTGTCTGTTCTCTTCAGTTGGATGTCAACTATCCCGTGGAAAAATCTTGAAAAGAGAAGGGAGTTTCTTTCCCAGTGTCCTGGCCGACAATCCCCTAGATAAATTAATCATTCACTCCACAGTCGTCAAAAAGTGCCCCCGAACATTTGCACGAGTCGAGGTAAGTGCTTGTTCGATCAGTAGTGTGTTTCCAGTTTTTTCTTGATTGAATATTTCCTGATTTATGCCATAAATCAAGAAATATTCAATCAAGAACATTTATTTTGTTTGCTAACCATACAAGTTGGGCTACCACTGCACTAGAAACAAATGCCACATTATTACATAATAATAATAATGATAATAATTCTTGCATTTGATATAGAGCTCTATCACGTCGTTAAAATCTTTCAAAGTGCTTCACAAAATACACTGTAAAGTCTATCAATTAATAATAACACTTTTAAAATTTGCTCCAATTAAAAAAAGTCTTCCATGCCATCTGCTGAAACCTATTCACGAGGGGAAATTGTTTGACGGCTTTTCCACTAAGAAGTTACATAGAAAGATTAAATTCTACGTCAGCTTTTAACTAGGATCAAGTAATTAGGCTCTTTCTTTCTTTCTGCTTTGGTTATATAACTGGCCTGAAATCTTAGAGCGGATTTGATTTCAGGCATGAAAATCCCCTTCTCTCAGCCCCTCCCAGCCCACATCTCATTATTAAATCTTCAGTCGCGGGTACCCTTCGAATTATTAGGATTAAAGTCTGCTAAAAGCTGTGTTTCCTACCTGCTGGCTTCCAACTAATTCAGGTCACCCAATAGTCTGGGTCACAGGAATAAAATAGACGGTACTTCCTAAAATTAGCATCAGAGCTAGTTTATGGAACGCTTAAGGAATAATTATATTAATAATAATCCTTGCATTTGATATAACGCCTTATCATGTCGTTTGAGACATGTCAAAGCGCTTCACAGTATAGTGCATTGACTGCTTATTTTGTGGGTGAACAAAGAAGCCAATTGCGCACAGCAGTGTCCCACAATCAGCTGTGGATTGAGTGACCAATTTCTTTTGGAGGGATTATTAACCCTGGAAAGTGATCCGCCGATTGATTAACAACCGGGTTCCTACTTACTGCTGGTAAACAGGTGTTTGGAGTGAGGAAACTTACCTAAGGCTTCATCCTGCCCAGGAATGGAACCCGGGTCCTCTCACTTGTGAGGCAGGTGCTCTAACCACTTCACTACAGGATTCAACATTTCATTATAGGCTCCACACTGAGCTACAAGCAATCTGTAACAAGATTGAACTGAATATTTTGGTTCTAATCAGTTTAGTGCAAATGTAGCTCTGGTCATCACAGACAAGGGAACCGAGACAGATCTAAATGATGGAAACGCATTTGTTTGTCATCTCCTCTCTGCCTGAGAATCTAAGATGGCATCTGTGTCTGTTTCTCTGTCGCCTTGTATGGATACAAAATAATCGTTTCCTTACTCCACACGCCTCTGTTTACCAGCAGTAAGTAGGAACCCACTTGTTAGTCGATTGGTAAATCGGTTTCCGTGGGTAATAATCCCTTAAAAAATAAATAACAATTTGGTCACTCCATCCATGACTGTTTGTGGGACACTGCTGTACACAATTGGCTGCCACGTTTCGCTCACAAAATACACAGTCAATGCATTTTACAGTATATCCTGTGAAGTGCTTTGAAACGTCTCGAAGACTTGATAAGGCGCTATATCAAATGCAAGCATTATTATTTATTATTATTGATCAGGTACAATTTTATTTTAACTCTCTCTCCAAGCCGTGACACAAATGCAACCTTAATAACTGAACCGGGTAAAGGAAGCAACCGAGACTTTGCAACCCTCCAGCACTGTTGCTAACAGTAATGATTGTCTGGGGTTTCTTTGAGCTTCCAGACATGGCTGAACTCAATCCGCTCATTAATATTAAATCAGTGGCTTTGTCTCCAAGACCGGATGGGCTTGAATTATTAATTATTCTCCCCATCTGGTCCCACTGCCTTCTGGCCTCTTGTTGTGTTCTGGGCCGGTCTGTTGACTCCTTATTTAATGTCATAATCCAATTACAATGCAGTTATTAGCACATCAAAACACTTCATAGAGCTTCATAGAGTTTTCCATTAAAGTGTAGTAACTGTGTTACCGTAGGCAATTTCTGCAAAGCAATGCCCCTCAAACTGCTAGGAACTGAAGGACAATTTTTAAAAATCTGGGACATTAGTGCCTAAAATACAGGAAGAAACTCGCTTCTCTTTTCGAATAGTGCCTGAGTACATTTAAAATCCACCTGAACAGGCAGGCTGGACGTCAGTTTATTAAATCTCATCCAAAGTTCGGCACCTGTGACAATGCAACAACAACAGCAACAAATTACACTTGTAAAGCGCCCATCACGTCAGAAAGACGTACCAGAGCGCTTAAAAATGTATATTCCCCCTACACACATGCACACAGACACATACATACAGACACATATACACGCACACACAGACACACACATACAGACACACACCCACATACAGAGCACTGCATTAAGTTGTCAGCCTGAGAGCTATCAGCCATAATCTTTGAGTTTTGATTTCATCGTTCCTAAATCCCGATCCTACAGTTCCCCTATTACAGGATTAAGCTGCTCAGACGCTCTTCCTGCGCTGCAGCCACTGAATGACCATGGTGCAAACAGTGACTTTATGTTGCTGACACAGTGTGTGTCTGTCTTACCCCAAAGTCAATCACTTGATACCCTGAGGTGTGACTTACTGCGTGGGTGGCACAGTTAGCTGCGTGCTCGTACTCTGTTGGCTGATATCTTCGATTGGCAGGCACTCTAGTATTCATAAACCTGTTGGGGAAAAAACACAGGAGAAAATACAGTAACTTGCTTTGTGAATGGGCGTCCAAGCCGAACAGATGGTCTTGATGATTTGCCGTGACCGGCATTCTCCTAGTTTCTTCCTCTCAGTGCTGACAGGTTGTCCCTTCCAGTAAATACTCTAGAATCAAAGAATTAAGCAGCACAGAAGGAGGCCATTCTGGCCATCATGTCTGTGCTGGCTCTTTGAAAGAGCTTCCAAATCAATTCCACTCCCCCGTTCTCTCCCCATAGCCCTGCAAACTTGTCCTTCCCAAATAATTATCTAGACTTAGATTTTTTTTCTTAGGACTTCAGAAGAGTAAATTTTGGCCAAATGTTGATCTTAAATGTCACCTTAATTATAAGAATTATCGAAACCCTGCCTCAGAATCCACTATTCTTGTAGTGTAGTGGTTAGAGCACTCGCAAGCAAGGACCCGGGTTCGATTCCCAGGCAGGGCGAAATCATAGTCAAGTTTCCTTACTCCTCACGCCTCTGTTTACCTAGCAGTAAGCAGGAACCCAGTTGTTAGTCGATTGGTGGATCGCTTTCCGAACCCCTTCAGTCAGGTTTCCGTGCTGCCCATAGCACAGAAACTGCCCTGGTCAAGGTCACCAATGATATCCTGACCATCTGTGACCAGGGCTCCCTCTGCCTCCTCGTCCTCCTCGACCTATCGGCAGCATTCGATACGGTCGACCACACTATCCTCCTCCACCGCTTGTCCTCCAACCTCAACCTTCAAGGCACAGTCCTTGAGTGGTTTAGGTCGTACCTTTCTCACCGTCTTCACTTTGTCTCGACGAATGGCTTCTCCTCCACCCCCCGCACTGTCTCATGTGGTGTCCCTCAGGGCTCTGTCCTTGGTCCCCTCCTCTTCACCCTCTATATGCTCCCCCTTGGTGACATCATCCGCAGACATGGAGTTAACTTCCACATGTATGCGGATGACACCCAACTCTACCTTTCCTCCTCTACTCTCAACTCCACGACCCCCGATGTCCTGACAGCTGCCTGTCCGACATCGAGTCCTGGACGAGAGACAACTTTCTTCAGCTCAACGTGCGAAAAACCGAGGCCCTCCTGATTGGCTCACGTCAGCGCCTCCGCACCTCAGGCGCTGACACCATCAGCATCCAAGGCTGCACTCTCCACCTCTCAAAGCCAGTCAGGAACCTCGGCGTTTTGTTCGACCCTGAGCTGTCCTTTCTCCCTCACATCCGCACCACAACTGGCACCGCCTTCCATCACCTCCGGAACATCGCCAGACTACGGCATTACCTCACCCCTCACGCTGCTGAAACCCTGGTCCACGCCTTTGTCACCTCAAGGCTGGACTATGGGAACTCTCTCCTCGCCGGCCTTCCCGCCACCTCCCTCCACAAGCTGCAGGTCATTCAGAACTCTGCAGCTCGTGTACTGTCCCGCACCAGGCTTCGGGACCACATCACTCCCACCCTCGCTCGCCTCCACTGGCTCCCCATCCCCCAGAGGATTGATTTCAAGATCCTCATCCTCACCTACAAGGCCATTCACGGCCTTGCTCCCTCCTACCTCTCCAACCTACTATCCCCCTACCTACCTGCCCGTACCCTCCGTTCCTCTGGCTCCGGTCTGCTCCACGTCCCCCGCCCCAATCGCCCTACCATCGGTGGTCGGGCCTTCAGCCTCTCAGCCCCTAGGCTCTGGAACTCTATCCCCCAGTGCCTTCGCCTTGCTTCCTCCCTCTCCTCCTTCAAGGCCGGTCTCAAAACCTTTCTCTTTGACCGAGCCTTCAGCTCCCCTCTCGACTCTCTTCCCCCTCCTCGCTCCCTCCCTTCCCTCCCCTCACCCTGACCATTTCCCCCCTGCTTGGGTCATGACCCAACTGTGCAGCGCCTTGGGACGTCCTCCTGACGTGAAAGACGCTTTATAAATGGAATCTTGTTGTTGTTGTTGTTTCCGGGCGTAATATTCGCTCAAAAAAAAATTTGATCACTCAATCCACAATTGTTGTGGGACAGTGCTGTGTGCAATTTACATTTTGTCTACAAAATATACAGTCAATTCACTTTACAGTATATTCTGTGAAGCACTTTCAAACGTCTCAACAACGGGATATCAAATGCAAGGATTATTATAAGACCTGGTGTTAATTTCACCCCATTTAATGCCAATATCTGAAAGGAAAGATCCAAGCCACGGTTTTCCTGGTGTTGCTTGAAGTGAATGAACAAGGAGTATTTATTTCTGGACTAATGAAAGTACTGAAATACTCTGGAGAGGATGAGTGACATGTCTGAAATCGAGCATTATTTTTATTACTCTCCAGGGTGTCAGCCTGGCTCAGAGACATTCTTGCTCTGGATTCAAGCCCTACTTCAGGAATCTGAACTCACATAGATTTGGCTGGGACTCTGATACAATGCTGATGTGGGGAGGGTTGCATCTTCAGAGGGTCATCCTTCGGATGAGATGTTAAACCGAGATTCCCATCTGTCTGTTAGGTGGACCTTAAAGATCCCATGTACTACTTGAAAAGAGAAGGGAGTTCTCTCTCCAGGTGTCCTGGCCAACAATCTCCCAGACACAATTATTCATTCACCTGGTGGTTGTTTTGTGAGACAATGTTATTCCATGTTCACCTATAAGGTACACAGGCACTACACTCTCCAGAATATCCTGTCAACAGCTTTGAGATGTCTTCCTAATGTGAAACATGCTAAAGCAAATATAAAAATTATTATTAGTAGTGGTATTTTACAGGTTATGCAAGATTTGGGAAGAAGAAATACAGAGGAAAGAGAGCGTAACAGACCCTCAAATCATAACCCAAATCATCGTCATCTGGATTTTACTCAATGAGAATTCTTCAAAGCATTAAAGCAAGTAAATGTGATGAAATCTGGAATGAAAGCAGTTTATCGGCTGCAGATTTGTCTTGAAAGGGATGAATCACTTTCTAATGCATTTGAAACAGCGCTTCCTAGACACCGGGATAGAGAAACTCTTTTTTCGAATAGTGTCATGGGATCTTTAACGTCCACCTGAACAGGCAGACGGAACCTTAGTTTAACGTCTCATCTGAAGGACGAAATAATGTTGAAAACGATGATCTCGGGGGGAAGCTTGTGGCAAAAGCATTGATCATGTTACCTGTAGCGGCTTTGGAATTACAGAGTAAATGATGCACAACATACACAACAGAGTAGACCTTCGTACTTCAGGGAATTAAGAGGATCAACACACAGATCCTTGTCGAAACACATGGTAATTTTTCTTTGGGGACCACATTGCCACCTGTGTTCCTTTTGCTCACAGTTTCCTACTCCCTCTCTACTCTCAGGTCTCAGCCTGGCTCACTTGGAAGACCTCTTGCCTCTGAGTCAGACGATTGTGGGTTCGAGCCCCCAGCTCGGTACAGCACAGCACAGACATATTGGGAAAGATCAGAGGAATCAGTTAGAGTAGACAGCTCCAATGGGGGAGCGAGCATCAGGATACGCCGAATGGTGAAAAGGCAAGGAGAGCTCCAGGGAGGAAGCGAGTGCCAACACACACATGATGGGCTGAATGGCATCCCATTGTGCTGTAAAGTTTCCATAAATTTATCGTCCATCAGCCAGTGGCCCAACAACAGAGCGAGTAATTCACGCAAGTGGAAGATAGCCAAAAATCACCAAGTCACTCAAAGGGCAGATGAGAGGAGGGAGGGAGGGACAGAGGGACCGTGCTGAGGTTATAGGAGCCAAAGCTGTCCACTTATTCCACTGAATAACAAGAGACAGGTTCCACTGTAACCGCTCCCAGTGAGTTGCACACAAACCAGTTGTTGTAGCCAGTTTCTGACTCCCAACATTACACAAGATGGAATTAATAATCCCTCCAACACCAAAAACAATAATAAATTGGTCATCTTCAATCTACGACTGTTTGTGGGACATTGCGTTGCGCAATTGGCTGCTGCGTTCGCCCACAAATATACAATCAATTCACTTTACAGTGTGTTCTGTGAAGCGCTTTGGGATGTCCTCCTGACATGAAAAGCGCTATATCAAATGCAAGGATTATTATTATTATTATTATTAAATCCTGATTGCAGTTTTCTGTTCATCTACATTCCAACCACATTCCTGTTTATCCACTTGACACACAGTCTGTGAAATTATTCTTCTCATTGTGTTGCTCTGCCCTGTTGTTGCCGAGCAACAGCATTAAAACCGTAGGTTGATTTATTTTAGGAGTCAGATTTCTTTTCTCTTCCCCCCCTCCCTGACTTGAGATGTATCAACGACATAACAAGGCACTATATGAAATGCAAGGATGATTATTATCAACTTTCCATTTTATTCAGTACACTTGTCTAAAAAGAGTCTAAATTGCTCAAAATGTTGCCGGGGCGACCAATTGAAGGTGCTGCTTTTTGGGGGGCGGGGGTGCAAAGTTAAAGACTGAATCGTAGAAAATCCAGAAGAGACAGTCCGTGGGATCTGAAGCCAGTTTAAACTTCTGATCTATTTGCTCAGCACTTTATGTCAAGTGATTTCACTGCCTCAAAATGTTAGTCATTTTGTCTCACCTAATCTGAATGAATCATAATTACCACTCTCTGATTCGGCTTTTCACTGTAATGACAAAATACTCATGGCTCCCAGTTTAGGTGGAGGTTAACTACCCGGCTGCATTGTTCCTCTCTCCTGGGATCCGAACCAACGAACCGCCAGATAAAACCCATCTTTCACTTCATGGATGTTTGTGGGACACTGGCTGTGTGCAAGTTGGCTGCCATGTTCACCTACAAATAGAGTCCCTCCAGGGAAAGCATGCACATACCATTCCAACAATCTATCTCTGGAATTTCCATGTGTAGGTGGGATGCATGGAATTCTCAGTTTGGTTTGGAGACTCTTAAGCAACGGTGATGGGTTTCTGCATGTGTCAGACACTGGCTGATGAGCTGAACACACTGAGCCAGTGTGTATCAGTCTACCACAGACCCAACATAATTGAGACTTCATATCAGGATCATGTGGGACAGTAGATGAGGGGTGGCAAAACTGCAACATTTCATAACAGATTTGATGTGATAATTCTGAAATGTCGCAAATTCCACAGAGCTTTACATACTTAATTGTCTGAGTGACAAACAAATGAGTGAAAGTGAATGTCTGGCTTTCCCTTTAAGAGAACCAGGCAGACCCTGTGATGGGAGAGGCTGGAGATAAGAGTGTAGGGAAATGTTACATTTAGATTTTTCAGCAGTTTTTAAAATCTAGTTTCTGTGCAATGGCAGAAAATGACCTTTGCCTTGGCTCCCAGTGAGCAGACAGCTGTGTTTATCAGTGTTTGCCATCCAAGCACCAGCAGAGACAGAACAAACTCAGGGCTTTTCCAAGGTTCCTGAGATTTAAGGAACAAGGACAAGTTTTAGTGTCTTTGATTGATTCGAGCATTTCACATTGTGCCTGTAATGTTGAAATGTCTCTAAGTGATTCACAGGTGAAGTGACTGTATTTTGTGGATGAACTCAGCAGCCAATTTGTGCAAAGCAATCTCCCGCGGACAGCCATTGAGTGAAAGGTAAATGATATGGAGTTGGCCAGGACACCTGGAAAAACTCCCCTTTTCTCCCTGATTAGTGTCATGGAATCTTTACAATACAAAATTAAGTTTGTATAGCACCTTTCACGTTCGTTTAAAGTCCACCTGAACAGGCAAATGGGACCTCATTGTAGCATCTCCTCCGAAGGTCGGCACCGCCAACAATGATGCAGTGAGCTGCCCCCAGCACTAACCTGTAATTAGTGAGCTAGAATGGGGGGACTTTCACTCTGTTACATAGTGTTGGCAAAATTCACAACTCCGTTGAAAATAACAGGTGAGGCATAGGTTGAGCTCTATCTTTCTGTGCTGAACACAGGACTGTATGGCGCAGTGAATCAGCTATGATCTCTGCGCCTGCATTGATGCCCAGCTCACACTGTTAGGACTGAGCCCTTGTCTCTCTGCCGAATAACTGCAAGTGAGCACTGCCAACCAAGCAGGCTATATTCTCACACTTATACTGAGTTTCACTCTGCTCCCCATCCCCGCCTTTTGGCACATCTTAAAATTCCTGTAGATGTAATGGATTAAGTGAAGGGAGAATGTTCAATTACTATAATAATAAACAATCCTTGCATTTGATATAGGGCCCTATCATGTCATTGAGACGTCTCAACGCCTTTCACAGAATATACTGTAAAGTTAATTAATTGTGTATTTTTGGGACAAAACATGGCAGCCAACTGCACACAGCAGTGTCCCACAAGCAGTCATTGATTTTTATCCCTGGAAAACCATCTGCCAATTAACTAACAAGAAGGGTTCTACTTACTGCTAGGTAAACAGATGCATGTGGAGGAAGGAAACTTGCCTAAAGTTTTGCCCTGACCTGCCTGGAAATCGAATCCAGGTCCGATCGCTTGTGAGTAACCATGAAGCTTACAGGACTCCCTCCCTGAGGAATTAACACTACACAGTAATGCAATGAAGAGGCATTTTACACTGAGAACACCCAGTACTTCATCCATTCTCTCTCGGTGTCCAGTAACATAATCCTTGCATTCGATACAGTGTCTGAAACAGTTTCATAAATAATTACTCCAAAGTGTGGTGACTATGTGTTTGTGGGGATATTGGCCAGGACATCAGCAGAAAAGCAGGAGAGTTCGACTAAATGGAAAGCTCTTTCAGAGATCCTGCACAGACAATGATGGGTCAAGTGGCCTCCATCTGTGCTGTAAATATCTTTGGTTCTACGTCCATAATGGGATGAGAGAAACAGCTAAGGAACACAACTCCTTCATTGTCCTAACCCAAGAATATTGTTTCCCTGGATCCTCCAGTACTCTCCACTAAATTGGTTAATCAATGTCCCATGACCATGACCATGACTATGATAGATTCCACCCCGTCAGTTTATTGTAATTTCTTGTAATTGACACACAAAGCTCCTGAATCATCTTGAAAAATTATTATTATATTATTATTATATGCAGAGATTGGGCTTGTATTTACCCTCAATTGGTAGAACACAACATTCCATCCACAATAAATCCTTGGTATATCCAGGCAGCCGTAATGGGGGGGTGGGGGGGGGAATAGAGAGAGAGAAAGAATTGGAGGGCAAATCAGATAAGAGGTGAATCAGCGCTGTTCTTGTGCACTTCAAGAGGGCGGTAGAACAATCACAACAACAACAAATTATATTTCACGTCGGAAGGGCATCCCAAAGCACTAGACAGAATGCATGATTCAGTGTGTAATATCGTGTTACTCGTGATAAAGGGTGAAACACTGTGATGGCTCTTTTATTCCTTCTCCCTAATAGGAAACACTGGGGCCATTTATATGGTTCTGCTAATTCTCGCCAACTTCGTAATTTTGCTCTGTAATCTTACTGATCCCTTATTAAATTAACCTATTTAGCTTTTTCTAGTTTTTCTAACTATGTCAACAAACTTAGGCAAAGAGAAAATCCAGAATATTTGGTTTATTTCAGATGTGCTCACTGAAATGATGCAAACCAGTCAGTGAAACATTAGCTGTACGTAAACTGGATGAAATAAGAGTTTACGCTATTTTTCAAACAACAAAGAAACTTTTTGAGTGAACAGAATAATCGAGTTGAGCTGTGATCACAATGTGATAGTAATGGACACACTGTCACAAAGCCTTCACCCTCAATTCAACAATTTAGCACAATGTTACCCTCCTATACACTGAGGTGTTAGCTCACTAACTGTGTATTTGAAGGTGAACCAGCCACTGAAACATTAGTTGTACGTAAACAAGATGAAATAACAATTTATGCAGCAGCCAAGTTTGCACATAGTAATGTCCCCAAAACAGCCAGAAAGCAGAGAAACAATTAAATCTGGGTGATTGTTGGCCAAGGCACCAGGAGAAAGAAAGTCCCTTCTTTTTTAAAATAGTGCCGCAGGATTGTTAATGTCCACTTGCACACACAGAGAGGAGCTCGGTTTAACGTCTCATCCGAAGGACAGCACCTCTGACGATGCAACACCCCCCTAGCACTGCATTGGTGCGTCAGCTTAGACTATGTGATTCCAAGTCTCCAACGTGGGGCTTCAACCTACAACCTTCTGACAATTATATACAGTACAATAAAAGGAAATTAAATCGACAATTAATTCCAAAGTGTTCACTCACCTGGCAAACTTGGTCTTTTGGAAATCCAGCATTGTTGAGAAGAAGCAAAGTCTTTTTCTGATTTTAGCAGCATTGGGACTGTGTAGAGAGCCAGACAGACAGAGAGACAGCGAGAGACAGACAGACAGACAGACAGACAGACAGACAGACAGACAGACAGACAGACAGACAGACAGACAGACAGACAGACAGACAGACAGACAGACAGACAGACAGACAGACAGACAGACAGACAGACAGACAGACAGACAGACAGACAGACAGACAGACAGACAGACAGACAGACAGACAGAGAGACAGCGAGAGACAGACAGACAGACAGAGACAGACAGACAGACAGACAGAGACAGACAGAGACAGACAGACAGATAGAGACAGACAGATAGAGACAGACAGAGACAGACAGACAGAGACAGAGAGACAGAGAGACAGAGACAGACAGACAGACAGACAGACAGACAGAGAGACAGACAGACAGACAGACAGACAGACAGACAGACAGACAGAGACAGACAGACAGACAGACAGACAGACAGACAGACAGACAGACAGACAGACAGACAGACAGACAGACAGACAGACAGACAGACAGACAGACAGACAGACAGACAGACAGACAGACAGACAGACAGACAGACAGACAGACAGACAGACAGACAGACAGACAGACAGACAGACAGACAGACAGACAGACAGACAGACAGACAGACAGACAGACAGACAGGACAGACAGACAGACAGACAGACAGACAGACAGACAGACAGACAGACAGACAGACAGACAGACAGACAGACAGACAGAGACAGACAGACAGACAGACAGACAGACAGACAGACAGACAGACAGACAGACAGACAGACAGACAGACAGACAGACAGACAGACAGACAGACAGACAGACAGACAGACAGACAGACAGAGAGCTCGCTGTCCTGTGCGCGCTGATCACAGATGGCGATGGCTGAGCTTGTGCAGGACGCAGAGTTGCACCGAGACGCACAGCTCCATCTCACCCACTCTGTGGGAAACTTCAATCCCAGGGTTTTGACCTCAGACTTTAGTGACCACCTACTCGGGCTCCAACTTCACCTCCTCCGCATCACACCCTCTCCTCTCACTTGTAAAGTTACAACAAAGCTGAGACCTCTCCCCCCTCCGAGAGATCAAAACAATTCCTGATTTGATGCTGTGCAAAAAAATGCTACCAACTGTCCAAAGGTCTATTTTGTTTGTTTTTCTCTATGTATTGGATGAAATTAACAAGTAGCAAAAGGGGGATAGAGTTACAGAGAGTTAAAGAAACAGTGACAAACATTGCAAATAGGAGAGAGGAAGGAATAAAGTGATACGAGATGTATTTTATTTATCTATTTGTCTATCTATGTATCTACTACAGTAAATGCTATATTTATTTGTCCCAGAATTGTAAACTTACCAAATTTCAAATGGAAGAAGTCAGGAATGATTGCAAAATGCATCAATTTCCAAGGGAGGGAATGTTACAGGAATCTGCTGACAGGATTTGATGGCTTCAGTGTCCACATTGCTGTATACGATGCCGGGTATTTTTTTAATGCATTTTTTTCCCCTTCAGGCGCTCTTTTCCTCTTGTTGTTTTAAGAGGAGAGAAAAAGACAGGGAGAGACACAGAGAGAGAGAGAGACATCAACAAGAACAAGGCTCATCCACATCTTTCATTTCTCAACACAATTGAATGTTCATCCGGAAACCTCCCATCACAAGCCTCCCGGGATGTCACTGTTTCCTGCTCATGTTTAGCTGTAAATGTGTTTCTGTAACTAACAGCGATTCAAAAATATATAAAGACACAAACAAAGTCAACCAGAATTGCCATCCCAGCCCATACTTAAAGCGAGAAGGACCTCTGTGAAGAGCAGCCAATTCCCCGCATTTCTCTGGCTGAAGGTTCAGGGACAATAATTTTGCTACCAAACGAGTTGACCCAATTTTTAAAGCAATTTTTTTTTACCGTCGCATGTGATTGGAGCTCATGTGAATTATAGCCAATGGATCAAAAATGAAACCCAATTCCTATTTTCCTTTTCATTAAACTTGTCCTGCAAGTCAACAGCCCCCCTCCCTCCCATAATATTGATCATTCACTTCAGGCTGTTTGTGGGACATCCTGTGAGCAAATTGACTGCGATGTTCACTACAAAATACACAGTCACTACACTTGACAGTAAAATCCTGTGAAGTGCTTTGAAATGCAAGGATTATTAAATGCAAGCCCAAGCACTCCAGGATGCTACCCCATGTCAAGGGCACTAGATAAATGTAAGTTGTTGTATTATTACTGTCACACATGACAAGCGCCACACAGTGAGCCGCCCACATTAAACACAGGAGGGATCGATGCACATAGTACACTTGCCAATAATTCTGAATAGGTTTTTGACTCAATGGTGGAGACAGGCAGCAACTTGCATTGCCCTGAACTGAGAGTCAGCAGCTCAATTGAAGGATGTAATCACCATCTTCACTTTCCCAGGAGAGCAATCTGGTCATCACTTTTAAAATGATTGTCTCTTCTTTAGGCTCCCTCCAAAAAAAATAATTTTGTCACTCAATGCATGAGGGTTTATGGGACACTGCTGTGCACTATTGGCTGCCGGATTTTGCCCACAAAATATAGTCAATTCACTTTACAGTCTATTCTGTGAAGCGCTTTCAGATGTCTCAATGACGCGATAAGGCTATATCAAAATGCAAGAATTATTATTGACTCACTGTCCAATTATTCTACTCTCTGCTGTGAAGAGGGGCTTTGGCTGCTCTCCCTCTGATCGCTGGCATTCCTGATGCCCGATTGGTCAAAGCTGACTCACACAGTCAGAAATCCAATGCCGAATCCTGTAAAGTCATAGACCTGGCCTGATTTACACAGTTAGAGGGATGTGGGCTGCAGAGTTCTGGATGGTCTGGAGCTTGTGAAGGCTGGAGATGTGGATTAAATAACAACAAATACTACTTACATTTGTATTGCGCTATTTATGCAGGACAACAAATCTTAAGGCTGCAAAGCAACATTAAAGACAATTAGAACCTGTTTTCCAGCATTAAGAGGAAATGTGTTGGTGACGGAAGTGGTGAATATCAATATTTCACTGAACATAGCTTGCAAAGTGCGGATCAATGACACTCTATGAAGCAGAATGAGATTACCCCTGGTAACTAATGCTGATTGTAACCAACTAAAGTCAGACCTGACATAACACTGCGCTATTGAAGATTCCCCCCTCTTTATGTTTCTTACTGTTACTTCCCCTTTGTGTATCATTCATGTGAATGTCCAGAGGGTAGACAAGGCAACCAGTTCCTATTTGCCAATGTTGTGAGACTCCCACTGACCTTGAATTCCTCTCTGGAGTCACCAGGAAGCATGTAGTCTTACTGCTGCCCCCTACTGACTGGCCTCCACAGTCACTGCTGAACAGCCTCCAGAGTTTCAGAGATGACCAACAATTTTTCACTGAGTGTCATCTCTGTACATTAAAGGGCTTGATTCTTCGGTTGGTCTAAAAGGTGATTTAAGAGTGTTTAGGCCCTTCTGTAGGATAGCTATACAGTAGGTCAGGTGTTCATCCACAAAATTCACAGTCACAACACCTATAATGAAGTGAAAGAATTATTAAACATAATTTCAATATCAACCAGGAGAACCTTTCTGCGTGGGTCCAAATACAGGGTGGGTCACAACCCAACCCCCCCCCCGCCCCTCTCTCTCAAACACACCTGGTCAACTGCACCTGCTACAAGTGGATCCAAAAATTGGGAAGAAAATTTGTTTGTACATATGACAAAGCTCCCAGACCAAGAAACATAATAGCCTGATTGGTAATGTTGACATAACGAGTGACTATCCGGTTACAGTGACTTAATCCTTGTTCTACAGAGACTCTCCAACACTCTTCTGTAACAACAACAACAATCATGACTCATGAAGCATTTCATCCCTCGTATGTTCTAGACTACATTAAACTTATTGGTAATAATAATAATAATAATCCTTGCATTTGATATAGCGCTTTTCACGTCGGGAGGACGTCCCAAAGCGCTTCACAGAATATACTGTAAAGTGAATTGACTGTATATTTGTGGGCGAAACGCGGCAGCCAATTGCGCACAGCAATGGCCCACAAACAGTCATGGATTGAAAATGACCAATTTATTATTGTTTTTGGTTTTGGAGGGATTATTATTAGGCTCTGTGTGGAGTAAGGAAACTTGCCCAAGGTCTCGCCCTCTGCCTGGAATTGAACTCAAGTCTCTCGCTTGCAAAGCGAGTGCTCTAACCACTGAGCTACAGGACTCCACAAATACAGTCGTCTGCCCATTACACGATCTTCTTTCCACAAACTTTGCAGAATTTGCATCTTTATTCACTCACCCTAATTCAATCTTATAAGGAATTCAAATAAATAACCAAGATTTCCACTCTCTACTGTTAGGCTCTGGCAGCATCAACCTCCATGGTTGCACACTACAACTCACCAAGCCAGTCAGGAACCTGGGTGTCTTGTTCGACCCTCAACTGTCTTTTCTTCCACACATCCAAGCCATGACCCACTCTGCCTTCCCTCACCTCCGTAATATCGTCCCACTCTGCCACTCCCTCAGCACTCAAGCCTCTGAAACCCTTGTTCATGCCTTCATCACCTCCAGACTCGACTATGCAAACTCCCTGCTTGTCGGCCTTCCCAACCTCCCTCCACTGGCTGCAGATCATCCATAACTCTGAAGCCCGTGTCCTCTCCCGCACCAAACTCCGTGACCCCATCTCTCCCACTCTTGCCCGACTCCACTGGCTCCCTATCCTTCAGAGGATCCAGTTCAAGATCCTGGTCCTCAACTACAAAGCCCTCCATGGCCTCGCCCAACCCGACCTCTGTGACCTGCTAACCCCCTACCAACCCGCCCGCTCCCTCGGCTCAGCCGGCTCTGGCCTGTTCCACGTCCCCCACTCCACCATTAGCGGGAGAGCCTTCAGCCACTCTGCCACCAACCTCTGGAATTCCATCCTCTAATCACTCCGCCTCACCTCCTCCTTAGCCTCCTTCAAGTCCCACCTCAAAACCCTCCTCTTCGACCATGTCATCAGCCACCCCCCCTTCGCCTCCTCTCTCCCCCCCGACCCCAGCTCGGGTCTGAAATGCTGTCACTGTCCAGCGCCTTGGGATGACCTCCCGATATGAAAGGCGCTGTACAAATGTAATCTTGTTGTTGTTGTAATTGTAAGAATTATTATTAATAAGGATTATTACAATAATGATTATATTGAAAGCTATTATATTAAAGATTATTATAAATAATAAGGATTGTTATATTAAGGATTATGACATTGAGAACTATTATATTTATATATATTAATTTAATCCACAAAACACACAGTCATTACACTTTACAGTATATTCTGTGAAGCGCATTGAGACGTCTCGAAGACGTGATAAGGCACGGTATCAAATGCCAGGATTATTATTATATTAATGATTATTATTAACAATAATGATTATTATTAACAATAATGAGGATTATTATTGATGAGGATTATTATTGATGAGGATTATTATTGATGAGGGTTATTATTGATGAGGGTTATTGGCGATGAGGGTTATTGTTAGTGATGAGGATTATTGTTAGTGATGAGGGTTATTGTTAGTGATGAGAGTTATTGATGATGAGGGTTATTAGTGATGAAGGTTATTATTAGTGATGAGGGTTATTAGTAATGATGAGGGTTATTAATGATGAGGGTTATTGATGATGAGGTTTATTGATGATGAGGTTTATTGATGATCAGGGTTATTGATGATGAGGGTTATTAGTGATGAGGGTTATTGATGATGAGGATTATTAGTGATAAGGGTTATTGATGATGAGGGTTATTGATGATGAAGTTTATTGATGATGTTTATTGATGATGAGGGTTATTGATGATGAGGGTTATTAGTGATGAGGGTTATTGATGATGAGGGTCATTGATGATGAAAGTTATTGATAATGAGAGTTATTAATGATGAGGGCTGTTGATGATGAGGGTTATTGATGATGAGAGTTATTAGTGATGATGGGTATTGATGATGGGGGTTATTGATGATGAGACTTATTAGTGATGATGGTTATTGATGAGGGTTATTGATGATGAGAGTTATTAGTGATGAGAGTTATTGATGATGAGTGTTATTGATGATGAGAGTTATTAGTGATGATGAGGGTTATTGATGATGAGAGTTATTAGTGATGATGGTTATTGATGATGAGGATTATTAGTGACAAGGGTTATTGATGATGAGGGTTATTGATGATGAAGTTTATTGATGATATTTATTGATGATGAGTTATTGATGATGAGGGTTATTAGTGATGAGGGTTATTGATGATGAAGGTTATTGATGATGAGCGTTATTGATGATGGTTATTGATTATGAGGGTTATTGATGATGAAGGTTATTGATAATGAGTTATTAATAATGAGGGCTGTTGATGATGAGAGTTATTAGTGATGATGGTTATTAGTAATGAGGGTTATTGATGATGAGGGTTATTGATGATGAAGATGAACAGGGGATTGAGTCCTTGTTGTTGAGGGGGAGGGGCGGAGTTTGGCGCATGCGCAGTGTGGGCGGAGCTGCACAAACACCGGGAGCTGCGGCGGCGACACCGGGACCAGAAACAACAACAACTACTGCCGCACCGGCACCGGCACCCCCGCCCCCCCACACCCCCTCCCCCTCCCCCCCACACCCCCTCCCCCGCCCCCCCGCCCCCCACACCCCCTCCCCCGCCCCCCCACACCCCCCCAGTCAGGGACACACGGAGTCGGGGCCACAGCAGCCAATATCCGGGGCTCCCCCACCCGGGGGGAGAGTAACAGGGACAGAGAGAGGAACCCCCCCCCACACACCCCCCCCCACACACACACACATCCCCCCCCCCCCCCCCCACACACACCCCCCCACACACACACACACACAACCCCCCCCACACAGACACACCCCCACACATCCCCCCCCCCCCCACACCCCCCCACACATCCCCCCCCCCACACACAGATCCACCCCCACACACACACACAGACACCCCCCCCCACACACACACACACAGACACCCCCCCACACACACACACACACCCCCCCCCCGCACACAGACACACACACCCACAGACACCCCCCCACCCACACAGAGACAGAGGGAGGACCCCCCCCACACGCCCCCCCCCCCCCCCAGCCCTGATGAACCTGTCCAGCCAGAGCGGGGAGGCCGGGGCCTGTCAGCTCCTCTTCGCCAACTTCAACCAGGACACCACGTGAGCCATCCCGGGGGGGGCGCTGGGAAAGGCCGAGGCTGTGCGGCCTCGAGCACAGACACTGACACACAGGGACACACACACTGACACACAGGGACACAGACACTGACACACAGGGACACTGACACACAGGGACACACACACTGACACACAGGGACACAGACACTGACACACAGGGACACTGACACTGACACACAGGGACACAGACACTGACACACAGGGACACTGACACTGACACACAGGGACACAGACACTGACACACAGGGACACAGACACTGACACACAGGGACACAGACACTGACACACAGGGACACAGACACAGACACACAGGGACACAGACACTGACACACAGGGACACAGACACTGACACACAGGGACACTGATACACAGGGACACAGACACTGACACACAGGGACACACACACTGACACACAGGGACACAGACACTGACACACAGGGACACTGACACAGAGAGACACACACACTGACACACAGGGACACACACACTGACACACAGGGACACAGACACTGACACACAGGGACACTGACACACAGGGACACTGACACACAGGGACACTGACACACAGGGACACTGACACACAGACACACAGGGACACAGACACTGACACACAGGGACACTGACACTGACACACAGGGACACAGACACTGACACACAGGGACACTGACACAGAGAGACACACACACTGACACACAGGGACACACACACTGACACACAGGGACACTGACACACAGGGACACAGACACTGACACACAGGGACACACACACTGACACACAGGGACACAGACACTGACACACAGGGACACTGACACACAGGGACACACACACTGACACACCGGGACACTGACACACAGACACACAGGGACACAGGGACACAGACACTGACACACAGCGACACAGACACTGACACAGAGAGACACTGACACACAGAGACACTGACACACAGGGACACAGACACTGACACACAGGGACACTGACACACAGGGACACAGACACTGACACACAGGGACACTGACACACAGGGACACAGACACTGACACACAGGGACACTGACACACAGGGACACAGACACAGAGAGACACAGACACTGACACACAGGGACACTGACACACAGGGACACTGACACTGACACAGAGAGACACAGGGAGAGTGACAAAGAGAGACAGAGACAGATAGACAGAGAGATAGACACACAGACAGACAGAGACATGTGGGGGAATAACATGACATGTAATAATATTCTGGTAATTGTGGAAGTTGCTGTTGCTACAGATTGTGGCTTTGATTCATCTCCTGTTTCTCTGAACTGACCAAATCCAAAGGCCTTTACCACAGCTCGGATGTGCCCCTGAATTATATTTTTTTGGTGGGTGGGGGAGGAGGAGACCCCTGTGTGTGTGTGTGTGGGGGGGGGGGGGTGGGGGGGGGTTACAAAAGTTTAAGTTGTGGGAAAGGATCAGTTTGATTGTCTTGGAAGGAAGGGGTGGGGGTGAGCGAGAGTAACTTCTCCATGAGAAAGACCATTGCAATCCAGTCCCCCCCCTCCCCAAGCCAGTCCCCCCCCTCCCCAAGCCAGTCCCCCCCCCCTCCCCAAGCCAGTCTCCCCCCCCAGCCAGTCTCCCCCCCCAGCCAGTCTCCCCCCCCCAAGCCAGTCCCCCCCCAAGCCAGTCCCCTCCACGCTCCCCAAGCCAGTCCCCCCCTCCCCAAGCCAGTCCCCCACCAAGCCAGTCCCCCCCAAGCCAGTCTCCCCCCAAGCCAGTCTCCCCCCCCCCAAGCCAGTCTCCCCCCCCCAAGCCAGCCCCCCCCACCCTCCCCAAGCCAGCCCCCCCTCTCCAAGCCAGTCCCCTCCACCCTCCCCAAGCCAGTCTCCCCCACCCCAAGCCAGCCCCCCCCACCCTCCCCAAGCCAGCCCCCCCTCTCCAAGCCAGTCCCCTCCACCCTCCCCAAGACAGTCCCCCACCCTCCCCAAGACAGTCCCCCACCCTCCCCAAGCCAGTCCCCCCCACCCTCCCCAAGCCAGTCCCCCCCACCCTCCCCAAGCCAATGCCCCCCTTCAAGCCAGTTTCTCCCCCCTCAGTTTAAAGAGGCAGCAAGTCAGCCCTGTGCATTGTGGGGGTGGGGGGGTTGTTGTGCTTCTGTTGCAATGTGAGCAATGGAGCTGGTTCCCTGTTGTGTTGACGGTTACGGATGTGATTGAGAGCAAGAGTTGCTAATGGACTTTGCTTTGCTTTTCCACCAAATGGTGGGGGTTAGGGCGAGAGAGAGGGTGGAATGTAGTCTACTCTGATAGCTGATTCTTTGTCCAAAACTTGCTTGAGAACGAGCTAAATAATCATTGATTCACATTTGAACGTTCATAATCAGATTGGCTGCTTCTGTGTAATTATTGCTCATGATCTGAAAAGGTGGACTATGTAGAAATGATGTCTTATAGTGGAAATAATGATCACTGGTGTAGGCTTGTTCAAAGCACAACTGGTTGTAGCACAAAATAGCATGGAGGAATTATATTTTTTGTAGCAAGGAATTTCTGGGCCAGTATCCGCAAGTTCTGGGCTGTCAAGTGTTGTATTTTATGGGGAAAGAAGATGTGGATCGCACTGAGCTGGGAAAGCACAGAACCAGTTGATTAACACTGTGCGCAATTCGCTGTTTCGATTCTCCCACAAAATATACAGTCATTACACTTTAAAGTACATTCTGTGAAGCGCTTTCAGGCGTCTCAACATTGCAATAAGGCACTATATCAAATGCAAGGATTATTATTATTATGGATGGGGTGTGTTTGCACTTTCTCCTGGTCTACGGGCCAACAATCCTTCAGATAAATTGGTCATTCACTTCAGGATGGATTGTTGGATTTTGCTGTTGGCAAATTTGCTACGGTTACACAGTCATTAGACATAACAGCAGCTTTAAGACTTTTTGACGTTCATAAACTTTAACAATATGCTTGCTCTCTGGAGATCCCGACTCAAATCCCTCGACTTTGCAGCGTTTGACAATCTTCTGACCACCTACCTCTCTGTACCTTTGTTTACCTTCCTCTTATACCCTGCTTGCACCTTTCAACCTTGTTTGGTTTCTGAGACGTAAAGCACTCAAGATGTTTCCTACATGAAAGGTGATGTATACCTGCAAGACCGAGGCTCTCCCGATTGGCTCCTGTCAGCGCCTCCTCACCTCAGGCACTGGCAGCATCACCATCCATGGTTACACACTCCACGTTGCTAAGACAGCCCGGAACCTTGGGGTCTTGTTCGATCTTCAACTATCCTGTCTACCCCACATCTCGCAGTTACCCGCTCTGCTTTCCCCACCTCCGCAATGTCGCCCGGTTCCGACACTGGCTGACACCACAGGCCACCGAAACCCTCACACGCATTCTTAAGATTGAGGCTCGACTATGCAAACTCCCTGCTTGTCGGCCTCCCCACCTCCTCCCTCCACAGGCTGCAGATCATCCAGAACTCTGCAGCCCGTGTCCTCTCCCACACTAGGCTCCATGACTCTATCACCCCCATCCTCGCCCGACTCTACTGGCTTCCCATCACACTGAGGATACAGTTCAAAATCCTGGTTTTCACCTTCAAAGCCCTCCATGGCCTTGCTCCCCCCGACCTCTCCGACCTCCTAACCCCCTACCATCCTGTTTGCTCCCTCCATTCAGCATGCTCTGGCCTGCTTCACTTGCCCTGCCTCGCTCTCCCCACTATCGGCGGGTGGGCCTTCCACCACTCTGCCCCCATCCTCTGGAACTCCATCCCGCAGTCCCTCTGTTTCGCCCCCTTCCTCACCACCTTCAAGACCCACCTCAAGACCCTCCTCTTCGACTGTGTTTTCGATCTCCCTGCTTCCTCCCACGCCCCCACCCTCCAATCTCTCCTACCCCGACCCTCAGCTTGGGCCTATAACTCTGTCTGTCCAGTGTCTTGGGACGTGAAAGGCGCTTTACACATGTAATGTTGTTGTTGTTAATCAGATCTAAGGCCCAGTCTTAGTCTTTAAGATTATTATGTTTTTAAGATTGCACAGCATCGTGGCAAATTGTTTAACCCATTCTCTATTCGGAGGTTGCTTTCTGCCATCCTTCCTCAGTGAATTGGCTTCCATATTAAGAATGTAGTTTAAGAATTTTCCACATTTCTGCTCAATTTTTAATTTTAAGACAAAAGGCTAAGAATAGGTGGCATTTCAGGCCTCTAGGAGTGGTGACCTGCTCGCTCCCATAGCTGGAGTATCTGACAACACATAACAAAAGGGAGCAAAAAACACATTCTGTTTTGGGGAACGTAGGGTTATTATTTTACTGTTAGAAGTATTTCCACAGTATATTAGATTTTGTTCCTGATGAAACCCTTTCTCCACACCTGTTTGCCTTTTGCAATATGACTGGCTGCAGTAAAATTCTTTATTCTTTATTCTTGGGACCAGCAGATCTGTGAAATAATCCCACTCCCAGGATGAGGGTTGGAGAAATAGCTTTTAGCTTTTGCCTCTGGTATTTCCATACTTATCTGTCCTTCACTTCAGTGAAATTAGGCTGACCAGCAATGTACTTTAGGTTTCGCCACAGCTAAGGCTTTGTCCCTGGTTTTATCATCAAAGTAAAATAAAACCATATTTGCCAGCAGTGTATATCAGACACTAATCTCACAAAGACAGTTCACATCCGTGAAGCCCTGCGTGCACTTTGTTAAGGCTTCATTTGTCAGAAAAAGTATTGTACATAATCAACAGCAGCAATTATGCCCAAACGTGTATGTTTGTTTGGGTTTACTGGAAGAAAGAAGTATTTTATTTATTTTAAAAAAAGTCTCATGTCTAACCTGCATCCTTATAGTCCTCACACCCTGGTCTATTTGCATGGAAAATTATTTGGTGAAGTTTCAATATGAAAAGGTTAGCACAGTGGTGAGCTGATATCAAACAGAGAACACGAGGAGTTGTTTTAATGGTAACTGTGACAAACAGATCGCTCGCTTTATTGAATGGTTCCTGTAATTTTTCCCCTTTGTACATGTTGCTGTTAATGCTCACACAATCACTGGAAGGATAGGTTCCTTTTGTTTTAAATCGTTCTGTGTCAAAGCCACAGGAGGATAATTCAGTCCAAAGGAAGGCTTGTCTATTTCCCATGCTCCCTTGACTGATAGAATCATGAAAACACTTGATCAAACAATGTCTTGTTTAACTTGTAGCAAAATGAAAGATACTTTTCTGATAATAACATTGGAGCCTGAGCTAGGCCGTGGCCGTAATTTAGAAATTAATAAATAAATTAAAGTGAATAAATAATCCTTGGCATTTGATGTGGGGTCGGCCTCTCACGGCGGGAGAATGAGAGGAATTTCTCCCCAGGTCGGTTCGGTAGATACGTGGAGGTAGATTGATTTGATCTTAGTAACCTCCGAGCTCCAACTAAAGTGTAGTTGGGCCACTGTCACTGAACACTTGTGGAAAAGCTGGGAGCTTTGAGACGTTGAATGGATAGGAGATACTCCATCTTAAAATAGATCTGATAAACAGGTCGATGTTACCAGCCTTGTGATGTTTTCAGCTTTGAAAACTCCCTTATTTTTGCTCCTATGCAAATGGTGCTGCTGCAGTCAGTGCTTTGTGTGACTGTGGGAGCTTCTGACTGCTCGTTGGCCTGACAATCGACAGCACTGTGCAAATCCCTGGAACTGTTTTACTGTGTGAGTATCAAATCCTATCCTAGCAATAAATCTGAGGAATAGGAGGTGGCAATAGGAGCTGGACTGTCGGGGATCCGGGAGCGAATGCCTGACTGTCCAGCGCCTTGGGACGTCCTCCTGACATGAAAGGTGCCACACAAATAATTTGTTGTTTTTGTTGAATAGATAATTCAACTCTGGCACCAAGTCTTTGTAAGTGTGTGTGAGTGTCTGTGTGAATGTATGTCTGCGTGAGTGTGTGTGGCTGTGTCAGTGTGTCTCTGTGTGAGTGTGACTGTGTGTCAGTGTGCGACTGTGTGTGTATAATGTGGCACTTCTGTGCTGTCTATTTCTATGCTCGGCGCTTTGGGACGTCCTCCCGACGTGAAAGACGCTCTATTAATGTAATTTTGTTGTTGTTGTATTACCTCCTATCGCCACAGCTGAGCCATTGGCTGAGGAGGTGTATATAATGTCAGCAACAACAGAGTTGATTACATCAAGACCTTTTGAGTTGCAAAATACTTGCAGATGCCAGTTGTTGGTACAAATCATATTCACACTGAGCACATGTGTGTACAGGGTTTGATAGTACTGCGGACATTTTTAAAAAAAAGATTGTTTCATCTTAATTTGATCTATTTAATGACTAAAATGTTCTTTTATTTAGAAAATGATCTGATGTACTGCATCCCTAACTTGGCTGTTTCCCCACCTAGATGTGCCACATAACCCACATTTATTCTCTTTCTCATTTCCATGGTATTTCATACCATATTTCCACGTTGTTTGTTATTGCCACGTAACGCCCACAAAATACAGCCAAGTCATTTTACAATATATTCTGTGAAGCGCTTTGAGACCAAAGATGTGATAAGGCATTGTCTCAAATGCAAGGATTATTGTTGTTGTTATATTAAAATACCTGTGTAGCAGTCCCTTTTCCTGTTCCAACTAAGGTTTACCCCAGATGGTACTGCTTGGGTCTACCAAATGAACCAACTCATGTGAACAATGCAGTGCTCCCCAACACTGCCTGGACTGTCAACAGTGTCAGCCTGGACTGTCAGGTCAAAGTCCTGATGTGGCCGCAACCTTCTGACTCAGAGATGAGAGCTGCTGACTGAACTAGGCTGACATCTTGAAATGGATGTTATTGCATTCATTGTTCATGGCATTTCCTGCCTGCATCATGTTCCTCTCTGAGTGCACGTGGGGCTTCCATACAAAAGATTCATATACAATTGATTTGCATTGAATCCTGGTTGTTGGAAATACCACTGCACATTTAGCTCTGTGTGTCTAAACCAGGCTTATTGTCAGCAGAACTTTTCTGAATTTCCTCTTTTCACTTTCCTGAATAATGTTAAATTTTGTGCCTTGTCCCATCTCTTGTGATGTGGTATATTCAGTGAGATTGGTGTTTACTTCCTCATCCCACCGTGAGGGATAAGCTGCAGTCCCATCACTGGCTTTTTAAATGATTCAACTCACAGTTGAAATGCCCACCGATGTGCGCTGTGAGAGGGCCCCACATCTTGGTTCTAACTACCTCCTACTATCTGGAACGAGATAAGCTGAGTGCGTCTGAGTGGGCGCTCCATATGTGTCCTCTGTCTGATTTGGATATTCTGAAAATGTTTTTTATTAATAATAATAATCCTTGCATTTGATATAGTGCCTTATCAGGTTGTTGAGATGCTTCAAAGCGCTTCACTAAATATATTGTAAAGTGGATTGACTGTGTAATTTGTGGGTGAAACACCGACAAAATAAATCTGTCATTTTCTCTTCTATCGTATCATATACGTACATGATTTAATTGTTTTGTAGAGCATTTTGTTTTGTAAATTTGATGTTTTTTGCAGTTTTCTTTTTTGGGACTAGCTAGATACACAATAACTTGCATTTATATAGCGCCTTTACGCGGGGTAGCTCACTGCGGCCTCTACATTCCAACGTTCACTGTGAGAATCTGGAATGGAACCAGAGCCACGTCACGCACACGTGGCATGTTTACACCAAGGTGCAATGCCACTGCCGCAAGCAACACTTGGGGTCTAACACTAAACAAGTAACATTGTGTAAACACACTAAAGCATTAGCAAAACGTCCTCGTCTTTCACAGTGTGCTTTAAATTAGATTGTGTGAATACATTGAAAGCAGCACGTCACTTGGTTTTGAATAACTGGGGTTTCTGTGTTTGCGGCTTATATTCCATTTGCAATTGTAAGGGAAGGATTGAAAACTACACTGTCCATTTTATTTAATTTCTTCCAACATGCTGTGCTGCAAGACTTCAACCTTTGGCTGAAATGTAACCCAAATACCAACATCAATAGTTACCTAATCGTATTGAACAACTGACTCATGTCCATTCTGCTAGTAATTTAGTGGAGAACGTAATGTAGACTGAACTTCTGCTCTCAATTCTCTTCTTGAAATTCGTATTTATTTTTGTTCTTTAAAAACAGATCCCTCGCTGTTGGTACCAAATCCGGCTACAAGTTTTTCTCCCTTTCGTCTGTGGATAAATTAGAACAGATTTATGAATGCAGTAAGTAACACTAATTGAATTTTGTCTGTCAAATGCTTTTATGAGGATCCAGGGCATCAAAGTATAAACATTGCTGCTTTGTTTGGATGAAATCTCAGAGCTTTCAGGGGTTGCGTTGTTTTCCACCAGGAACTGGGAGTGATTGCGGATGCAGTCCATTGGGTTACCCACAGTAATGGTGTATTTGGTGCCGAAAGACACTGAGGAGTTTGTTACAGGCAGTAAATGTAATGAGAATAAAGATGAGAAAATGTCATGGTTTCTACTTTTGAGCTTCTTTATCAGGTGCTCTGGCCTCTGTAGATTGGCAGGGAGGAGGAATACATATGGAAGTGGCTAATGTATAGACTTGTCAAATGTTGATTTGCTTTGATCTCCATGCACTTGTTCTAGATCTGCCCTGTGTGTGTATGTGTCCCATACAATGAAAACTGGTAAACATTTTAGGTTGAACAGTGGCCATTGACTGTTTGTGCCACACTAAATCACACTAAGTGTAAACCCCTTCTGATGATTAACCAGGTGTTTTAGTTTGTGCCACACTATTTTACAATCGAAAGTGGCCAAGATTGAGCTGCTCCATCTGTCGATGCCTCTGATGAACATGAAACTCAGAGACTCATGAAGTCATAGAATCACAGAATCATAGTCTGTGCAGCTCTTTGACAGCAACTGACTTTCATTAACCCCACTCACCAGCTTTCTCCCCATAACCCTGCAAACCTGTCTTCTCCAGATACCTATCCAGTTCTTGGCCAGGAAGCTAACCCCTGCCTTGCTTAAGTGGGTTATGTACTCACGATAGCAGTTCTCACGACACTCACAGCAGCAATTCCCTCACACTCTGATCTCGCCTCACTCCGGACGTAGCACACTCTGGGCTCTCGCAGCTATCTCCTATTTATACTTTCTGGGTGCAACCAGTTTCTGATTTTCTCAGCAGTAATTTGGAATTAACACCTAATCAAGTGATTGATCAATAAGTTAAGTTAATCAATAAGTTACTTGTTATTGGCTAGGCCTAACTGGCTACAGCTGCTCCCTGTAAAGTTACCCCACAAGACCAATGTACCAATGGTATCAGCAATTTTAACTAACACAAGACTTAAAACAACTACAACAACTACTACAAAACTTGAATAATAACAACAACAACAACAAATTGGGTTATGTACTCACGATAGCAGTTCTCACGACACTCACAGCAGCAATGCCCACTCTCACCAAATTCCCTGACACTCTGGCCTCGCCTCACTCCGGACGTAGCTCACTCTGGGCTCTCGGCTCAGTCCTGTGTGTTTTGTTTCTCCACTCCCCCACATCAGGCCCTGTACCTTTGCGCCTCCTCAGAAAGTGATTAGTGTCTGCTGTAGCATGTCAGACATGGGCTGGCATTTATTTAACTGAGCTTGACAGACATCAAGAGACCTATATGGCACAAACCTATAGAGTCAATGCGGATTCATTCACCACGTGGGGGATCACAGGCTATTGCTTTGTGACACGAGCATTGGAAAGTCATCCACCAGCCCGTGCTGTTGGCTTCTCACATCGACAGTCTAGTCTCCTGACAGACTGATACTGGGCTGTTCAGTGCAGAGTGTCATTGATGAGATGATGCCCACCCTGAAACAGTAACAGTGGTAGTAAAATCACCTTGGTCTTAAACGTGTTCTTCAGCACATTAAGCAGGGCTGAGCACTTACAATTCAATTACAGTTCAGTTGTGCGTAGAGTTGGAGGACAAGTCCAGACATTCCACACACAGCCTCACGCAGCTCTATCCTGGGCCTGATTCAAATGTGTGAACTCGGGGTGAAATTACTATGTTGCAAGTCACAGTGGCACACAAGCTTATTGCGATCGCTTGTTGAAATATTTCCACGTTTCTTTCCAAATTTCGAGGTGGTTTTGCATGAAGATGAGCAATGAGTGTTTTTTGAAGCGCTGCTCCGTGTTCAGCCGACATTAAATATCTGTGTGTTTGTTTCAGGTTATTCACAGAACTATTCCAGTTCCTTATCCATTGTCTAATATAGCTTTCTCACTGTCACCTGTACAGCTGACACGGAGGACGTATGCATTGTGGAAAGGCTGTTCTCAAGCAGTTTAGTCGCTATCGTGAGCCTCAAAGCTCCCAGAAAGCTGAAGGTCTGTCACTTTAAGAAAGGAACTGAGATCTGTAACTACAGCTATTCCAACACAATTCTGGCCGTCAAGCTAAACAGACAGGTAAGCAACCCTGGGGCAACAACAACAAATTACATTTATACTGCGCCTCCATGTCAGGAGGACGTCCCAAGGCCCTGGACAGTCAAGGATCCGCACCCAAGCTGGTGGTTGGGATCAGGAGGGTTGGAGGGTGAGGAGGGTGACCGAAGGCACGGTCGAAGAGGAGAGTCTTGAGACAGGTCTTCAAGGAGGCAAGGGAAGGGTCGAAGCGTAGAGCTGTGGGATGGAGTTCCAGAAGGTGGGGTCAGAGAGGCTGAAGGCCTGACCGCCAATGGTGGGGCATAACCTTTGATCTCAGTCTGCTCCCAGCCACAGATAATAACTGTAGATGACTAACGTGACCTGCACAGTACAACTGCAGCTCATTCCTCCTTTCCTCTTCTTCTCCCCCCCCACCTCCCACATAGAGACTGATTGTATGTCTGGAAGAGAGTTTGTACATTCACAATATCAGAGATATGAAAGTTCTGCACACGATCAGAGAGACACCACCAAACCCCTCAGGTACAGAGAGAACCTGCAGCAAAGCTCAGTGAATGTTGTACTTTTAAAATTTTAATAATAATCCTTATGTTGTTGAAAAGTCTCAAATCACTTCACAGAATATATTGTAAAGTGTAGTGACTGTGTGTGGGGGGGGGAATCGTGGCAGCCATAAACAGCTGCGGGTTGAGTTCCTTTTTTTTTAAACATTTAACCTTTAACATTACATTTGGTTCATTTTTTTCTATATAAAATCAGCATCATTCTTTGAGTTTTGCAGTACTATGTATTGCATATTGTAGTAGTAATGATATTATTGTTTGCATTTTATGAAGCACTTTATCACGCCAAAATGTCTCGAAGTGGTTCAGAGAGTTTTTTTCTGTAAAGTGTAGTGACTGTGTATTTGTAGGCAAATTTTTCTCCTCTGAAATGATTTTGGAGTATCTATATAATAATAATAATCCTTGCATTTATTAACTAATATTAATGTGAGTTCTCTTGCTTGCAGGGCTATGTGCACTTTCCATTAGCAATGACAATTGCTACCTTGCGTATCCGGGAAGTGCAACAATTGGGGAGGTCCAGGTCTTTGACACGATCAATCTGGTAAGTTGTGTGTTCAGTGGGTCTGTGCTTCTCTAACTGTGCTTCACCTGTGAGGGAAAGGCTGTCAATAACCACTTTTGATCACATTGATACAAATGGCCTTTTTAAGATGTCCAAACGTTTAAATATAATGTAAAAATAATTGTGTGTCCGGGACCATTGTTGCTACAAAACTACCTGGAATGTCTTTGCCCAATCTAGATTGTTGGCTTTGAAGCCCAGATGAAACGGAGACCGGAGACAGACCTGAGATTATTGTGACTAGAAATGTCACCTAGTTCAGTGGTTTTGAGGTTGGTTGTTCTGGAGCTAAGATTGTAATGTGTTAGTGCTCAGCTAACGTAACACAATTAGTTCCCGGACAGATAGTCTGAAGGTTTGTTTGTTCATGCACTTATGTTTATGCTCTTATCTCACTTTCCTCTCTTTTACGTATGTATTTTCTCTCGTGTTCTCATATTTTCTCATTTTCTCTCGCTTCTCACTCTGCGTGAGTGGTTGGGTCTGTGTCCCGTGAGTCAGTGAGAGAGAGAGAGACTCTTTCCCATTTCCTGCTACTGAAGCGAAACAAAATGATCAACAAAAGTCTGCTTTGATCTTGCTCCTTTGGGACATGAGAAATGTAGTTAACAAGGTCCATTTGGTGCTAATCCCTTCAGAATGCCAATTCTATCCATCGCGTAAGACTCCATTATCAAGGTCACAACCGCCCTTCCTATTTATCCATTCCAAATGTCATTTGGCTCTCTGTGTAAAGGAATACTTCCTGATATCTGTTGAAAAACCTGCAATTTATAATTCCAAACCTATGCTTTTTGTCCTGTTATCTTGCTGCATCTGAAAGGATTTGTATTCGTGGATTGAAAAATAAACTGGCACAACAACACAAAACCGTGCACCATCACAGAAGCCAATGTATCACAGTTTGGGGAATTATCGACTTTGGAATATCACCATCAAATATGATCACTTTGGAATAAATAAATCCTGGCTTGTAATAATGTAAAAAAACTCCAGAGAGTTTAAACAAATTTATAATTATGCAATTTTGGATTTAAGTGTGAAAGATACAAATACATGATTTGATTCAAGGTTTCCCTTTGGTCTTTGCGTGGTGTCAGTGAACACCACACATGCACTTCTGCGACCTAAGCAAATGTTCGGTATCGATCACGTGGAGGTTCATTCTTTCTCACACTGTAATTCTGGATCATTCAGTTCAGTATCCGTACATATCCTAAGTCGCAGTAACTCACGGCTCACACGCAATAATCGTGGCCTCGTATCCCTTGCTGGTTGAAATTGGAATGTTTTAGCCGCCAAGCCTTAGACCTGGTTAAGAAACAAATGAGCATTTTTAAAAAGAGAAATGTGTTTTTTCAGTCACTTTTGCCTCTTCTCTGTCAGAGAGCCGCAAACATGATCCCAGCTCACGACAGTCCTCTTGCAGCTTTGACGTTTGACGCAAGTGGTTCAAAACTGGCAACAGCTTCTGAAAAGGTAAGTTAGCCTTGCAGGGTTGCAGGGATCGAGGCAGTGCATCTAGTCCATTGTCCAAAATAAAAACATTCTAAATTGTTTAGTATCTCGGAGCCCTTCACAGTGAAAGCAAGATCATCATCCTTCTCTTTGACAGGCACAACCATCCATCCACTGATGTTCTGCTAGTCAGAATTGTAGAGCACGAACAGATCATTAAGTCCGTGCTTTTTTTTTCTCTCCATTTGAGTCACCAATCTAGTCACATTTTCCTGCTCGTTCCCCGGGAGGTTATGTTTGATTTAATACTCTGCCAAAGAAATAGAACTGTTTAGTTAAATGTGTTCCTTTATGGTTGGCAGGTCCTACTTAACAGTGAGTAAGCATGCCCTTATTTGCAGCATATCCCCCCCTCGTTAACTGTTCGTTCTTTCTCCCGCATTCCCACAGGGAACTGTAATCCGAGTGTTCTCCATTCCAGAGGGACAGAAACTCTTTGAATTCAGAAGAGGGGTCAAGAGGTATGAAAATATGGCAATGTTGTGAAGCTTAGTAGTAATAACAATAATACAACAATAATATTCCTCTTTGGATAGAGCACCTGTAGGCACCTATCAAGTCAAAACATCTCATCGAACTTCACAAAGTTTTCTGTAAAATATAGTGAATGTGAGTTTTTGGGAAAATGTGAGCTAATTTGTGCTCAGCCAGGGTCCACATACATCCATGAAGCTAATGACCCAATTTATTATGTATTTTAACTGGCAGAATTTTTGAATGAGAAACTGAGAAACTCCGTTCTCCTTTTGAACGTTGTGGTTTTAGTGAAGTCTTATCTAGTGGCCACGTGGTTTGCCCAGTTTGACCTGTTCCTGTTGTTCCAGGTGTGTGAGTATCTGTTCGCTAGCGTTTAGTATGGATGGAATGTTCCTGTCAGCGTCCAGCAATACGGAGACCGTTCATATCTTCAAACTGGAGACACAGAAGGAAAAGTAGGTTTGCCTATTGTGATTGTCCACTAGACTGAATGTACAGCAGTCCATAACCCAAGTGAAGGATTTTCCTTCAGGTACCATCATCACCCCTGTGTTCTAGAAATATAGGAACAGGAGTAGGCCATTCAGCCCCTCGATCCTGTTCCACCATTCTATTAGATCATGGCTATCTGTACCTCAACTCCATTTGCCTGCGTTTGCTTTATATCCCTCAATACCTGACCTAACAGAAATCCACCTCAGTCTTGAAACCAGAAATTCTCATGGTTAGTTACTGCTTTGCAGGTTTGCCCATAAATGTATTGTGCTATAAAGAGCAACGAGCGAGGAAAAAAATACCAAACAGCCGGAAATCATTAAATGAAACCTAGTAGGTCAGAAGTCGGTTCAAAATTAGTTTAGCAATGTCTGTTTGGATGAGGTTTTCCTGCTTGTCTTCTGAAATCTAATCAGCAACAACTAATTACATTTGCAAAGAGCCTTTCATGCTGGGAGACATCACATTTTGGGATTTATCCTGATTAAATTGTTATCCTGACTAAATGTTACTGGAGCTTTGTAATTCTTAAGAAAAGGTAAGAAGGCTGTGAGAGCTGGACTGATGAGCTCTTGCTCTGGTTTAAGTTATCGAAAGATGTACCGTTCTGGAGCGGTTTCAGGTCAGAATCCCCTCTTGTTGACTTTTTAACAAGAAGTGAGTGGGAATGTAAATGAGGTGGGTGGGGTGGGGGGGAGGAACAGTCACGGTCTATGTCTCTGACTATTGCCTTGTTGTTCAGACCACAGGAGGAACCAACCACATGGACCGGTTACTTTGGGAAAGTGCTCATGGCTTCTACCAGCTACCTGCCCTCCCAGGTCACCGAGATGTTCAACCAAGGCAGGGCCTTCGCGACTGTCCGCCTGCCTTTCTCAGGTCACAGGAATATCTGTGCTTTGGCCACGTGAGTCTGACCTGTTTAGTCCGACTGCAGACTCCCAACAGATAAATGTCAATCATTAGATTAGCAAGCTGAGCACACGGTGATCTGAGCTGGTTATTTCATTAGCTTTGGGTTGAGCTATGATGTTACAGTTGATTCCTCCTTGAGTTAGACAATTGCGCTGAGTAGAAAGGCCGCGGCCTGTAGTGTGACTTGTGCTTGTGTTACAGGATTCAGAAGATACCTCGTCTGTTGGTGGCAGCGGCTGACGGCTATCTGTACATGTACAACCTGGATCCACAAGACGGGGGCGAATGCACGTTAATGAAACAGCATAAGTAAGAAGCACGACCTCTGCCTGATCACACTACTCGTTCGGGCCAGCACATAACTAGGTGAACCTTTGGTCTCACAGTGGGACTGGCTAACAAGCCAATCGTTATTCCCCCATTCGTTTAAAACAACAACAACAACAACAAGATTCCATTTATAAAGCGCCTTTCACGTCAGGAGGACGTCCCAAGGCGCTGCACAGTTGGGTCATGACCCGGGGGGAAATGGTCAGGGTGAGGGGAGGGAAGGGAGGGAGCGAGGAGGGGGGAAATGGTCAGGGTGAGGGGAGGGAAAGGAGGGAGCAAGGAGGGGGGAAATGGTCAGGGTGAGGGGAGGGAAGGGAGGGAGCGAGGAGGGAGAAGAGAGTCGAGAGGGGAGCTGAAGGCTCGGAAGGTAAAGGTTGATATGATTCCCATGTGATTGAGTCAGTGTAGATCTTGTCCCCAAACTACATAGTCCTTTTGAGGGTTAATGTACTTCAGTGACTGGCTGGAGCTGTGCTGTCGATCACTGTAGTAGCAGCTTCCGAGGTAACTTCACTGATCACACGCACGCACACACACGCATACACACACGTACACACAAGGCATGTGTATTAATGAAAGGCCAAAGTATGAGATTAGTTACCACGTTATGTTCATCACTTTGCCTTTAATAGAACGGAGAACATGTTGACTTGTCTTTTGTCTACATTTTAGACAAAATGGTTATGGTTCACACTGAGAAGGGGTTTAGAGGGTTAAGTGTGCAAGTGAGCTATGTGGCTTCCCTTTTGATGGAAGTATAGAGAGGTGGGATTTACACATTGTGTTCTCTGCAAAACACTTCCATTTATTTTCTGCTCTGCCTTTCTCTGTAGGTTAGATGGCAGTGTGGAGGCAGCCAATGAGATTCTCGAGCCCTCACCGCACGACCGACCATTAGTAGCTCAGACGTACAGCTCCGCAGCCAAAGTCACGTACACTCCCTCGTCACCAACAAGACACGGTAAGGACTGTCACCTTCCTTATCACAAATATCTACTCCACAAATAAATTATTTCCAGGCTTGTGGAACATTCATACATTTAGTCTCAATTTGAAAGGAACCGTTTGCCATCAACCAGACTCGACCCTTGTTGGTACTGAGGGTATATAATGATCCTCTGTTTGTGTCCAGTTTACTCCGAGGACCAAGGAGCATCAGGGGGAGCGGACCCAGACGAGGATCTGAACATAGGGACGCTGCGATTGGACGAGGACAACGAGAACCCACCTCTGATCCTCAAGAGCGAGTGATCTGTGACCCGTGAACTTGCACAATGTCGTGCAGAGAACACTTGTGACCGACTGTGAAGCTGCTACAGACTTTTTAATCGTCGCAGGGACAGAAAGTGAAGAAAAGGAAGTTTTGAAAACTTTTAAAAAAACAAAAAAAAGTAGCTGTAGCTTAATTCAATAATGTTGGATACAAAATATATTGTTTTTTCCCCCTCCGCCCGGTGGCTTTTAATTCCCGTAAAGAATTAGAGTAACTGCGTGTCTTCCTCCCACCTCCCACCCGCCAAATAAATCCTGCTGCCTGATGCAGCCATGAAGCTTTGCATGTGCCAACAGTAGAGAGTTTAGAACCCACTTTAATATTGCATTGTACTAGCTGTGTTCCCATTGACTCGCCTCTCTTTGCATCTACAGGACTTAATGGGATCATGGAATACTTTTGCTCCTCTTATTGCTGGGTGCAGGTTTCAAAGAGTTGTATGGTAGCAACCGCAACCCAATTTTTTTACATAACCTTTGTCCGTCCCTCCCATCCATGTGTAGAATTTCCAGAAAGGTTTTTTCTGAAAGAGTCACGATAAACCGTTAGGATATTTACGGTCCTTCAGATTTCACTGTTTGTTGAGGGGGGAGGGGGGAGGAAAGTCGGCTGGGATGGGGGAGAAAGAGAAAGGGGTGAATTATTTTTTAAAAAGAGGCACCGTATTTTCGAAGGTTCATTGAACGCGATGTAGAGGGAAAAAAAATCCTAAAACAATCCTGGGGTTAAATACCAGGCAAAAGCCTCGGAATAAATTCAGAAAATAAAGATGGTATTCTACATGTCTGAACTTTGTGGTTATTTTTTTTCTCTCTCGCCTTCAGAGATTCAGGATTTTTCTCCTTTCGTGTCTCCAGACATCATTATGATGTTTATGTGCTCACAGTAATTGGGTTGGGTTTGCTACCTAAGGACAACTTTGGAGTTTAATAATAATACTTGCATTTGATATAGTGCCATATCACATCTTCAAGACGTGTCAAATCGCTTCACAGAATATACTATTGAAGGGAATTAACTGTATACTTTATGGGCGAAATATGGCAGGGTCCCATAAACAGTTGTGGATTGAGTGACAAAAATTTTATTTTATTTCGTTTGAAGGAATTATTATCTCTTACTTGCTGCGAGGTAAACAGAGATGTATGGAGTAAGCCAACTTGCCCCGGCTGGGAATTATCGCATTTGTTTTGATTGCCCAGACAGGGTCAGTGTGGGATTGTATTGACTTCTGTATTGAAAAGATACAGATACACTTTCAAATTCCCGGCTCAATGTTCTCCAGTCAGTCAAATGCCAGGTGTAGTTCGGCTTAGAACCACAAGGCGGCGCCAACAATCACATTCAACAAACAGGAAAACTTTCCTGAGCCACAAAATGACCATTTCATAAAAACGGCTTTGAATCCTTTAAAAAATTTAATACTCCAGGAATTTCGACAACAGTTTCATCTTATGACCAGCAAAGATTCAAAATGGCGTGAAAACAATACGTTAAAAAACAGCCCAATGTCATGTTGCAAAGTTTCCTTTTTTCCCCCAACAAAACATTAATGATAAACACCTGAGGACAGCGAGTGGGACTTGAGGCTGAGGCACTGTATGGCTGTGATCGGACCCACAGCGATGTCTGTGCAAAGCCACACACCAAGTTTTAATGACTTACGTTACACCAGGTTATTCTGCAAAGAGCGACTGGCCCAGTTAAGCAAATTGGTTTAAACCTTTCAAGACTTGCTGCGTTAAAGCGAGTTGGGTTCCAGAGACTGGCGAGGATGGTTCAAGGCAGGCGAGAGCGGGTGCAGGACATACAGGGGTGTGTCCGGCAGCTCAAACGATTTTCAGGTCTTTCATCGAGGCTTCCAGGGACTGAAAGCACAAATCAGGTTTGGAGGTTATTGATTTTAAGAATAATATAATTTTCTTCCAAACCTTTACGTTTTTGTTTGGTGAATTCGTGTTTCCCTGATCACAGCTGAGCCTCACAGAGTTGCCGTTAGCAGGATATCAGACAGGTTAGGATGGGAGCCACACAAGGCACCAATACATGAAGCACTGGTGGGTTTCACACGACTTGTCCAGTTTAGGACCACCCCGACCACTGAGAAGTGACTGAAATGAAATGTTTAACGTGATCTCTTTGACTTACAATAGGCACGTCTTCAGTATCGGGTATAAACCGAGAAGAGTATTATTTCTGGACTGTGTGATATAATCGGTTTAACAAGAGCAGAGGTAAGGTACTTGGGAACATCCTGCCTGTTCCCTTTGCCAGGCAATTGTGGCTTGGGCCAGGGAGGTATTACTCTATGTGGAATGGCCATTGATAGGAACATAGATCAAAGGCTGTCTAATGAGATGACCTCAGTGCAGTTATCCCTGATGCGATGATTTCACATTTTAGCCTTCAGCTAAAATGGATAAATGAATTGCTCTCCACAGAAGCTTTAAGAGCCAGTGTTACCTTAAGGTCCCAGATTCCCATTCCTCCGTCCAGCCCAGTGGTACAAAACTTCGAGCAACTTTTCTTTCCACCTTCAAGAATGGAGATTTGGCTGTAAAAACAAACACACGTTTAAATTCTTCTTTCAGACATCTATAAATATTTGCCATAATTCATCGCAATCCTCCCAAATTAACTCACTCAAAAATTAAAATCTTGTAGTTTGCATTCTGACTGTTGGAATCTGCACTGAAATCTTTGGGTTTATGTGCTTTTATATATATATATATGTAACAGCCCTCACTGTCCCAATATTAAGTCTTTTCCTCCCCGTGAACTTAGCAACCAGGTTATAAGAATAATCGTTGAGACGTCTCAATGCACTTCACAGGATATATTGTAAAGTGAACTGACTATGTTTTGTCGGCGACATAAAAGGAATTAAACGGGAGGTTAGAATGAACTTCTTTACAGAGCATGGAAGGGCCTGTTTTGTGCTGCGATGTGCTAGGAATCGCTGAGCCTGCTCACCCTGACACCGGTAATCCAGAAAGAATCCGTACAGATCAGAATCGGCTGCTTTTACAGCTCCCATTAGTGGATGGGATCACAGCATCTCTGCTTCAGGTGATCTGTGTTATTGCAGAGGCCCCTCGTGGCCGCGCTGTGTACCTGATGCTGTTCTTGTGCAGAGTTGTCAACGTGGAGTTCACTTCAGTGGAGCCCATCTTATCCAGGTTCTTGAACTTGTCCCGAGCGGAGACTCCTCGCTGCTCACTCTGGTTGGGAATGTCCAACTTGGCAGAGAAGGTCACCGTGTCCTTGACAGCATCGTAAGTGAACAGTGCTGGGTAACAGTCATGTCCCTGAGGAAACAAACAGAAAAAGATTAGAATAATATTCAATAATAATAATAATTTATTAATAATATTAATAAAATCCTTGCATCTGATACAGTATCGTATAATGTAAAAACATCTCAAAGTGCTTCACAGTATTTAAAGTGCAGTGACTGTATATTTGTAGGTGAACATAGCAGCTTAATTGACACAGAAATGTCTAACAAAGAGCCATGATGTGAACAACCAGTTTTATTTTGGGGATTGTTGGCCAGGACACCGGGAGAAAGAGAGAAACTCCCTTCTCTTTTTGAATATTATCTTGGGATCTTTAATATCCATCCGAACAGGCAGATGGGACCTTTAATGTTCTATGTAACAAATGCTGGTGGTTTAATAATAACAATAATAATAATAAAGATGATGATGATGGGGGCATTGCCACTGAGAGAGAGACTTACCGCAGCCACCAGACTGTTCTCAGTGATGAAGGTGAGCGCCAGGAGAGGCAGGGACTGGGAGTGCAGGCAGGCGATGCTATGAGAGAAAGGCAAACACAGCGTTACTAACACAGGATTTAAACGGAACAAACTCAGCAGGTGTTGTCAGGGGCAGAATCCCCATTATATCGGTGTAGAGGTGCTTGTGGCTACATAATAATAATAATCCTTGCATTTGATATAGCGCTTTTCACGTCGGGAGGACGTCCCAAAGCGCTTCACAGAACACACTGTAAAGTGAATTGACTGTATATTTGTGGGCGAACGCGGCAGCCAATTGCGCACAGCAATGTCCCACAAACAGTCGTAGATTGAAAATGACCAATTTATTATTGTTTTTGGTTTTGGAGGGATTATTATTAGGCTCTGTGTGGAGTAAGGAAACTTGCCCAAGGTTTCGCCCTCTGCCTGGAATTGAACTCAGGTCTCTCGCTTGCAAAGCGAGTGCTCTAACCACTGAGCTGCAGGACATATGCAACTGTCCAGACAAGTTTCCAGATGTACAAGAGTGTCCAAGATACTCAGGGTTTAATGAACTCTCCGAGCCGCAAGAATGGCCTATAATAATAGTCCTTGCCTTTGATAGCGCGCCTTATCACATCATTGAGACGTCTCAAATCACTTCACATAATATATTGTAAAGTGCAGTGACTGAGTATTTTGTGGGTGAAACGCTGTAGCCAATTGTACCCACAAACAGTCGTGTATTGAATTTTCTTTAGAGGGATGATTAGCCCCAGAAAGAATCCGCCAATCGATTAACACTGCTCACTGCGAGGTAAAGAGAGGCGTGTGGAGTAAGGAAACTTGCGTAAGGTTTCGCTCCGCATGGGAATTGAACCCAGGTCCTCTCGCTTGTGAGGCGAGGGCTCTAACCACTACACGACAGGACTCGGTAGCTCTCTGTGTATAAAGGAGAGTCGCTGCTGTTATTGACTCACGTTGGCTTCTTGCCGGCCTCAGCGATGCACAGGGTGCTGTCGTGACTGACCCAGGCCACTCGGTTACCGCTGTCAGAGAAGCAGACGGCGTGGACCCAGCCCCCGGCACCACCGGACTCCAGCAGCAGCTCCCCGAATGGCATCTTGGAGCCCCAGGGGGTGGGCGAAGGCTTCTCCTCCACCTCCTTGATGTAAGCGGAGAAAATCCTGGCCACAGAAAGCAACGTCAGTAACAATAATCCCTGCATTTGATACAGCATCTAATCACCTCATTGAGGCGTCTCAAAGCTTCATAGAATATACCGTAAAGTGTAGTGACTGCGTATCTTGTGGGTGAGATGCTGGATCAAAGCCGATTACAATAATCTCGGATCTGTCGCCCCCCCCACCCACCCCCGGAACGAGCTCCTCTCTGTACCAGAGACACTGAACACCCCCTTGTCTTTACCCTGTCACAATGGTTCATCTTAAAACTTCAGATGGTCCAGAATTGTGGAAAATTCCTAAATTCACTCTTAGTTTGGAGGCTGGGTCACCAACCAACAGCAACTTCTTACCACTGGCCTAATAACAGTGAGTGTTTGCACACCCTCTGATGGTGACAGTGTTCGCACACGTGCACAGTTACCGCGCCATTTACCTGCACTTGAAGTCACAGGAGCCTGCGGCTAGGAGGACATTGTTTGGATGCCAGTCCAGGTTGAGGACTGTGGAGCGGATCGGTTTCTTGATGTGTTTGCAAACCCACCTGTAACATGACGAAGCCTTAGCCTGTGGTCAAGACGTATCAAAGCACTTCAACAACAACAACAAAATTACATTTGCTTCATAGCATCTACTGTAAAGTTTAGTGACTGTGTTTTGTGGGCGAAATGCGGCAGCCAATTGTGCCCAGCGACGTCCCACAATGTCCCCGGGCAATGAGTGACCGAATTGTTATTTTGTTTTAAAGGGGTTATTATCCCCGAAAAGTGATCCACCAATTGACTAACATCCAGGTTCCTACTTACTGCTGGTAAACAGAGGCAAGTGTGTGGAGTAAGGAAACTTTCCTAAGGTTTCGCCCTGACCGGGAATTGAACCCGGGTCCTTTCGCTCTAACCACTGCGCTACAGGACTGCATTAACACTGAAAGCCCTGGAAACAACAATAACAAATTACACTTGTATGGCGCTGGAAACCCACCAGTCATTGTCCTGCTCGAAATAGCAGATGGAGATCAGCCTGGAGCCACTGCCCACCGCAAACTTGTTCTCCTTCGGTGACCACTTGACGCACCGAGCTGCCCGGTTGATCCTCAGGATGACGAGGGTCGGCTTCCAGACGTTCCCCTTCAGTGTCCACACGTAGGCGTTCCTGTCCGTCCCACAGGTCACAATGCGGTTGCTCTCAGGAGCCCAGTCAATGCCTGAATCACAAGGGAACACAGGCTGGGGTTGTGGTCACTTCCACACTCGACACAGCAGCGCCTTTCATGCCGAGAGGACACCTCAAAGCACTTCATAAGAACAGGAGGTAGTCATTCAGCCCCTCGAGCCTGTTCCACAATTCTACAAGATCATGGCTGATCTACCTCACCTCCAGTTACCCAACTTTGCCCCGTATCCCTCTATCCCCTAACCTAACAAACATCTATCCACCTCAGTCTTGAAAATGTGAATGGATTCAGCCATAATCCACAGCCTTTGGGTGGAGAAAGTTCCAGTTTTCCACTACTCCTTGTGTGAAAAACTGCTTCTTGATTTCACTCCTAAATGGCCTTGTTCTGGATTCGGCCCCCAGCAGGAATAGTCTCTCTTATTGGCGGGATTGTGCAGTACGATGAAGTGACTGCGTATCTTGTGGACTTCATGCAAACGTGTGGCCGTGTGTCCCGTGTGTTGTATGTGGGTTTTATAGACTGTACATGGGACAGAGACAAACCTCACCTGTCACCTGTCCATTGTGCTCCTTCAGCACGTGAGTTTTGCTCCACTTGGCGCCATCTTTCTTGTAAACGTGGACCTCGTGGTTGTTGGGACACAACGCAATCTCTGAGGACAGAGGACACAATCAGCCAACAGCTCAGCCTCTGGGTCACAGAGGAATTCAGTAACAGGAGGCAACCATTGCTAAGAATAAATCTTGTGTATAACGGTAGACAAGGAATACAGCGCCTGATCATGTCGCTGAGACTTCTCAAAGTGCTTCACTGGATTTAAAGTGTAGCGACTGTACAATTTGCAGGCAAACGCAGCAGCCAATTCACGTGCAGCGACTTCACACAAGTAGCCGTGGAAGGTGGAGCAAATACACCTCAGCACCTGTGGGGGCAGCTGCCTCTGATGGTGCGATTCCAGCGCCTTGAGATGTCCTCTTGACCTGAAAGCACTGTGTAAATGTAATATGTCGTTGTTGATCACATTGACTGATGGTTGATCACTTATAGAAGGATGGAATGTTCCATCACCCTAACCCTGCTCTCCTGCTCCCCCTTCCCCCTACGCTCTATATAATATATATTTGTTATATATTATTATATTATTATATATTACCCGCGCTCAACACAACTTGCATCTGCTCCAAAAATGGACCTTATTTTGCACCAGAACTGACCATAACATTGGGACAAACACAATACAACCCTCTCTCCTTCAACAGATATCCCATTTGGACCATGTGAACCAATCCTTTTATACGAGACTGTTTGATCGGTTCGCGAATGCTGTGCAAGTTGTACAAAGTTCAGACGAGCAGATGGCCTTTTTAACATCTCTTCCGAATTTTGAGCCAAATAAGCTTCCTGTGAGTGTAGTTTCTGGCTGGGGGCCGGGGAGGAAATCTGACTCACAGAGCGGCTGCTCTTTACTGAACACTAAATATAGAAAAAACAAAAAAGGCTCATCTCTCCTTCCACTGATCTCAAGTTGCTTTAATTTGGCCAAGAGGCTTGAACCTGATTGGTTCAACATCCATTTATTGTGAGCCTAAAAGTCAAACACTTATTTGTAACTTAGATTGAAGGTGACTTTGTAATATAATAATAATAATCCTTGCATTTGCTATAGCGCAGTGTAAAGGGCAATTTCAGGACATCCACCAGGAAAACCTTTTCTTTACACAGAAAGTAATCAACAGCTGGAACAGGTAGCCAGGAAAGGTGGTCGAGGCCGGGACACTGGGAATCATTTAAAAAACATGATGGGGGTGGGTGGGGGGCCCACAAAGGGCCTTCTTGAGTCAGACCAAATGAGTGTGTGAGCAGGTGTGTGTGTGCGTGAGTGTGTGAGTGAATGTATGTGTGTGCATCAGTGTAAGTGAGAGTGGCTGTGTGTGAGTGTATGAGTGTGAGTGGGTGAGAGTGAGTGTGTGAATGTGAGTGAGAGTGAGTGTGAATGGGTGTGAGTGAAAGTGAGTGTGTGAGTAGGTGTGAGTGAGTGTTAGTGCGTGTGTGAGTGAGAGTGAGAGTGAGTGTGTGAGTGTGAGTGAGTGTGTGCATGAGTGAGTGAATGTGAATGAGTGTGTGAGTGTAAGTGAGAGTGTAAGTGAGTGTGTGTGGATGTGAGTGAGTGTATGAGTGAGTGAGAGTGAGTGTGTGAGTGAGAGTAGGTGTGTGTGAGTGGGTGTGTGTGAGAATGTGTGGGTGTGAGTGAGAATGTGAGTGTGAGTGGGTGTGAGTGAAAGTGAGTGTGTGAATGGGTGTGTGAGCAGGTGTGTGAGTGGGCGTGTGAGTGAGTGGGTGTGAGTGAGAGTAAGTGTGTGAGTGTGAGTGAGTATGTGAGTGTGAGTGGGTGTGTGAGTGTGAATGAGTGTGTGAGTGGGTGTGAGCGAGAGTAAGTGTGTCAGTGGGTGTGTGAGTGAGTGGGTGAGTGGGTGTGTGAGTGAGAGTGTGAGTGTATGAGTGTGAGTGGGTGAGAGTGAGTGTGTGAGTGGGTGTGTGAGTGGGTGTGTGAGTCAGAGTGAGTGTGTGAGTGTGTGAGTGGGTGTGTGAGTCAGAGTGAGTGTGTGAGAGTGTGAGTGGGTGTGTGAGTCAGAGTGAGTGTGTGAGTGGGTGTGCGAGTCAGAGTGAGTGTGTGAGTGTGTGAGTGGGTGTGCGAGTCAGAGTGAGTGTGTGAGTGTGTGAGTGGGTGTGTGAGTCAGAGTGAGTGTGTGAGTGTGTGAGTGGGTGGCTGTTGCATCTGTTGCTATTTCCTGATGAGAGGTGGAGAAGCATTTCTCATTACCGTGTCAAAGCTTGAGCTTTGTGGTGAGGGCTGAGCTGTGGTCTGTCAACAGTTTCTGGTTTATCACTGATCTCTACACGCCTGAAATTCCAACTGGTCTTAGCCTGAAGGACAACTGTGTGTTAAGAATTTAAGATGGAAAAGAATGATGGGAAATCCTGGGCTGGTGTTCCATCTTTAATTTTAAAGCTATATATGTATATATATGTATATATTTAATCTTTGCATTTGATATAGCACCTTATCACGTTTTTGAGATGCCTCAAAGCGCTTCACAGAATATATTGGAAAGTGAATGGACTGTATATTTTGTGGGCGAAATGGTCGTACAGGCTAAGACTAGGTGGAATTTCGGGCCTACAGCATTCACCAAAAACAATGAGCCTCAAAAGCCTTTGGTAACCTTTGTCCAAATATTAACAGCAAATATCACTCCCTCTGGGTTACTCATCAACCACTTTTTCCTTTACAAACATCTACCGGCTATGATCAGCAGGTCTTCAGGTCCTTCTCTGCCAATGCGACGACGCTGCAGAGACAGAGATTGTACAATAGCTGGAATCAGCCACAGTGCGTCTCGGGGAGCAGAACTGAGGATTCAGCCGGTTATTGCCATATAAGGGAATGACCGTCACTCTTCCCTCTGAGAGAGGAACAGGAACCTTAGTGCAAGGATCAAACTGCAAAACGCCCAGCGACGACCAAAGAAACTAATGGATTGAAAGTAATTGTGGCCACTTATTGCTAAAGATTCTTGCTCAATCGCTGCCTGTGGATGTCCAATATTGCTGACGCCCAGTGGAATTCAGAGCACAGTATTGGCAGACACCAATGTGGCAATGAAATCACTGACTAGAACAGGTTTCCAGGAAGGGTGGTCGAGGCCAGGATGCTAGGCTTATATACCAACAGTTTGGTGTTACAGTGGGGAGCTCAAAGGGGTGGGTGTTCTGAATGGACAAAGGTTACCAGGGCATTTGAGACTCAATATCTTCATTGTACCACTGAAATCTGGAGGCAAGAAATTCCAAATGGGCCCCAAAAGACAATCTTTGATCCGATCGGCTTGTGACCTATTAAAATCAGTTCCTGTATTTGTTTGTTCAGGGACATGACTGCAGGTCAAACAGGAAAATCATCCGGTGTGATCTGAGGAGGGGTAAAGAGAGGGGAGGTGGAGAGACTGAAACAGGGAATTCCAGAGATTTGGAGCTTATTGGCTGAAGGCACGGCCGCCGATGATGGAGCACAGGGTTAAGGGAAAACACAGGCTCGAGCCAGCCGAGCGAAGGGGGAACGGGTTGAGGAGTGGGGTGCGAGCTCACTGGAGAGGTAGGGAGGTGCCAGAGCATGAAGTAATTTGTAGGCGAGTGCAAGGATCTTGAAATCAATGACAATATAAGGCAGGATAGAGAGATGTCCACCTGAATGGCAAGGCCGGCAGCAGAGAAAAGACCATCAGGTTTATGGTCTAGAAGTAGGAATTTGCAGATCAAGGAGGTTTAATGTTTCCTGTGTAGTAAATAGCTTTACTGGTACAACTGTTAGTAAGAACGTGTCCTGTGCAGCCCAGCGAGTGGATTGTCTCTGTAACTTCCTGTGCATTAGGCCAGTCAACCACAATCTCCACCCCCTGTGTCAGCATTTCTGTGGTTTAGCTGAAGGTTCCCCTCTCAGCCTCTCAGTCACTGCAGCTTTTTATCCACATAAGGTTTTAACCAGCTTCCCCCCACTCCCCCCAACTGTGCATTCCACTGATCTCCACGCATTCCCACACGCTCAGTGCTCCCCCAACAATACAGAGTGAACTGAAAAAGGGGGCAGGGGAATAAACTCCCCATCACCCCCTCCCCCCCAAACCCAGCCATGAGCTCCAACAATGATGTTATTTCCTGCTTTACAGAAGCTGTCCCAGAGCTTGTTTCCTGGGTTGGCCTCACCATCTCCTCCCCTCCCCACCCTCGCCAGGCTCGCTGCCCCATCTCCCCTGAACACCCCCCCCCGCCTGGGCTCCTTGACCACCACCAGTGGTGACTTCCTTTGCTTGGAGAGATAAGGGTATGGAATGCACAGCCTCAAAAAGCCACAGATCAGCATCAATTGAGGGATTCATGAAAGAGAGAGAGAGAGAAAGAGCGATTGATATTTGAGAAGTAGAAACAGTAAAGGATTTGCCCTGGAGAAGGGGTTACGCGTGTGGGGGGATGGGGGGTGTACTGTCTGTGGGGGTGAGGGTTACTAGTATGGGGGTGAGAGTTACTGTGTGGGGGGGAAGGGGTTATTGTATGTGGGGGGAAGGAGTGACTGTGTGTGCGGGGTACTGTGTGGGGAGGTTGGGGGATACCGTGTGGGGGGGTGGTGGGGTACAGGGTTGGGGGGTAAAGTGTGGGGGGGTGGGGGAGTACTGTGTGGGGAGTGAGGGTACTGTGTGGGGAGGTTGGGGGGTACAGTCTGGGGGTTGAGGGTTACAGTGTGGAGGGCTATTGTGAGGTACTGCAAAGCAAATGATCTGCGGCAGAGCTCAGTGTAGGCTGGTCTGCCCTCAGCTCAGCTGTAACGAGATCTAAAGGACTTTGTCAGGTATAATCAGCCACAAATCCTTAGATTTCATTGCTGTTGATCTCATGTTCCCCTGATGTGACGCTAGATAGAACAGCTGAAAGAGTTCACAATAGTCACAGGTTCACCGCAGTGACAACCAGGACTGTACCCCTCATTGCCTATCTCCGTCCTGCTCTGCCTCTCAAAGCGCTTCACAGGATTTTATTGTGAAGTGTAGTGACTGTGTAATTGTAGATGCCATGAACTGAGCATTTGTGGCTCAGAGTGATTGGCAGCTCCAGACCCACAGGAATTGCTCACATCCCAACTCCCTGACCTCAGCCCTGATAGCAGCACCATTTAATTTAATTAAGGGAGGGAGCAGGTGGGCGTAGCAGTAGATCGTCAGACAAGTGCTCTTGTTAAATAGCTTTGAAGAAATAGAGAGAGAGGGAAGAGATTGCCTGTAAATTTAACTGAAAACTCACTTGTGTTTTTTTAAGCTCCACACACCTGTTTACCTCCAGTGCAGTAAGTAGGAACCCGCTTGTTAGTCGATTGGCAGATTGCTTTTCCGGGGGTAATAATCCCTTCAAAAATAATCTGGTCACTCAATTCATGACTGTTTCTGGGACACTGCTGTGTGCAATTGGCTGCCATGTTTCATCCACAAAATATAGTCAATTCACTTCACAGTATGTTCTGTGAAGTGCTTTGAAACTCTCGAAGACGTGATCAGGCGCAATATGAAGTGCAAAGATTATTTTTATTGTTATTGTGAGTTCTGGATTAGTTTCTGTGAAAGTGCAAGAGATTCCAGTTTGAGCTAAAAACTTAGCAGGAGTCGCTGTCTGAACAGTCGCTCAGTTTTCTAACTCCTAACACATGGCAAAGCAAATAAGCATCCTCTGCCAACTGACTTGGGGGAGTGGGGAACACAGACACACACACACACACACACACACAGACAGACCTGGCTGAAGTGCTGCAGATATTCAACGAGAACTACGCAGGGAGAAGTCAAAAGCTGAACTGGAGACGAGAGACAAGGGGGCGGGCAGGTAAAACACAGAAAGGTTTTTTTGTTTCTCTGATGTTTTCTCAGCACAGCTGGCAGTAGAATTTTTTTATGTTCAGAAAAGGGGAAGATGAAAGAACTTTATTTTATAACAACCACAACCTGGTAATATTCAGGAGTGGCTCCACACGGTGATTCATGTCAGGTGTTGTGTTACGTCAGTTTTAGTAAAATCTCCCAAATAAACCCTGAGCCCAGGGTGTGAGTCACTGAAGGGCTGTTGGCCGTTGGCCTGGAAACTGGGAGAAACTCGAGTGTTCGTCAGTTGTATGAACTGCATACAGTTTTTCTGTGTGCTGAAGAAAGTTTCGTCACACAAGGTGCTCAGACGTCTCAAAGCGCTTCACAGAATATACTCTAAAGTGAATTGATTGTACATTTTGTGGGTGAAATGCGGCAGCCAATTGTGCACAGCAGCGTCCCACAAACAGTCGTGGATTGAGTGACCAAACTGTTATTATTTAAATATACCTGGGTAGCAAGATCACAAGAGAAGTTCATTTGAACATGTCATGCATTTGAATCAAAGCTTATCCAATTAAAATGCTATATCATTTGGAATCCTTTGAACGAGACGTTAAACCAAGGTCCCATCTGCTTGTTCAGATGGATGTTAAAGATCCCATGATACTATTTGAAAAGAGAAGGGATTTTCTCTCTCATCGTGTCCTGGTCAACAATCACCCAAAATATAAATCAAATTGGTCACTCATTCCATGGCTGTTTGTAGGATGTCGCTGTGTATTTTGGTTTCTATGTTTCGCCTACAAAATACACAGTCAATTCACTTTACAATATATCTTGTGAAGTACTTTGAGACGTCTCAGCGATGTGATAAGTCGCGATACCAAATGCCAGGATTATTATTATTATAACAGCTGATCTCTTATCTGCATCAAGTACTCACGAGTCCGGTCTTTGTTCCAGGAATGGCAGCTGATGGGCTCGAGCAGGAAGCTGTGATAGGACATCGCTGTTCTTCTGGAACTGAAGCAAACACGGAGGGCCTGAGCAGTGTGTAATTAATCAGAGCAGGGAGGCGGCAGTAACGGGAAGTAAACTCAAAGTGCAGTCACTCTTACAACTGTAAAGTGCAGTAATGAGTTTTCCTTACAACACACTTAAACCCTGCCAACAACAAGCCATTAGCCAACACATTTGCTGCACTTACAAAGATGTTCCGTTTTCAGAAGCTTCTTGTGTATTTAAGAAGTTACAGACTATCTGCCCAGATGTAATAATTACAATAATACAGTGCCTTTTACTTCGGGAGGACATCTCACAGCGCTTCACGGGATTTCACCGTAAGTGTAATGACTGTGTGCTGTGAGCGAGGATCACCTCACTGTCTACACCATCGAGCTGTTTCTCAAATCTAGTGAGAACCACCATCTATAGCGATGTCTGACAGTCACTTCACCAAGATAATACTTTGTTAATGAGATAATGAGATGGAGTCTGTTAAGTAGTTGGCGTTTACGCACACGGTCACTACACTTAACAGCATTTCCCTGTGAAGTGCTTTGAGGCATTCTGACGTAACATTATCAAAGACCTTTCATTAAATGTTGTTGAAGTTATTTTAACCTAACTTGCTTTGGACTCACAGGAAAGTAGTGTCCACAACCCTAACCCTTGTGGGTGGGTTTTCTTCTTCAATGATTTTTTATTTTCTGTTCTAGATGAGTGGAATTTGACAATGTCTGATACCAGTCACTTCCTTACTTACTCCATCGTGTCACACCGAACATGGTGATCGATCATTATCTGCCATGAAAATTACGTCTCTCTCACACACACACACTGATCCTCTGGATATGTAACTACACTTAAACACTTGTACTGAAATACAATTAATTGAGTACTTCTAAATGCAATTATCATCATACTTTCACACGTTTCAGGTGTTGGTCAGGACTGACAGTGGGGAAATAACTTAGGAGTAACAACAACAACAACAACAACAACAAGATTCCATTAACAGGGCTTTGTGGACTCTCTGTAGACTGAGGTGCAGTTTATTTTTTAAAAAGTGATGTAGTAGCTTATTAAAGTCTAACAGAATTGCTCTCACAGCATCTTACTTCTCCTCTGACTAATACTTTCCAGCCACTTCCCTAACCCTCACTGCAGTCCATTGATCTGAAGTTCCTCAGCCAGAATCCTGTCCAGATTTTCTGCTTTCTCAGCTCTCTCTCTCTTCAACCCATCCCCAAACTTTCCACAGTGAGTTGGGAAAGAGAGAGCCAGGGAACTTCACTGAATGTGGGAAAGTTGTGGTAACAGCTTTCAAAAAAAATGCACCGAGCAACTCCCTAAAAATAAAACTATTAACCAGGAATTTACAGGAACATTGTGTCGAGGGACTCACTCTTATTCTTAACTAAGGTATTAAAATCTCTCTCCATCCATCGCCCACAGTGAGGATGTTGTGAGGTTTTCACAATTAGTGAGCAGAGAAGATGATTTGACCCTCTCTCTCTCTCTCTCTCTATCTGGTCACCTTCAGCAAAGCATCCCGACACTGTCCTGAACATCACTGCCCTCCCTGACCAGGTGACCTGTTTGTCTGTCACTCACTCACTCACTCACTCACTGAATAAAACTCTTTCAATAAAGTGAAGTAACCTTTACTGACGTCCTGTAACGTTAACCCTCCCGCCCAGTTCTGCTCTATCATCTCACACCCAAAAGAAAGTTGCCCAAACTTTTCCTTCCCAATTTGAATGTGCAAAATCTTTCTATATATTAACTCACCTTCCAACCCAGCAGTTAGTTACGAAGATCCACAACTTTTAGCGAGTGCCTCAGTTCGTGGACTCTGTTCAGTCAACACGAACGTTGGTTGCAACTTGAGGAACAGAAGTGCAAATATTTCACTGTAAAAAAAACCTCGTTTTACTTCCCCTTCCTCTGAGAGAGAAGTCCCACCACTTCCTGGTGTGGGCGGGTGGCTCTCAACAGTGAGTCGTTGCTCAGAGCTGTGTGACTTCTGATCTGCTTCACGCTCACAGTTCCTGCTCTGGGGAGACCAGGGCAGGAGAACAAGCCGCCCAATATTTTTTTTAACTCATTAATAATAATAATCCTTGTATTTGATACAGCACCTGTTAGAAATCACGTTGTTGAGACGTCTCAAAGCGCTTCACAGAATATTTGAATGTATATTTTGCGGGCGAACCTCGACAGTCAATTGCGCACAGCAGCGTCTCACAAACAGTCGTGGATTGAGTGACCAAGTTATTAAAGGTTTATTTTTTGGAAGGTATTACCACCCCCGGAAAAGCAATCCGCCAAACGACTAACAACCGGGCTCCTACTTACTGCTCGGTGAACAGAGGCATGTGTGTGGAGTAAGGAAACTTGCCCAAAGTTTTGCCCGCCTGGGAATCAAACCTGGGTCCTTTCACTTGCGAGGCAAGTGCTCTAACCACTGAGCTACAGGTCTCCACAATTAAAGGTCAATCCACATTGCAGTTTCTTTATTCCTCTTTGTGAGGGCAGATCGAGCCTCTGACTGACTGCTCAAGGCCAACAGAGGATCGAGGGTACAGCTGTCCTGATAGTAGGTCTGTCTCCCACAAATAAATCGTGGGGAAGTTTGGAGTGTGGCACCTCCACCCATACCCCACTACATGACTAAGGCGTCAGCCTACACTGAGAGCTCATGCCTGGTGTAGTGTAGGGCATTAAAGCCACAACCCTTTGAGCTTAACTAACTCAAGAAAACAAGTAGCTGCTTCCTTGTTTAAACTTCAGTAATTTATCATTCGTTTACAGATTAATAGAACTTACATATTGACACTTGAACCTGCCTCTTTAGTTTGTTTGTGGTACTTCTGAATTATGAAATTAATAATAATCATTGCATTTGGAATAGCACCTTATCAACTTGGAAGGACGTCTCAAAGCTCTTCACAGGATTTATTGTGAAATGGAGTGACTGTGGATTTGTTGGCAACTGCGGCAGCACAATCCACACAATGTCCCAATTGGCTGGCAAGGTTCAGTCAGGGACAGATGAAGGTTTCAGGTTACTCTCAGTATTTACTGTATTCAGGAATGTTGCTCTTCAGGTGATAATATGGCATATCACTGGATGGTTTGAGTTGTGCAACAGTTGCGAACGTCTCAATACACGTCCTGTGTGACTGCCTCTTGGTGGAGTAATGAGAAATACAGCAGCCAAAGGAAGGAAGGAGACATGATCACAACACGTGGGAGGCTCAGCTCAATAAGTGTAATTGCGGAATTTAAGTGCATTTTACAACTCTTTCCGAGTCAGTGAGCAGCACACATTGGAATGCACTTGGGATGCACAGTGAGATGGGATGGTTCTGTCAAGCGGGGGTGGGGGGTGAGCGAGTGGCAAGCTACCTGACAGCCACACAATCAATTTTATTTAAACAAAACACAACAGCATTAACCACCATGTTTTGTAGTGTTTATTTTCTAGCAGACACACTACATAAAATTCCCCTTAAATTAGTGTACATTATTGCCCTCTTCAGATTGTGCGCTGCGGAAATCATGTTGTTGAGTTGCAGCTTTTGCCAAGAAAAAAATATCCATCTTAAACCAAATATTTAAATTCCTTTGAATCAAAAATAATTGTTGAAGCGACTGGAGCGTTGTTTCAGGTTGTTTTCAGTGCCGTTGTTTTTGAGGATTTGTTTGCTAGCCAATAGCTAGCTGCTGGGGGTCGGGGGGTGGTGGGAGGTGAAAGGAGGGCTTTCTCTCTCTCTCTCGTGTGTTGTCGTGCTAGATTACAGGCATTCCCGTTCACATGATGCGCAGGCCTTGGATCGATGACTCCAGAGTCTGCAAGCAATAAATAGAGAGATTGAGAGTGTTTAGCTGTGGAATTTAACCCTTTAGCAAATCAGCTAGAGCTCAAATATCAGGTGGAAAGTTTCACACAAGCTGGGGGGGAGAGGGGGAAGAAGAGAAAATAAAAAGCAAAGAGAGATGTGCAATTATTAAAGGAAGAGGTGAAAAGCACCCACTGAAATGTGCGCAAAAGCTCCCCTTCTCCCTGTTGCTCCGAGCCCTATATTAATTTGACTCAATGTCTAAATTGGATCCTTTTGTCTCCCAGAATGTTGCCAGAGATGCATCTCCATCATCCTTGGCATCATTAGCTACCCTACTTCCTGCCTCCACTAACTCTGCTTTGCAGCTAGTCAATATAACAGGTGCAATCCTCCCACTTTCACATTCTCTAATGAGAAGCTCTCGTCTCCAGCCCACATCACTGCGAACAAGCACGAGACCGTTGAAATAACCAGAAGATACGGAGCAAATACATCTGAGGCACGCAATGGGTTAAACAGCAAAAAAAGAGTCAAAGCTTGAAATGCTACAACTATTGAGTTGTGTGGGAGAATTTCTGTTCCACAATGAAAATAAATGATATTACCTTCACATCCCAAATTGTCATGGCGCCATCAATGCCAGTTGTGCAAAACTTCCGACAGTCTCTCTTATCACCTTCGTATATAGAGACTTGGCTGGAAAGCAAAATAAACAGCCATAAAAGAAGATTTTCCAGCCCAGACGGTGACTCTTGTTTTGTTTACACAGCCCTGCCCACTTTGATTTGTCTCCTCCGACTGAATAAGTAACTGTGGCCCTCTGAGAGTTTGGAGTACAGAGAGGGGCATCTGCTTATAGTAATAATCCTTACATTTGATATAGTGTCTTATCACATTGTTGAGACGTCTCAAAGCGCTTCACAGAAAAATGCGTTGCAGAAAGGATATCATTTACCGGTTTGAGCAGACTGTTTTATACGGTACTGCTCCAGTGCCCATTTTCCTCCTGTTCAGCTGTACCAGTTCTGTAGCAGCTCAAATCGGAAGGCAAAAGCAGTCAAATTTACTGCTTCCGAGATGTGGACAAAGTTTGTACCCCGATAAAAATATTGTGCCCTACCTCTGCAACCTTTTACAAAACTAGAAGAAAAATATGACACACAACATTAAACCAAGAGCGGGGGGAATGGGACTAATTGGTAGCTCTTTCAAAGAGCCGACACAGGCACAGTAGGCTGAATGGCCTCCTTCTGTGCTGTAGGATTCTATAAACTGTCAGACTTCACAGCAATACACATGGTCTGACTGACTGACTTCTTAACTGCACATTTTGCAGATCTACCAATAACCGATCAAACTCAGTGACAGACACCAACAATCAACAGGTAAGTTGTTCTATCACAGGCTTTCTTTACCCCAGTGATAACGGAACAAAACTTTTAACTACAAAACTCAACTCTGATGATTATTAGCTTCCCTAACAACCTTCTTGGGGTTTGGAGATGGGAAATGGACCCTTACGTGATGCTGTTCTGGTGAAGAGTTTCGAGTGTTGTATTCCGATCCTCGGTGGTCGCCTTTCTATCCATATTGCGGAAGCGTTGCATGGCAGACATGATGTGCTGAGTGCTCTGCTTTGGGATGTCTAGCTTAGAGATGTACGTCAGAGAGCCACGATCATCATATATGAAAAGCATCGGACAGCAGTCGTGACCCTGCAGACACAAAAGGCTGGTCCGTATTACAGCTTACACTGAAGACGAAGGTTGCTTAAACATGTAATATTTGCCATTCTACACTGAACCTCTACATGAACAGAATAACGCAAACAGGAATATTTTGGACAAGTATATTAAAACAATCAACAGCCTGCTGTTACACACTTAGCCCCAGTGCACTAATTGGGAGTTTCACACAGTGCTAGTGATATAACACAGCGTTTGGGAGCTAATATATTCCTTTAAACACAATATGTAAAGTACTTCTGGTGGGATCAGATTTCTCCCCACCCCCCCACTCAAGCTTCCTATGCCAGGACTCTATCTGAATACCAAAGAAAAAATATATGGGAGTGGGGGGAATGATGAGCAGCATCATACGATGGAATGTGGTAAATACTTCAACAGAATAATGTTTGAGATATTAGCAGGCGGATCTGAATTGGACAGAAGATTGGGAAGATCCAAAGACTTTAGTAACACCAAAGCAAGATGTACTCACTGCTGCCACTATGCTATTTTCAGAGACAAAAATCACACTCAACAGAGGGAGAAATTCAGTCTTCAGCTGAGAAATCCTAGGAAGAATAAAATTAAATTTTAATTCCAACCATTTTTTTCTTAAATATCCTTTGCCATTATTTAGCGTACTGCCCCTTAAACAATGACCCTACTTCTGCAGCTGGAAGGGCAGAGAGAACTGCTGACCTATCTGCTCAGACATAATTTAATAATAAATCTACATATTACTTTGTTGAGCTAAAAGGAGGTCGGTTGCCCACATAGTTTCACCCACAAAATATACAGTAAATTCACTTTACAGTATATTCTGTGAAGCGCTTTGACACGTCTCGAAGAATATTAGTTGCTTAAGAACAATGACACCCTGTGGTGCAAACACATATTGCACCAAGAAGCATTCCTGTATTTTATTTATTCAGAACAAACCCCAGCATTCTTCACCTATACGCAGATTGCTCAGAGAAAATCAAGTGTAAATTTATTCCAATCGCAGGGATAACTTTGTTGCTTCTCAATGAAATATAAAAGCCAGTCTGGTTCGAAACACCCCATCTGACCCCCAGTTAGTAGCCCATTCTCCCAGTTGTGTACATGCTGTGCTTGGGGCAACATGGGTTGCAATGTCTTGAGTTAAACCTTATTTCAGTTTCCCAGTCAATACAGCACCAGGTGCCAGTAAACACGCCTCTCTGTTCCTAATGCACCAGGAATGTCATAGCGTGAACACTTGGCAGTCACTGACTGTGGTAAATAAATCAAGTTATTGCAATAGTTTCCTGAAAGTTAAGTGGGAGCCATCGAGACATTCTAACTTCCGAAGGTTTCTTGTTAACAAATCTGTCTGCGAAATTTACAGACCAGGGCTGATCAGCGGGATAAACAGATGTGTAAAATACGAGAACATGTCAACAGTACTTACGTCATGTTTTTCCCAGCGTCAGCAACAGACACGGTGCTGTCATGACTGACCCAGGCCAGGCGGTTGCCGGTGGCAGAGAAGGAGACATTGTGAACCCAACCCCCACTGCCTGTGCCTCCGAACTCTACCATCACCTGGCCAAAAGGCATTTTGGATCCCCAGGGTGTAGCTGAAGGCTTTGTGTCTACTTCTTTGATGTAAGCAGAAAAAACTCTGAGGACAACAGAAAACTGAAAAGTTAAAAAGGTTTGTTCTGGAGCTAACTTTACATCTCAGTTGCATAATTATCATTGTGGCAACATTAAAGACAATACAGTTTGACACCAGAAAACTACTAATTAGATGAAAGTACTGAGCATAAAGATGGCAGATGGTGAGGTAACTGACACATGTGGAAACCCATCGTCATGCTTTAAGTGTGTGCAAACCACACTGGTTTCATGTATGTGTGCCACCTACACATGGAGCTTTCCCTGCGCCCGGATTAGAATGCACGGTCTCTCCGGAAAAATGCACTCTGTTTATCCAATCCCAGAGAGCGTCAGGCGCAGTTTGGCAAGAGCCAAGGCTTGGGGCCCCCAGAGTGTGCCTTAGGTTTACTGCTGGAGTTTAACCAACAGACCGTTGAAGAGCAGCTATTTATATAATTATTACAATAATACACAACTCTGCCAGGTGATCAGAGATGTGGTGATAACACATGAGAGGGACCAAGGCCTCTATATGGTACTAGTCACTGCATTACTTTACGTGCTAAACTCAAAAGAAACAATGATTTTGCCAAGACCGGCACAAGTGGAAATCTGGTGCTGAAATAAAATATTTCCTATAATATAATCCATAATATTACACGCAATCTGTAATATTAAACCATTAACTCTTTCACAAAACAGAAAACAGCATTGTTATTTTATGTAACTGTTTTCAGCATCAAGTATCATTGGAAAATCTCCACACTAACCATAAGGGACGGAAAAGTCCGTAAATCTGATTGGAGTTTAAGCGTCCTTAAGAAGCCACTTGAGCTTTGCTCCAGCAGTTGAGAACATCATCGTAATCCTAAAATTGGATTGCTGCCTGGTAATTCATTTAGAGACTGCAATACCAAGTTTATCAAAGAAAGCACAAGTTTCTTGGACGCAGAAGGGAAATACATCCAGATACGTCTTATCCTTGGCATGGTGCAGCTTTATTTTAAATCCTCTTAATAAAAGCGTAGGATCTCTTACCTGCACTTGAAGTCACAGGAGCCGGCTGCCAGTAAGACATTATTGGGATGCCAGTCAAGGCTAAGGACAGTGGAACGAATTGGCTTCTTGATGTGTTTACTCACCCACCTAGGGTAAAGTAACCACATGTTATTAAAGCATCACATTGTGCCTGATGTATACACAACAAATTCCACTGTGAACAAAACTTTATCATTTGGGAGTGAAACCAGTTTTCATATTTCCACTCAATACAATTTTTCCAGCCTTTTTTCAGAAACCTTCTTTCTACATTTTTCTCCTCCCTTTGCTCTCCCCCTGCTCACTGATGACATTCAGTATCACACAACACATCGGGCAGTTGGGAGACATCACTCAACCTGTGCCAACACCCTCCAGAATTACTCCACTGTATAAAAGTGTGTTATTTGGGTAACTCAAGTCAGGGTGGTAGGAACGGCTTTTAAAAATATCCTCCGAAGGTTGTTAGAATGTGGAATGAAACAACACAAAAAGCTGAGCCCTTATCGGCACATGAAAGAAAATGTAATGCTTCAGAAAAAAAATATTAGGATAGATAGCTCTAGTGGGGAAGCTAGCACTAACAGAGAAACCATAAGCCAGAGGGACTGGCTGAGCTTTCTAAGTCTCCGCAGAACATTACCTGAATTACTGGATTGATAATGTGATCTGTACCTCGAATATTAAATTCCAATTTTCCCCACAATTGAGCCATAAAAAAAATCAATGGTTCTACTGGCAATTGTGCAGATGACGAAGGGAAGGGATCAGCAACAGTTAACAACTGCTGATACACCAATCACCAAACGGCACTGAAAACACACAAGTCAACAAGCGGTAACTGCAGCCCTGGTTTACCTGCTACTCACTCACCAGTCATTTTCCCCTTCAAAGTAGCAGACGGAGATCAGTCGAGCTCCACTCCCGACAGCAAACTTGTTTTCCTGAGGAGACCACTTCACAAATGTCGCCGCGCGGTTGATCCTCAGAATGACCAACGTTGGCTTCCACACCCCGTCCTTCTGACTCCACACGTAAGCGTTACGGTCAGCGCCGCAGGTCACAATGCGATCACTCTGGGGAGCCCAGTCGATGCCTGCAGAGAAAGTGCAGCCAGCAATCAGTGCGGGAGCTAAAGCAGGTCAGTGCAGCACAAAGCTGATATCGGGAGCTATTTCCATCCTCCTCAATTTACAATGTCAAAGGAAACATTAAAGCCATGCTCTATTTTAAAAAAAACTCATTGCATTTAAGCACACACTGTTTTGGTTTGTGTCATTTGTGAAATCTTTTAACGCAGTTTCACTTGGTCAGATCCAATATCCAAGCTTTACTCCTCGCTCTCTCTTATTCATAGCCATGGAACTTGGATCAACTTAAAGGGAAATTTAAAGGGAAGTACTTGTATGCACATTATATTATCTCTCTCTTCCTTCTCTGCCTCCTCAACTATATCTTGAGCACTGCTAATACATTACTTCTGAATCAAGTCTATAGTGGTTACAGAACTGGGTTCAATAGCCTGAATGCTCCCATTCCCACTCTCGTGAATAATAAGAAATGAGGTTATGGCGACTGGTTACTGACAGTGGTTGAACTTTAGAATTATCTTCACTTGTGAAAACCATGGAAGAAAATACACAAAACACAGCATTCACCAATCAGCCTTTCAATTCTCTTCCTTCCTGACCCTTACTGGACAATAATAAGCTAAAGAGCAAACACATATAGTACAAAAGTCCCAGCCTCTGAGTCAGTCAGCTTTTCCTACAAACTCCAAATACAAACAGAACTCGTCTCATAAACTAACGGGCTCTTATTTATCATACATGTGAGCCAGCTCAAGTCATGATTAACTTACCAGCACACACACCAGCCTATCCGCACCAGTGTCTCACTCACAACAGTGCCAACAATTGTTAAAGGCACAGGAACAGATAAGCACACAGATCGGATAATATCTCCAGAGTCTTTGAACGGAAGATGATTAATATACAGATTATGCAACATTTCTAACAAAAATTTGGAACAATCTACAGCTTCCTTCTGCCATGTTAGTCAGGTCCCTGCATGTATAATGTAATGTGATTCCAAGCCAATCCTTAAGCAAAATAATAAGAACCAGTTGGAGGATGGGCAGGGTTTGGCTCTCATTAAACACCACTTTTATCATTGTAAACGGTTTGAGCAGGGAAAGCAAGGAGGGAAATCACATGGGACCACTGCTGTAGCCCTCACTGAGTGTGACTGCTGGGCGAGGCCAGGTTCGGTGATGCCACCTATAGTTATCTAACCTGTTAGAATTCTCTGCCTAAGATCAGGCATTAAGAATTGGCACTCAGGAGCTAAAGTCAGCCCCTGCCTTCAGGGGAGGAGGAGGAGGAGGAGAAACGCTGGGAGAGAGGAATCATTTTCTTTGGCTGATGAACAATTGGCTGATAGTAAACACAGAGCACACCAACTTAAAACAAATGGATCTACTAGAGACAAGAATAGTACAAAGGTTATTTCTCGCAATTTTCAAACCCCAGATAGTAGTGTACAAAGATAATTAAATTGCAATGAGCCTGGCTCTTGTCTTCTCGCACCAGGTTTTTATATTTGCAGAGCTGCACAGACAATGAATAAGTTATGGAGTGTAAGACAGCAATGATTAACTTACCAGCACACACACCAGCCTACTCTGCACCAGTGTCTCACTCACAACAGCGCCAACAGTTGTTAATGGCACAGAAACATAAGTACACAGATCGGACAGTAACAAAAAAAATCACATCACTGAAGGACTTGGTAACCATTTACAACTCTCTGAATTTACAACATAAACAGGTACAAACGAAGAATTCTGCCTTGTCTGAATTCAGAAAATATTTCTCTTGAGTAGCTGACCTGGCATGACTTGGAAAGTGAGGAAGAGTCTGATTATCTAGTGAATAGAAGAACTCAAATTGTGCCTGTACCTGTTATTCGACCATTATGTTCCTTCAGTTCTTGATTCTTCACCCACTGGTTTCCACTCTTCTTATAGATATGAACCTCATGATTATTGGGGCTAAGTGCTATCTCTACAGACACAGGAGAAAAACAACAGTTAGATTTTACAGACTTACTCGTTTATTAAATTTGTCAATGAAATATTTAATGACAGATAAAAACAAGGAGATAACATTGCTGAAGTTACCTCACATACGCATCTCATAATACATGCTCATGGCAAGAAACCTAGTTAAACAATTCTTGTGAGTAAAGGGAAGCAATTCAAGGTTATAAAATGTAACTTGTAGATTTAGGGGAACTATTACTGCAGCAGATTTCATGCCAATGAAATAACTGTTTTTCAAGTGACTTTGTTCCATTGCTGAACTTCACAAATAGTTTGGGGGCCGGGTTTACTCCCGGAGCGGCTGTACAGTTATAAATACCCATTGCCTTCAGAACAAGGCATGAATGAATCTCTGAATGAACCCTTCTCCAAAACAGTCACATGCTAACTGCAACATACATCACCTTCGCAGACCCAGAACATAGAAGCAAAGACATGGGCCATCTTGTTGAACCAATTTGAACACATAAAAGCCTCCCTCCGTCTTGCCCTTTCCTCCCCCATCTTGTGGAGTCCTGTAGCTCAGTGGTTAGAGCACTCGCTTTGCAAGTGAGAGACCTGAGTTCAATTCCAGGCAGAGGGCGAAACCTTGGGCAAGTTTCCTTACTCCACACAGAGCCTAATAATAATCCCTCCAAAACCAAAAACAATAATAAATTGGTCATTTTCAATCTACGACTGTTTGTGGGACATTGCTGTGCGCAATTGGCTGCCGCGTTCGCCCACAAATATACAGTCAATTCACTTTACAGTGTGTTCTGTGAAGCGCTTTGGGATGTCCTCCCGACGTGAAAAGCGCTATATCAAATGCAAGGATTATTATTATTATTATTATTATTATCTTCAGGTCGTGCCTGAAGACCTTCCTCGTCGACCGTGCCTACCCCACCGGCTCAGCGTCATGCTCCTCCACTGTCAAGCGCTCTGCGCCTGCGTGAGGAGCGCTACATAAATGCAAGTTTAGTGGAGTCCTGTAGCTCAGTGGTTAGAGCACTCGCTTTGCAAGTGAGAGACCTGAGTTTAATTCCAGGCAGAGGGCGAAACCTTGGGCAAGTTTCCTTACTCCACACAGAGCCTAATAATAATCCCTCCAAAACAAAAAACAATAATAAATTGGTCATTTTCAATCTACGACTGTTTGTGGGACATTGCTGTGCACAATTGGCTGCCGCGTTCGCCCACAATTATACAGTCAATTCACTTTACAGTGTGTTCTGTGAAGCGCTTTGGGACGTCCTCCCGACATGAAAAGCGCTATATCAAATGCAAGGATTATTATTATTATTATTAAGTTGTGGTTGAGGCTGACCCACAGGGGCTACATTCCTGAAGTTGGCTTTGGTGGTGAATCTGCAATCGGTAAAATCACAGTTCTAACCACCAGGCATCTGCCAAGCAAACACATATTTGACATTTAAAAATGGAGCTGGAATGGCACTCCTACACTTTATCTGCTGCTGTTTAGTGCACAGGCAGGCGGCTCTCCAGCCCACCTCCAGAACAGCTTGGTTTCCAAGGCAGCTTCTGACAAAGCAGCAGAAACAATAAGCTCACTATTGTATTTGTTCCATAACTGAAGCGCACTCAGGATGGAGAAATGCATTGACTGACTGGTTGGATTAATGGATCAAATTTTTTAATGCAATAATGAATTTAGGAGGGTCAAAGAGTAATTAAAACGGTTACTGAAAACAAGGCACACTACTCCTTGAATATGCACTTCGATGAGTTAAGTGGGATTCTAACCAGTCAGACTTTCATTAGTTAAAGTTAGAACTTATCCAGAAATAAACACCGCAATTCCTCACGTATAATACCCTGTGATTTAGAGACTTAAACAGCTCTGGCTAATGGCTATTTGATTTTCGGAAGTCCATCTGACCCAGACAATCTTTTTTGAACGTGGAAAATAGTCAACTTTGAAACACTAGAGACGCTCGAGAACTGAAGACCATCAGTTCGGGCCAAAGGCACTTTCTGATGTGGACTCGAGGAATTACACAGAACGTTGCAACATAGAAGCGGGCCATTTGTCGCAACTCATCTATGCCAATGTTTACACTCCACACGAGCCCCCTTTGAGCTCGTGGTTTCGGCTGACACTCCAGTGCAGTGCAAGGGAGCACTGCATTGTTGGAGGTGCCAACGTTCGGGTGTGACGTTAAACCGTGTCCGTGGATGTTTAAAAAAAAGTGGCAATTTTCAAAGAGAAACGAGTTTCTACAGGTGCTCTGCTGTGATTGCCTACAAATATACGGCAACTATATTTAAACGTATATACTGTGAAGTCCTTTGAGCCGTTCGGAAGTGTTAATGTTATTTCAGATGCAGGATTATTATTTACATTATATGAAAATTGTTCCAGATGGGAGAACTATATATGTAAATCTTGCTGACGCCAATCTCTGCATATGTTGCACTGAATAAGCCAGGCCACCGGGAAAAAAGAGCAAACTACCCGGACTTAATATGCCTATGCTCCTTGCAATTTTCAGCTATTTTTACAATTCAATACACCTCCCAGCTTAATATCATTTGCAAATGCAGTTACACTCCCCTCTATTCTCATATTCAGGTCAATTATGTAGAGTGAGAATATGTGGCACCAGCAATGATCCCTGAAGGACAACACTTGTCACTTAATGAAATCGGAATTTTGACCTATTAAAAGCTGACGAGGTTTTTCTCAATGCAGTCGACCACATTAGCAAACATGGGCAGTGAAAATATCAACAACTCATTCAATTGATGAGCCATCGACAATAAAAAGGAGCACTGCCTAAACAAATGAGGGTGTGAACAACTGGGATGCAATTGAAATGGAAGCTTTTAAGATTCGCTTTGGAACTTTTCCACAGGCTCAGGCATGTTGTGGAAAACTTGCATGAGATCCAGAAGTATGGGAAAAGGACCTTTTTCATATTGCCGAGAAGCCAGGGGTTCGCCCCACAATATAACTCACGTGTACGATCTCGATTCCAGGCATGGCATGTGATTGGCTCCAACAGGAACTGATGGAGAGACATTCTACAGTCAGGGCTTCTTTAGTGTTCTTCACTGAATCTGTAAAGGTTCATAAAAAATAAAATAATACAGCAATTAAGCATTTTAAAAAAAGCCTCTATAACTAGGAAGCAATACTACACACAGAAACACCTTAAATCTTATTAACTTTCCAGCATCTGAATTAATTAGATAAAGAAAGGAAAGTTTACATTTTGTTCATTTGATATTCAAGACACCAACAATATTCAAATCAACAATACAATAATACTTGCGTTTGAGAGCGTCTTTAATGTCAGGAGCACAGCTTAAAGTACTTGACAGGATATAGTGTTAAGTGGAGTTACTGTATTTTGTGGGCAAACAATAAATCTCAAATCCACAAAAAAAAGTCAAAGTGACAAAAGTCGGTATAATGGGATTTTTATTCCCCATCCTTAAAATAAAAGGGTAAAGAGCAAGAAGATTATATTCCATACTCAGAATATAAAAATACCAACTATGTGGGGAAATTAATGGTTGCCTGGGTAATAGAATATTTTCAACTTGAGAATGTCAATTTCAGGCAGTTCCCTCGGTGTTGCAGATGCACTCACTCTCAATGCCCTCCTGATTTGTCAGAATAGTTGAATGATTTATAGCAATGTTTGCAGCATTTCTTGTGAAAGTTACTAGAGTTTACATTCCTCTTCCTCACCCAGCTATAGAATCAACAATAAAAGATGGGGGCGAAACACTAAGTGTGGAGGAATTTGATCATCGGCATTATTAGAAAACAGTCAGAATATACAGTATTACCAAAGTAGAAAAAAACTTTACACATCAGAATTTCAAGTTTATACTCTCCTCCCAAAAAAGGAAACTGATCAATTGTGATCTCAATTGATGAGGAAAAGGCTAAGTCAAGCACTTGTAACTTCAATGTAGAAATATAACTGAAGTCCAACAAATAATTTTGAAAATACCTTTTAATTCCGAACGTTTAATCAGCTGTACTGATCACACAATATCATTACAACACTATTAATACTCATATAATTCTCTCTGCAGATAGCAATAAACCAGAACAGACAACATCTTGAGTTAAGTTAGCTGTTTTGAGTCACTGGGTGTTGGCTTAAGCCCTAAACCAGTTTGAACTCAATACTGAGGGAGTGCTGCATTGCTGGGAGGTGCTGTCCTTTAGATGACAAGATAAACTTGCTCATGTCTGTACGTTCTGGTGGCATTTCCCTGTTCTCCACATTATTCCAGATTTGCTACACAACAGTCACTACATACCAAAAAACCCCATCTGTGATTAAGCCCCATTATGAAATGCATGTATTATTTATAACAAATTAGTAGAAATGTGTTAAACGTTATACCTGGATATGGAAAGCAATACTTCTAGAATAATTAATAGAACTGAAATTAACAATGAATATTTCCTGCCAAAATAGAACAGAACTGAAATTGTTCAGTTTGCTCTACATAACAACAGCGAAAAAAGAATTCCACAACAACAACTTGCATTTATACAGCGTCCTTCACGAGGGGCAGTGTGTCTTGAAAAACAGTGGCGAGCCCGTCATCGAGGCAGGGGGAGGGAGGAGGTGACCGTAAGCACGGATTTAAATCTAATCAATACGTGGAGATTTTCTCTCTAATAAACACTGAACCCATTTCGTTATTCTAACTGTGCAACAGGACTAAATGAATGATGGCACCAAATACTCAGGATTTAACCAACCGGCTTGATGTCAGTACAATGAGCCGCAATTCCTGTTATTTTATGTTGATTTAAAAAAATCTTCACGGGAATTGCTTTTGATGACTATAATGTTAGACGATCAGAAGAATATTGTAAATTATAGCAATAACCCCCTCTTGAATAGTTTTAGTTCCAGTGGACTTAACATTCAACTCCCTAAAGTCTGCTTGTTGCCTTACAAGGCCTTGTGAGAGAGGTAGAGGACAGCAGATGCCAAAACCACATGAAATCACTATAAATTGTGATTTTTCTAGGAAATGTGATAGGATCAGCAATGATAACTCCGGCCTTCACACCGCTCACAATGTTCCAAAATTTCAAGAAAATGACTTTCGGAGGCTGCTTTGGCCTGCAATCATGCCCAGCCCACTTCCAGTGTGATTTCTATCTGTGGCAGAAAATAGTTCACATTCCTTTTCTCTTATCTTCTGGTGCCCCACCCTGCCTCAGACTTCCACCTTCTGACTCACATCTTGCAGCCGTGGATTAATTTGGAGATTGTAAACCCAATAAACAAACAATCTCTCAAAATTGAACCCTAGTCTTTTGGAGTACACCTGAGCTCCTGTACAGCTTAAGCTCTCCGCAGAAAAGTGAACGTCCCAATAAAAGGCAAACATGAATATCTCCAATCACTAATTCACGCAGTACGTGGAACTGTGGACATCTTCCTTGAATAAGAGTAATTTGCGCTGTTGGAAAGCAAAGCCCCACTGATGCAGATCTATTGACCATTTAAAAATAACAACAAGATTACATTGTACAGCGCCTTTCACGTCGGGAAAACGTCCCAAGGCGCTGGACAAAAATAAATACTGTAGTACAGTTTCTAAATTGCAAATGGGTCAAATTGCAAAGGGGTGAAGCTTGGCTGAAGTTACAAAGACCACCAGTGACATTCTTTTGTTTACAGAATGTATTAACCATTTAATATAAACACCACATACCACAATCGTGAGTGCTATAAACTGTGTGAACTCTCTCATAAATTCCTTGCATTTCATATAGCAACTTAACACGTCATCGAGACGTCTCACAGTGTTTCACAGGATTTTAGTGTGCAGCGTAGTGACTGTGCATTTTGCAGGTGAATCAAAACTCACTAATGAAACTCCTCATTAAGACATCTTTTGAGAGAAAATAAAGTAAACTTGTTTTCTCCCCATCCTTACAAAAACCCAACATGTACCTGGCAATAATGCGAGGAGTGTCAGTGATATGAGGAAAACCTTGCCAGGTAAGTGACCGGCATTGCCTGGATTATGTGCTGGGAATTCCTAGGGTAACCAAGGCATTTCTAAAGAAAGAGATCACTGCGGTCTGTACATAAATTATGATAAGTAAAATATTTGATCCCGAAATCTTTGCTCTTCATTCCTTCCAACTGAGGTTCAGACGGACTCTCCCACAACCCAACCCACCGCACGCGGTCGGCATTTCTGTCTGAGGGACAGTCACTGTTCACTGAAGTGTTGTGCAAAGGGCTGAGCCTCTGACCCCGGCGTTCACATCAATAACAACAATGATGATCCTCATATTTATACAGCGCCCGATCAGGTCGTCTCAAAGCGCTTCACAGGACACACCGTGAAGTGTAGTGACTGTGCGTTTTGCGGCGAAATGTGGCAGCCGATCGATCGCGCACAGCGACGACCCCACAAAGAGCCGGGGGTCAAAGTGACCAATTATTATCATTATTACTATTATTATTATTATTTGGGGCGCGTTATCACCACCTGCTTCAACCCAAAGCCTTTTGACCCCTGAGCTGTGTCACTGGGGCTCTGGGCCAGTCCCCCCCCCCCCCCCCGGGCCCCCCCCGGCCCCGCACTGACCGGGCGCTGCGCTCCCACCCTGTGGGGGTGGAGGAGGCGAGTGAGTCGGTCATTCCCCGCCCTCCGCGGCCCCGCTTCCCCCTCCCCACCCGAGACCAGTCCCCGCTCGGGGGCCGGGGCTCGGGGCCCGGGGGCGGGGGCTCGGGGGCCGGGGCTCGGGGGACCGGGGGCGGGGGGAGCGGCCTCGAGCCGCCCTTTGCCGAGGCGGTGCCGGCCGGCCCGGGCCTAGCAGCCGCTCCCAGGCCTCTCCCCCCACACACACACCGCGCGGGGCCGCTTACCTGCCGGGCCGGGCCGGGCTGTGCGGGCTGTGCCGGGGCCGCTCTCTGTGCGGGGCTGTGCGGGGGTGGGGGGGGGGGGGGGGGGGGAATTCGCGGACTCTGGTCAGTCAACACGAATTCGCTGTCGGCAGCGGGAGGTGGGCGGCGCGATCCGGGAGCGGCCTGGACGGCGGCACGCAGGGCACGCACGCACGGCGCAGGGCACGCACGCACGGCGCAGGGCACGCACGCACGGCGCAGGGCACGCACGCACGGCGCAGGGCACGCACGCACGGCGCAGGGCACGCACGCACGGCGCAGGGCACGCACGCACGCACGGCGCAGGGCACGCACGCAGCGCGCAGGGCACGCACGCACGGCGCAGGGCACGCACGCAGCGCGCAGGGCACGCACGCACGGCGCAGGGCACGCACGCACGCACGGCGCAGGGCACGCACGGCGCAGGGCAGAGCCAAAGGGGCCAATGCTGTTCATGTTGATCATATTTGTTGTTGTTGTTGATGTTAATAACGAGACGTCCCCAAGTGCCTCTCAGCCCCGGTGTAAAGTGTAGTGACTGTGTTTTGTGGCCTCGGGGCCTTTGTTGTCACTGAGTGCATTACTTTAATGACAGGTTAAGGTGCGCGGATGAGGTCAGAGGTCGCAGGACGTTCATTGGCCAAAACTTGTGACAATAAAACTCCTGGCTTTTTGGGGGGACTTTTCTCGGCTAAAGAATGACCCGAACACTTGACGTCTGCGTAGGAGGGAGGCAGGACCCTCGCACTCTCTCACACGGTCTCTATCGCTCGCTCTCCGGGCTCCGCACATCATATTCCTGGTTGAGGTGATGGTGGTGGGGAGTGGGTGATGGAGGTGGGGAGTGGGTGATGGTGGTGGGGAGTGGGTGATGGTGATGGGGAGTGGGTGATGGAGGTGGGGAGTGGGTGATGGTGGGGAGTGGGTGATGGTGGGGAGTGGGTGATGGTGGTGGGGAGTGGGTGATGGTGGTGGGGAGTGGGTGATGGTGGTGGGGAGTGGGTGATGGTGGTGGGAATCAGGATTAAACACATTGAAAATATTTTAATCCTAATATGCCATCACGCAGCTCATTGACCCTGTGCTTATATGATGTAATGGCTCTTGTGGTCCTCGGGAAGCTTTACCTGTGGCTAATGATATCGGTCGTAGATTAGCGCAATGTGGCTTTTTTTTAGCAGAGGTTAGTCAGAAGAAAGAAAGATTGTTTTAGAGCACTTCACAATAATTACTATTACATGCAGTGATTGCATGGTTCTTTCAATGAAGGAAGCACAGACCCAAAGAGACAAGTGATCCTCTGTGTTGAAGGTTCCACGCGGGTTACTACAGCAGCCATATACACAGCCAGTCACAGTGAGGGGGAGAGTAGAGAGAGGGTCACCATATGGCGTAGAGTATAGGTGGATGGATGAGAAGGGGGAGCTGCCAGACCTGACCAGTATTTCAATGTTTCTGAATTGGTCCAATGTCAAACCTACAACAACAAAATTACATTTGTATAGCACCTACCCAGAGATGGGCGTATTTAATAACAACACCCTTGGTAGCTGCTGTCTACATCTCCATTCTCAGATCCCTTTGACCTGTTCACTACTTCCTCTCTGTCAAGGGTCAATATGTTGTCCGTGCTTTCGGTCATCGTTCCTCTCCTCACCCCACCCCCACTTCCATCAGCTCCCACCCTCAGCTTTGCTGCCCAGGCTGAATTATCAAGCTCTTTGGGACATCCTCCCAACATGAAAAGTGCTTTATAAGTCTAAATTGTGTTGTAGTTTACTGTACTGTAACATTTTTTTATCACAAGTACAAATGTAAAGTGTAAAGCCATGTAAATTGTATTGTATTTCACTGTATTGTAACATCTATTCAGCTCTTGTATATCACACAGTGTCGAGCCATGAAACAGGTTGTGTCAGATGTCGGATCACATTTCATCTAAAGGTACTGTCACAACCAGGAGACGTGGAGTTTGGATTCACTTGATGTTTAGCTTTGTTTTCAATTGGATTTTCCAAGATTCTACACACATACACACACACATACACAATCTCACACACAAACTGTCTCACACACACACATTTTGTGTTATTGTATTGTTGATTTCTACACCCACCAAAAAAAATTAGTCACTCAATCCACGACTGTGGGACACTGCTGTGCGCAGTTGGTTGCTGCGTTTCGCCCACAAAATACACAGTCAATTCACTTATATTCTTTGAAGCGCTTTGAGACTTCTCAATGACGTGAATAAGGCGCTATATCAAGTGCAAGAATGATTATTATTTTGTTCATCAGCAGAGCAGTACAATCTGCTGTTCAGACAGCCAATCTATCCTGACTGTTCCAGAGAGAGAAATAAACAGGTTACTTTAAAGCTTTATTTATTTAAAACAAAAAGAAAAACAAGCCCAAATTGTCATTTCTTGGCAACGCTTCATGATGAACTGCGGCGAATGACGAGTGAAATTTGCATAGTGTAGTTGACAACAAGCAAAGCTGGGTGTTACACAATGTCCTTGCTCTGGGGAAAGCCCAGCCCAGTAACACAATGCACAGTGTAAGCAATTCTATTCTGAAGGGAATATAAAGTGTTCAGTACTGTACTTTCAAACAATAATCACAGTTAAACACAAGGCTTAGAAATTAAATTTCTTGCATAAATTCATGTGGACTGAGCTACTGAACACAATCCACGTTCTGAATTAAAATATACACTTAGTGAAGCAAACTGTAACACTGCAACACATTGACAGAGTGACGGGACGAGGTGAGTGTGATAATCTGCTTTGCACAAGAAGCTGAATGGAATCAATCGGTTCCAATCAGTTAAAAGGGGTCATTGGTGTTTGAAACAAATCATAGACAATGATTAATGTCTAACATATAAACAGATTCCTCTCTGCCAAGCACCACTATCCAGTTTTAATTTAGATCAAGCAGGAGATGCCAGGTGATTGAGTTCTTAATATATTCTTAACAAAGAGGAGTTCTTAATATGATGTGAGAGAACCTTACTCTGCTTTGATAGGCTCAGGACTTGTTGGGGTAAACGACCACTTTCTTCCACCTCCGCCACACTGCCCACCTCCCGACCTTACTTTACCCCAAATGTAGCCCAAACCCTCGTGCATGTGGTTGTTACCTCCTGCCTGGATTAATTCAATCCCCTTCTTGCCGGTCTCCCCAACTCCACCATTCACAAGATCAGCTCATTCAGGCTCTGCCGCCCGCCTACTGACCCCAACCAAACTCCGTCCCCACATCTCACCAGCTCTGGCCCAGGCTCCACTGTCGCCCCATCACCCAACAGATCGACTTCAAGATCCTCTCACTCGTGTTCAAATCCCTTCACTCCCTGGCCCCTCCCTTCCTCTCCTCACTCCTCACTCCACAATCCACTTCCCGGCGTCTCCGCTCGACTGAGACCGGCTTCTGCTCTTCCCTCGCACCCTCCATACCACCATCGGAGGTCGTGCTTTCAGCCACTACACCCCAAAGCTCTGGAACTCTCTCCCTCAATCCCTCCACCTTGCCCCCTCTCTCCCCTCTTTCAAGTCCTGTCTGAAAACTTTCCTGTTCAACTATGCTTACAGCCACCTCCCACCTCCCCCCGGCTCGGAGTCAGGCTCTGCTACTGATAAGCCTCTGAGATGCTGCCTACATGGAGGGCGCTATATAAGCGCAAGTTGTTGTTGTTGATGAGATATTGTCCCAAATACAGCCTTTGATGGAGATAAGAACCAAATTCTGGTAGAATGCATTTAACTTAGATAAGTCATAGATAAGTCGCTCGGTCCGGATGGGATGCAGCCGAGGTTACTATGGGAGGCACGAGTACAAGTAGCGGAGGCTTTGGCTACAATTTTTCAATCTTCGTTGGACACAGGAGTGATGCCCGAGGACTGGAGAGTGGCCAATGTGACTCCCCTGTACAAAAAGGGACAGAAGGACAAACCTGGGAACTCCAGGCCAGTCAGCCTAACATCAGGAGTGGGGAAACTCCTGGAGACTATAATCCGGGACAGAATAAATCTTCACTTAGACGAATATGGGTTAATTAGGGACAGCCAACATGGATTTGTTAAAGACAAATCTTGTCTAACAAATCTAATAGAATTTTTCGATGAGGTAACGGAGAGGGTGGATGAAGGTAGTGCAGTAGATTATAGTTTATATGGACTTTCAAAAGGCATTTGACAAAGTGCCAATAAAAGACTTGTAAGAAAAATAGAAGTCCATGGTATAAAAGGGACAGTGGCCACATGGATCCAGAACTGGCCGGGACGCAGAGCAGAGAGTTGTAGTGAACGGCTGCTTTTCTGACTGGAGGGAAGTGTACAGGGATCGGTATTAGGACCACTGCTCTTCTTAATATACATAAATGATCTGGACTTGGGTATAGCAAACACCATTTCCACGTTTGCGGACGATACAAAGTTAAGTAGGGTGGTAAACCGTGAGATGGATAGGAGCCAACTGCAGGAAGACATAGACAGAATGGTAAAATGGGCGACACATGGCAGATGAATTTCAAAGTGGAGAAATGCGAGGTAATGCATTTTGGTAGAAAGAATGAGGGGCAATATAGGCGGTAATACAATCTTAAGGGGGGTAAAAAAACAGAGAGACCTGGGGGGCAGGTAAATGAATCCTTGAAGGTGGCAGGACAGGCAGATAAAGCTATAAAAAGGGCAATTGGGATACTATGCTTTATAAATAGGGGCATAGAGTACAAGAGTCAGGAGGTTATGATTAACCAATATAAAACGCTGGTTAGGCCTCAGTTAGAATACTGCCCCAGTTCTGGGCACCACACTATAGGAAGGATGTTAAGACATTGGAAAGGTGCAGGGGAGATTTACGAGGATGGTACCAGGAATGAAGGACCGTGATGATGAGGAAAGGCTGGAGAGGCCGGGATTATTCTCATTGGAGCAGAAAAGGTTACGTGGAGACCTAATAGAGGTTTTCAAAATCATGAAGGGATTTGATAGGTTAGAAAGGGAAAAACTGTTCGCACTGGTGGGTGTGTCGGTGACTCGAGGTCACAGATTTAAAATAGTTTCTAAAAGAAGCCGAGGGGAGGTGAGAAGAAATCTCTTCAAGCAGCGAG